TTTTTTTTTTTTTTTTGATGTAGACTATGAAGATAGAATTAGTATAAACATTGTTGAAAAACTAAATATTAAAACATTGTCATTTTTGTGAAAAAGAACACAACTGCAAGAAATTTCTGGGCATGGATTTCACCAAACAATTATAGTACAGTTAAAATATTAACCACCTTTCAAATATGTAAATTGCCCACTTTTCTGTATTGCAATTTCTATTGCATTGCATTGCATTGGCAATATTGTATTTACTAGACTCCACCTGGTATATATAATCACCATTGAATGATCAATCAAAGAATAATAAAAGAAAAACAAATTAAAACAAAACAAAAAAGTAGCATAACCATCATCCATTTTTTTTTCATTTTTAATTGCAAAAAGATCTAATTTTACAAATCAAAAAGGTGACTTAACTGTTTTAAAATATTTGTTACGCTGAACAAGATCCTTGAAAGTACATGACTTTCAGGTTTTCACTTATTTGCAGCTGACACCCTTTTTTTTGTCACACATAAGCAGTTCTTGTAAATTTATCCCCCCCCCCCCTGCCCCGACGTTTAAACAGTGAAAACGAGCAAAAGAAATTTACACCTTAGCCCTATTAGGAAAATGACTTTTCCCAGACTGCTACCCACGAGGATGTTCTCATGTGAAATCTCAGAGGATTTCCAAATTTTATTAATATTATTATTATTATTATTATTATTAGGCTCTACAGTTTGTCTTGTCCTTAATACAGTAGTTATTAAAACATCGTTACCACCCCCCCCCCCAAAAAAAAAAAAAAAAGAAAAAGAAAAAGATGTGCAGTACTTGATTCTTTTTTCTCAGTGACACTCCATTTTTATTTGCCAGTTGAGAGATCATCCAAAAATGTGTGTTATACACCGGACTACGTTTACCTTCGGGGCACCAGCACAAAACAGACATAGATCTAGCTGAACTGAGCGTAAGACGGCGATCAATCACAGCTGTTTATTATATAAAATCGGTCGATAAAATCTTCACGGACGAATCGGGAATGGAGCAATACATGCAACTCTAAAATAAACACTTTTTCAATGTAAACTATATTAATATTTATTTTTATTTCTTTTACTTTCGAAATATAATAACCCACTGCAACAACAAAAACACCTGACAATAACCTCTGTCCAACACACACCCACTGAACACACACACCCTGCGATAACGAGGCCAAAGGTTACAAATCCTCTCCTAGGGGGAAAAGCTTTGGGTCGGTGCAGTAAAAACTATTTGAAACCAAAAGTCGCCTTGGTCTTCTGTCCAACTTATTAAATTCTTTTCAGGTATATGAGCTTTTTTAGATTGGACTACCTAAAAATGATAAATGTTTGAAAAGTTTTCGGAATTTTACACACTTCTATAAAAACGTCCCGTATTGATCCCTCCCCTCCCCGGTGGAAGTTGGACTCGTCCTCAAGCGGGTTCCAGGTATGAGTGTCACAACATGACGAATAGAGACGTACACTATAGCATAACGGCAGAGACGACTTAGGTAAGTTTGACTCCTTTAACATGTCAATATTTAGTGAAAGAGTTGTCATTATCTGTCCTTCAATGGTAAGTGGACTGTTTGGGTTGTTCGCGTTGTATATAGTGGATGTCCAGTTGCTGACAAAGCTGACCATGCAGCTGACAAACTACTAGTACGGTGACTCCAAGTCTAAAGCTGTAACGCATTAAAATGAATATCATGTCAATACGAGGCGTGTGAAACAAGAATTTGCTGTGTAATCAAACTCGGCTGAATTAGAATAAACTAGTTAGACCATTAGACATTGGTTAGAGAATTACGTAAGGTCTATAGTCTCTAAACTGCAGATTAGAAGGGGATTTGCACCTGACTTTATGTAATTACTTACCTGGTCTTTTTTTTTTTTATTATTCATCAAGACACCGAACCCCGTCTGGGTTTCTTTTCTTTCATGCTACTTAACATTACGAGCTGCATGCTGATGTCAGTGTCAGGGGCGGATCCAGAGATATTTTCTGACAGTCTTCCAAATTATCTTTGTTAATCCATCCTCCATTTTTGACCGTCTTCCGACAGAAAACCTTAGATACCCGTCAATGTAAACTTAAAAATCTGACCGTCTTCCGAAAGACCCAGAAGACGGCCTAAATCCGCCCCTGAGTGTGGTCTATATGACTGTGAAGATAGATAATAATGGTAGTTACTGAGCCAAGGTGAGACTTGAACTGTCGTGCTCTGCTCGAAACAGAACACAATTATCATGAATTGCCCTCATCTACAGGCCATAATACATATACTGATAGGGTTGGAAGCTCTGTGCATTTATACCAATTCAGGAAGTTAAATAAAACTAAATTTTGACTTTGATGCCAGGAATTAAACTTTTGTTCATCAGATACTGGTATGAATGGCAATTAACAATATGTTGAAGAAATAATTAATATTTCAACAATTAACTGGCATAATGTTGTCAGCCCTGAAATAATGAACATGCACAGGGGGGTGTTACTACCAGTACCCAAATGAATATTGCTGTAATGTTGTTAATCCTGTGTATTTAATTGAGAGAACCTGTGAAAATATATACTGCTTGTTCTTTTATGGTATCACAGGTATGTGTAAAAGCAAACAGTTTGATGAAAGTATTTCAAACATTGACATAGGTTATCATATGACACCCTGATATCCATGATTAGATGAGGAAGTTTTGCCAAATAAAGTATATCAACTTATGGGGGCAAATTTTAGCAAGCGAAAATAAAATAAAATAAAGTCTTTATCAAATCTGTTGCCATCTAGCTCTTTAACGTTGAGATTAAGATGATGTAAGGAAGACAATAAATATGAATTTAAACTGGTATAATTAAGAAGAAGAAACAATTAAAGGTCTTTATCAAGTAAAGTTTATTATGTTTCAAAATAAAATCTTGTTGAGATTGACACATTTAAAATGGGAAACGTTATACAGAAGAGACTGCATCTTCAATTTTCTGTTTCCTTTTTTTTTAAACAAAAGTCTTGCCAAATGCCAAGGCACTTCCAGAAGTAAAAGATTACTTTATCTTTTGCATTTATGGTGTCATAAAATGAATTCTGCCTATAAAGTCACATGATATTAGTCAAACATTACTTTTTATTATAGTTCAACTGAATAAATCTACAGAAGACATTTTTGTAATCTAAAGCAGATTTTCCCTGTCTATAGAGCACGAAAATAGATAACTTTCAATTACATAGGATAACCAGGTAGGTTTGGCCCAAACTAATAGACTAGATTCTGCTAATTTAGGCTGAAATTCCTTTTTATTGCCTTGCGTGATATATTCTGATGGTGCTTAATGTTGCTCAGACATTAATTATTAACCTATTTTATTCACCTAAAAGGAGCACCAGTGATAAAAAGATATAAAGCCTGTTCATTGTTCTACCTGTATGGTGTATCATCAAGGTGTTAGAAGCCAGGTGAGCCGCGACAGGTTGTGGACTTAATTAAGTGTATTGTTGTAGATTGATATAGTGATTGTACTGGCTACAGTGTTGACGGACACATCAGGTATCACTTTCACCTGTCAAGGTGGGCAATTAGCGGGATTAATGGAAGATTCCCAAGTTATGAATTACATCATGTAGACAATGGAGACAGATGGGATGATTAAGAAGAGGAGGTGATTATTTAGTTGTTTTGTGGTTTGGTGATATCTTTTTTAGTTAAATAAGGCCCTAAGAAACTGAAGAAACACTTAATTAATTGATTTTTTTTAACCTAAGGCTTCTGAAATTGCCCTTCAACTACATCAATTGAGAGTCAAGCAGGCAGTTTTATATATCGAGCTCTAAGCTTTAAGGTAGCCATGTATACTGTTTGCCATCTTAATAGCTTAAATGCCATTTGGTGCATTTGATTACAAACTATAACAATATGACTATAGATTATATAATGTCTGAACATAAAGGAAAGGTAGCTAGCAGGTTTACAGTGGTTCTTGTCAACATATTTTAAAACATTAAGAAGCATTAGCTTTATTGTAGATATTCATTTCCAAAGCCCTATGAAAACAACCCTGTGTTCAAAAGCTGCTTTGAATACCTGGATTATTATGCATACTAGTATGGTGGCTTTGTGATACATGTATATATAAGAAGAAATAAAAATCAAGAGCTATTTTCAAGTGTTTTTTGAAAATTTGAACAATAAAAAAAACATTTAAAGATCCTTCAAAATTGGAAAACTGTGTTGTCGTGGGAAAAACCGAAATGGTCATAGGGAGTAGATAAGGACAACTTTATAGTTCTGACATATTTGTAAAAAATGAACAAGTTTGTCCTTGTTTTTTTCTTTTTGTGTTTGCTTAGAGATAACATGAAGCAGCCCGGCCCACCTCCAAGTGAGAAGCTGATAGGCATCCTGATAATAAATGACTTTAGTCAAGTTCATATTCTGTTTTAAACAGAGACTTTTTGTTTGATGATACCAGATAGATGATCTGATGACTGAAGGATTGTCTTTAATTTTAGTCTGAAAATTTTTATGCTTTTCATTTCATGATAAATCGTTATCTGTCCACTGTAAGAAAATAAGTTACTTTTGTTTTTAGACATTTTTCTCTTTAAATAAAATGGGTACAGTGCTTCTACACTTTACAGATTATCTGGGGTCCAGATTAGCTAGCTATAGTTATGGTGTCTTAGTCTAAAAAAAGACTAACTTTGCACGTTGAGCACATTTTTTAAACCAAAAATCTACCCCTTGGAACTTTTTCACAAAAGCACTTTAACCAGAAATCAGCCATAATTTTTTAGACCAAAATTGAAGTCTTTTTTTACAGAAGATAAATCATTGCTGGTAGTTGTCCAATTTAATGAAATAGTGCCCCTATTTGGTTACATTGAAAGACATGGCTAGTGTTTTAGACAAATGCTTACTTTATGTAAGTGTACCTCTTTTGATATTTCTTTAACTGAAGAAAGCACATTTTTGGTCTGAAAGTTTTCTGCTCACAAGTACTTTGGTAAAGCTTGCCAACTGCTGGGGTCAGTCACTATTTCGGTCCAAATTAGCCCTTTTGTGAGCACAGCCAAAATGTATACAGACCCAGTGGAAATACTTGGGGTGCCTGAGGTGAAGACTGATAATGAAACCTAGTCACAGTAGAATGCCTGAGTCAGAGAATGAGATTACATTGTTGATTTAGTACTCAACTAGTATCTTCTTTAAGAGACACGTTCTTTGCATAGGTAGTTCACTAGTAAACTTCCTTAGTCTTAAGAACGTTAATTAAAATGTTTGTCATTTGTTCTCAAAACAGACACGAAACTTGATTCCATTTCAGATTCATTGTCAATCCAATGCAGGTAGAATATTGATAGGTATAGTGAGAAGGAGCAGTGCCATTTCTTTAATGAGTTCAGGTGTTTGGTAGCAGTGAAATTCATTTCAGTCTGAATGGCCCTACTTCTTATAATAATACTGCAGGGATTTAAACTAGTCATGGCCGATTACCATATTGTAAGGTGTCAATATCAAAGAGGTGCTATCTGGATAGCATACCAGTCAGCAAGAATAAACAGAAATATGATGAGAGAACAGTTGAATAAATTCTTTTTCCAAATTCCTTGCCCGGTGAAGAATGGCATTGTTGTTTACTGAGCCAACAAATATTTGCCAGATGAATATTAACATTTCAATTATTTTGACCAATTTCACAAAACATTCACAAAACCAATAGTGTGTTGTCACACCCCCGTATGTCCTTTAGAGATTGGCATAATAGCACTGGGCTCTGTTTACTTTTGCAGGGAGTTGTCCTTTGCTCTGAAACTTCTATTGATTGGTCTGTATGCAAATACTTTACACATTTTATACAGTGATTGACTATAGAATTTAGCACACAGGTATAATGTCCGTTCAGCCACGCTGCACCTTCAACCCTGTGACTTAACACTGTACATATATACCCTGGTAGCCACGTGCCGTGTATAGATAGTGTAGATAACGGGATTCATAAAGTTCAGAATAACAATGAATCATTTGAAAAGCATATTATGTAGTGACTTAATAGGGAGAAGTCAGGTGAGTTTATTAGGAATAATATTAATGTTAATGGCGCAGTAGTTGTGCATTTGAGTGAAGCATATCTGTGATTCATTGAACCGCAAATATCTTGCCAGGCGACCTGCCTATTGTTAATGTGCACTATTCGACAAGTGTGTTTATATATATGTAGGACTTCATAATCTATAGGAGATTTTCTGCAAAGTGAAGGATTATTCAGGATCATTATCTAAATAAAACTCAAAGTTATTTATTTTCTGTTTAGTTATATAACGTCAGAAGTATTAGATACAGAAGAGCAATGATAAAAGTTGAGATTTGTCGTGGGTGCTTAGCAGCTCAACGGACCAAGGTGTTTCTGTAAGATCCTAATCTTGCTGCTACTGCTTGCATCAAACAAGACATACAAGATAAGTTTGGGTTGCTGCTGCTTACTATACAATTTTAGACCTGTCCTGTTTTTGATACACTGTGGTGACCACAAATGACACACACAGGAGTCATTTATTATGGTATTTTTTATGGATTCTTTGCCACACCTGACAGTACCAGTGATGATTGAGGTTCATAAATAGCGGAAGAGATCTTAATTTTATTATTTGGCTATATATTCTTGCATTTAAATTTAAATTATTTCATTTTATTGAATTAAAGTTTTGTATTAAATTTTTTTAAAGTTTTTTTCTTCACATCATGGCTTCACATTTTATTGATGTGGATGGGTTTTGATGTGTTTTGATGAGTGCAACCTCAGCATTTACACTGTCATTGAAATTCAATTTAGTCTTTTCTTGTTATTGATCTCCAGAAAGAAACAACAGTGATGTTTGGGATGTTTTCCTAACTTCACAACTTGAATTGTTTGGTAACAATGAAACTACATTGGCCAATTCAGGTTAACCTAGCTTGTTCAAAAGAGTGGTTTCCAGCCTTAAATGAATTTAACTGCCACATTATTCATAAGTGGTTTCTAGGCATGTATGAGTTCAAGGGACCTTTAAGCGATTGGAAATAATTTCGACGAGGTTGAGATATGTGAGAAAATGTTATCACCTGACACAGCTCTTTTGGTAAACACTGCATGGAATCATAAATTGAAACTACTAAGTATGCTGAAATTGCTCTAGTTTGATTAGATAACTGCTTTCTTGGTAGAATGGTTCAGGTGTAATCATGGACACATTGCTCAGTTTCTGTGAGACAAGGCTACTTGACAGCACAGCACTGGGAGGGCCTCGAGGGTGTGGCTCTTCAAAAAGTGCACTTGGGTTCCTGTTAAAGCAGCCTAAATTGGCACACTTTAAATTTGTTTGATAAATAATGGACCGTATTATATAAATAGGTTCAGTAGTGAGAAAATCAACACTGAGTCCTTCTTGAGTGGAACAAGCAGAAATTATGGCGTCTTACAATAGGTGGTATTGGATGGCAACTACTAGCACAAGCACTGATAAAGAAATAAAACCTTTGTTAATAATTATATCATTCTCAGGTCTCATGTGCTTCAGGTGATTATAACCTGCCCAATTAAAACTGTCTACCAGGCAGAATTGTTCAAATCTATAACCTGCTGAGCTTTGTGTAATAGAGGATATAGTTTCCTATCTGCCAGGCCCCACTAGAGGCTAATTTCTCTCTCTTCACCTTGATTTGGATGAATTATAATGAGCTAACGGACCTGTGCTGGGTCAGTGGTTAAACCCATTGGTGTTAGGCAGTTTAATCTTGAAGGTATGTTGCTTGGTGAATTATAATCTATAAGAGTCTCTTTTGTCTTGTGTGTAATATATGGGAGTGGTAAATTATCATTTGTGATAAGATGTGTCATTTACGTTTACTTTGGGTGAATAATAATAGTTATATATATATAGAAATACTGTGGAGACTTGATAAAAATTAAACAAAAAACATGATAATTTTACTAATAGTATTTAATTAGTGTCTCATTAAGGTATATTCAACACTGTTTTTCTCTCATATTTTTTCTATGTATGTCAGTTATTTACAGCACCATGGTAAATAAGGCGACTCCTGTCTGAGTCAGAGTCATGGAAAATTGTGTAGACTGATCAAAGATTATCACACATTGTTACTGTGTTTATGTAAAAATAGACACCAAAACACCTAAGAGATGCATTTAAATGATCTGTCCTTCTTTGCCTCTTTATATAAAATCTGTAAGGCAAAACTTGTATAAAAAGTTTATTAAAACGGAATTTTAAGACTTTCATTTACATCCAGGGAATTAACACCATTAAATGAGGGTATAATAAGAACACTTTAAATTACTTACATGATATGAGGTGAACAAGATCACCAAAAAGACGTAAAACAGAATTAATTGATAACTTAATTGTAGGAATAAGAAAAGTACACAAAGAAATGATTGACTATTAAACTACCTTATCATAACTTATCATAGCACTGTGGATTTTAGCCTTGAAATTCAAATTGAGTGAAGTGAAAGTGGCGGTTGCAATAAATAAACCTGGAATAAATTTTAAGTGCCAATTTGGAAAGCAGTGCACTGGTGAGATTATATCATCCAGCAGTTTAAGTGCACTGAGCCGATTTGTAAATAACAGCAATTTTTGGAGATAATCTGTGTTACAGCAGAGAGAGGGCTGTTAACTAGCTAAGTTTTGTATGTGTATCACGGCGGGTTTGGGGATCAGATCCACCGGGACATGGTCCAAGAATAAATAAGCAAGACTTAGAATATATTTCCACAAAGTCCGGTTTATTCCTGGTTGAGAGCTGGGACCTCCAGTCAGCTTGTTCAGCTGTCTGGTGTGGCCACGTCCAGTCTCCTTCTCTCAGAGAATACATGCAAGTTATATAGCCTATCTGAACAAAGGACAATAAACAATGAACTTAATTACAGGTAGGAGATGACTTATGATTAAATTATAATTTATGAGGGTGGTCGGAGACATCTGGCTAGGTTACAGAGAGGCCCTTGACTGACCATCTCCTTTGAAGTTAAATGATATATCTGACCCATTAAATGTATATGACCCATTAATTTTTATAATAATAACAGTTGTGATAGATCTCCCTTGGTTAACAAAATTTGTGCCTCAAATTTTAAAATCAAGCAATATTTAAATCATATATCTAATTCAGTATCATGTACTCAAACATAGTTTGTAGAACTTAGTCCGAACTTAATGCAACAAAAATTACATATGCAAATGTTACACTTTACTCACTACATGTGCTGCATTACATATTCCTCTTACAACATGAAATTAAAATGTGTCTGTCTCCCTATAGGATCAGTTGCAGGCAGCAACATTGTAGCCTTGCAGACTTAAAACTCTTTCTGCCTTACCCCTTCTATCGGTATACTACATGTGCCCTTACATTCGCCTGTCAACAAACACTACTTCAGCACCAACATATCTACTTATCCTTTCAAAAAAATATGTCACTCTAAACCACGTTGCAGATAACAGCAGTCATATTCATGGAACAGTGTAAGTTTACATTTTCATAACATTATTACATAAGTTCTTGGACTAATCCATCTAAAACAAGTTAAAGTTACACGGATACAAAACATACCAAAATTTTAGTGCGAAAGTTGAGCATAAACAAACAATATGATTAAAAATACAAATACGAGTAAGAAGTTATTACAATGATTAGCTAAGTATGTCCCTGCTCTCACCTGTGTGGCTCTGAAGGTAGAGAAAAGGAGAAATAAAGTCTTGACCAGTTTCTCAACTAGAACCGGCTAGGAAGAATACTGGTACTAAAGAAAAGATTTAAGAAAAGAGAGACCACACCAGGTAAAGACAAGAACTTACCAGTTTCATCAATAAAATTTTTCTTTTTGTTTTTTACTTTTCATAGAAATGCCTTCTGTCCATCCCTTAAAATCCAGAATTTCTATTATATACTCTTTGTCCAAGACTTTTTCCTTTGTTTAATTTATGGGTTTTTCTTTCCAGCAGTTCATGTTCATCGCAAGTTTTAGTGTATCTTCTAGGAATGTCCCTTGATTCCTTAGCAGCCGTTACACAGAGTTCTATGATATCATCAACTGTTTTCTCTTTCTTATATCTTGAAGTCGGATTCCTGAGAAAGATGCCTTGTTGTATTATGACATCACTAAGTCTGTTCAGTTTTTCTTTTGGCAGGCAGTTCAGTTCACAATAGTTCTTTCCAAATTGTTTCTCCCAGTGGCAGTGGTTTTCAAAATTTTGTTCTCCAAAATGTTTCTTCTCTACTTTCATTGTTGATAGGGTGTTCACCTCGCTGGTCCTCATTTTGGTATCTGTGGAATGGTATTTCTACTTTAAAGTAATAGACAGTTCTTCATCCACCTTACTCACATTGTACATAGATGGTACTTGGTCAACTTCCAGTAGAATATTAAAAATATCTGCTGGTAAGATATTTTGTCTCCCAAGTCTTTCCATCTTCGTTGTGAGATACTGGGGAAGTTGAAATGCCTAAGGTTCTCCAACAGTTATCACGGCGGGTTTGGGGATCAGATCCACCGGGACATGGTCCAAGAATAAATAAGCAAGACTTAGAATATATTTCCACAAAGTCCGGTTTATTCCTGGTTGAGAGCTGGGACCTCCAGTCAGCTTGTTCAGCTGTCTGGTGTGGCCACGTCCAGTCTCCTTCTCTCAGAGAATACATGCAAGTTATATAGCCTATCTGAACAAAGGACAATAAACAATGAACTTAATTACAGGTAGGAGATGACTTATGATTAAATTATAATTTATGAGGGTGGTCGGAGACATCTGGCTAGGTTACAGAGAGGCCCTTGACTGACCATCTCCTTTGAAGTTAAATGATATATCTGACCCATTAAATGTATATGACCCATTAATTTTTATAATAATAACAGTTGTGATATGTGTGTGTCAGGTGAATATTACTGATAATGTGTGAAGCAGCGGTCTGCTTCCCTGAGTCTGCCTGTATGAAGAGAAAACACATGGTGGGGAACCTGTGTGTGTTTGTGTGTGTGTGTGTGTGTGTGGGGGGGGGGGGGCATTTCTTGAAGAATTTCAGTTCATGGTGAAATTTATAAGTAGACTTATTGAAAGGCTTGAGGATATTGATTCAAAGTTACATTTATAAATATGAATTTTAAAAAGCTGTAATTTTAATAAATTTATGTAACCAACAGTTTGGATATTAATGTTTCTGACAATCTTTCTTTCATAATAGTGAGCTTGTGACTATAAGAATTAATGTTAAGATTTTTCACACTGAGCTCAAGTAGTGTACTGAAAATAACTAGTGGGCATAAGCTATTCATTCCTGCACAGTTCAGAATATGAATTATGGTCTTGCTGATCAGAAAGTAAATGGTTTTCACTAGACTCTGCAAAATATATATATATATATATATATATATATATATATATATATATATATATATATATATATATATATATATATATATATAGGCAGTGTAACATTTTATCTCTCTTCAGACAGAAGCTGAAACATAATACCCTACTTAAGTGATGGTATGGACATACTTGTGTAATGGGAAAGATGACTTTCCAGCACTGACAGTATTTTGAAGAACAAGAATAATCAAGATGAAGGGTATTTTGGTCCTGCTGTTGATCATTATAGGACTGTTCAGACACTCAGGTAATTCTTTTTTTAGGAACTAAAAAGAGAAATGTACTGAAGACTCTTTATTGTAATTTTTTAAAGATGTCAGAATGTATATTTATGGTTAGATATTCATCTATGGTAAATTATTATTGTAACTCATTTACTTTCTATGACAAAATGTTTAGAATTTATTTCTAAATATTTTATCTGACAGTTTAACATATGCAACTTAGTTGCCTTTTGACTTATAATCATAAATCCTTATAAAATGAATATTTTGGAATGAATTTGCAGGTGCCCAGATCCAAGTAACTGAGTGTGGGGATCTACCAGTGGTCTCAGTAAGCGAGGCCACTCCAGCAGGCACTGTGCTGCTGAATTTCACAACTTCAACTTCTGGAGTCACTGATATTGTTATTGAAGACCTAGAGCCTGCTGATGAATTTGTCAGCCTAAACATCAGTAGAAGAGCTTTAGTTCTTAAACATGCCATAGATGCAGAAAACATGACTGCCGTAAGTCACAGATAAACTTGAAGATATACTGATGAAATTTAAACTAGTCTATTTAATTTCTTCACAGTATAGCTGAAAGCATACCAGTTGTTTAGAACTTAAATATTATGTGAAATAGGGAATAAAACATCAAATCAAAGTTGAGCAATTATTTGTGAGTAGGAGAAAATTGTTTTATTGCTAAGGAAAAAAACTTAGTGGGTAAATCCTGTAGAGTACCTTTAAATATTTTAAAAAAAGGTTGTTAGATTTTTTAATTGATTATTTTTATTATTTATGTGATAGGTAAACTGATAACCCTGTCTTATATTACAAGTAAATGATATTACATTTAATGCAAATTATCATAAGGGAATATATCAAATAAAACTTGTGCCTAATTGACAAGTTTCAAGTCTTCTTTGTCTTGTCACTTAATTGTATGCATTATTTGTGTTGTGTGGAAGTAAAATGAATCTTCAAAATGGCATATGTGACAATATATGAGTAACCAAATGTATTTCTTACTTTTTATTTCAGCTCAGTTATAAATTTACTCTGAGATGCAGATTCAAAGTAGGAGGAATTGAACGGCAAGGGGTAAATTTTTTTATAAATTGATGTATTAAAATTCACACTACAATATACAGGGGCGGATCCAGAGATATTTTCTGACAGTCTTCCAAATTATCTTTGCTGATCCATCCTCCATTTTTTGACTGTCTTCCGACAGCAAAAATGAGATACCCGTCAGTGTAAACTTGAAAATCTGACCGTCTTCCGGAAGACCCAGAAGACGGCCTAAATCCGCCCCTGATATATATCTGTATGTCCACTTTACTGGCAAACAACAATGGAACATGGGCATCACAATTTCAACATAGCGCTGATCTTGTGAGCATACTTTCTGCTTAGAAAATGCTTCATATTTTGCTTTATATTAATAAAGTTTGAAAAATGTCACATAAACAAATGTAAAAGTTATCAAGGAAGAGTACTCTTAACTTTACAGAGTTGGAAAAGCACACTCTGATCCTGAATCGCTGGTTAAACAGCAATAGCATGAATTTTTTTTTTTTTTTTGTGAGTTACACACCAAAAAGTGGGGACCGTATATATATATATATAATGTGCCTATTGTTTCTACAAGTATTCTCTGACCCAAATGCATAAAGATAAAATGTTATTTAACCGTGTTGTTAGAATAACTGCTTTTTTCTCCAAGCCCACGTCTTCATTCCCACTCAACTCCAACTAAAAATGACCATTCAGCTTTACGTCTTACACCACTACACGTCACTTCTGGCACAATTCTAACCAATGCTGATCTCCTCTGGTACCCCTTATTTATAGGCATGTTAACAGTTTCATTATTGAACTAATTAGTACCACCAGCGTGTACGCTGGCGGTACTCATGGTTTTATTCCTGACCCGTCTTGTCCGGCTCTGCCCGTTCCGCCGGCTCCGCGTACTGGCGCCGGATACCGTTACCGCTTCTCCTCCTAGACCACAAGGACCCCTGTCCCCATCTCTTGGATTTAGGTCACATATAACCTCAACTTGAACCCCCAGGTTTTTTTTGTCTCAGTCGGTGCATTGACCTGGGCGTGACGCTCGTTGAAATGCACCCTTGTCAAAATTTTTGAAAATTCAATGTAATGCTCACAAGATCAGCGCTATGTTGAAATTATGGGAAAATTTTCTACAGACGGCTGACTGAAAGTCATATGTGGAGATTTCAAATATTCCCGTGGATTTGATCTTTGACCTTTGCTTCAAGGTCAAACGGGCCAAAAATAAAAAAAAAAACGAAATTTTTAACGAAAAAAAAATCATTTGCGCTGATATTCAGAAACTACACAGACTTAACCAATAATATTATTGGAAAGTGTTACCCTTTGGGTCATCTTTCATCTCCGTGAATTTGGGGTCAGTCAGTGCATTTTCACGGGAGTAGCGGCCATAAGATACCGAAACTGAAAACTGTCTCTAATTCGGGAACCGTTAATGCTAGAGACTCTTTTTTGCATTTTGTAGAGCATGTAATGCCCAACACTGGAGGTGGTCTCCGTTTTTTTATATTTCATACGGTTTTTGGGTTATGCTGTATTAATAAGTACATTGTGATGGTGAAAGCAAAACGTGCAGTATGGTAATGGATGATAAATTTTGAACACCAGGAAAATAAAACATAAGGCTTGGTGAGGCAGACAACTTCTGGTCAAAAATTACATTATTTCATGAAATTTGAATATCTGGAACTTCCCATTTCAAGAATTTCAACCAAAATGACCTTTTCTTTATTTTAATAAATTTTTTCTTTTTACCATGAACTGAACTTTGCAAATTTTTGTTCCCTTTCATCTCCAAAACTGGCAGAGATAGGTCAGTAGTTACTATTAAAGTTGAATAGGAAGTTATATACTGGCAATATGAGTGTGACCTTGAAATTGACCTTTGACCTATTTTTTTCATGAACTGAACTTTGCTTATTTATTTCCCTTTTAATTCCAAACCTGGCAGAGATAGGTCCATAGTTACTATGGCAGAGATAGGTCCATAGTTACTATTTAACTTGAATAGGAAGTCATATACTTGCAATCTAAGTGTGACCTTGAAATGGTCCTTGAAATGGTGCAATCTAAGTGTGACCTTGAAATGGTCCTTTGACCTACTTTACACCTTAAACTGAACTTTGCAACTTTTTTCATGCTTATACTTTCAAAACTGGCAAAGATACGCCCATAATTACTATTGAATTTGAATAGAAAGTCATTAGAGGCAATTTACTGTGACCTGAAAATTGACCTTTGACCTACTTTTCATCATGAACTGAACTTTATAAAATTTGGTTTCCTTTTATCTCCAAAACTGGCAAAGATAGGTCCATAGTTACTATTGAACTTGAATAGGAAGTCATATACTGGCAGTTTACTATGACCTTAAAATTGACCTTTGACCTACTTTTTATGATGAACTGAATTTTGATCCTACCATTTTTTTTTATGTACAGACACAGATNAGCCAAAAAGTAAAACTGCCTTCCACTTATCGTGTTTACAAGGAAAGTGCACGGCGACGGCATCGGCATCGGCATCGCCATCGGCATCGGCATCGGCATCGGCATCGGCGACGACAGACGCAGGTGATGGCAATATGTACAGACACATCTGTGTCTGTACATAAAAACCGATAGGCCAATTGTCATTAAACTCACAGGAGTGGTCAATCTTACTAAAACGCAGGTCGAGTTCGAAAATCAGCATAATCGGGCCATTATTTTAGAAGTTATGCTCTTTTTTCACATTTCCTCAGATTCAATTCTTAGGCATGTTAACAGTCATTATTTTACTAATAAGATACATTAAAGTGTTTGTTTGACATTTCCTGCATCTTTACAACATTGTTAGTTGATTATGTAAAAATGATGGTAAACTTTTTATAGTGTATTGTGTAATAAAGTGTCAAAAATGGAAATAAACTCATATCATTGCAGTTTGTCAGATTCAATCATCCATTCAATCACGTCGCCGTCACTGTCACTGGTGCCGTGCACTTTCATTGTAAACACGATAAGTGGAAGTCAATTTTACTTTTTGGCTGTATATTTACAGAGCTGATGAATATTCATAAAATGCAGGTCAAGTTCGAAAATCAGCACGATCGAGCCATTATTGTAGAAGTTGTGCTGTTTTTTCACTTTTCAGCATATATGCAACACTGTAAACACATTTCAAGGAAAACTGATAGGCCTGTTGTCATGAAACTCACAGGAGTAATCGATCTTACTAAAACGCAGATCAAATTCGAAAATCGGCATGATCGGGCCACTATTTTACTAGTTATGCTGTTTTTTCATTTTTCAGCATATATGCAACACTGTAAACACAATAGAAGAAAAACAGATGGGCCAATTGTCATGAAAGTCACAGGAGGGGTCAATTTTACTAAAATGCAGGTTGAGTTCGTAAATCGGCATAATCGTGCCATTATTTTAGAAGGTGTGCTGTTTTTTCACATTTCCTCAGATTCAATTCTTAGGCATGTTAACAGTCTCATTATTAAACTAATAAGATACGTAAAAATGTTTGTTTGACATTTCCTGCATCTTTACAACATTGTTAGTTGATTATGTAAAAATGATGGTAAACTTTTTATAGTGTATTGTGTAATAAAGTGTCAAAAATGGAAATAAACTCATATCATTGCAGTTTGTCAGATTCAATCATCCACTATGTTCAGAATCTCAGAATGGAGGAAATTGGACATTTAACACTGTTCTATTGATATTTTTCCAATCTCTTCAATTTTCTTAGTTGATCATATAAAAATGGCAGCAAACTGTTTATTTTGTTTTATGTTTAAAAAGTGTTAAAAATGGAAATAAACCCATTTCAGAACAGTGCTGTCTTGTTAAAATTTAATGTTGAATTTGCAGTTTAACATTATGTACTTTTGCATCAGAATTGGCAGTAGCCTATTTTGTGCATAGTTATTTCCTGCTTTTTGTCTGTACATTTGACAGCTTTGCTGCCTTGTTTTGATAATGATGAATGATTGGTACGTAACTTTTTTTTTTTTTTTCAGGAAAAGACAGTTAGTGGATTAATCTGTTTGATTTTGAATTATTCCTCTTTGGTTAAGAAAGCATATAAAAGCATTCTGGTTCATACACTTTTAAAAAGTCTGTAGGTACCCCTGATTTTCATTTTGTTTCATTTGTGCAGGTATATTAAAGAGAAAAAATGTCATAGCTCAGTATTTGAAGTTAATGCCTAACTCTCCAGCCTTAATGCATATGTATTAGGCTAACCATAGTTAGATTGACCAATAAGATGCCTGCAGGAAGCCATTGGTGATATTGATCCCAAACTAGGTCACTTATAATAGTAATGGAGTGAGAGTGTGAGTGGAAACCATCAAGCTTGAGCTTAGATCCTCAAGATGAAGTTACCAAAGAAGAGCATGGCCCCTTGTTTCATCTGTGGAGGGACAGATCACAATCCCTTAACTGATGACAGGCACAGAAAGGTGCAATTAAAGACCATTAACAAGTAGGTGTTTGTCCCATCTCATAGTGTTGATAAAGACGCTTTTAGCATTCTGTCAAAGGTCGTAGAAATTGGCGCTTAAAACCTTTTATTTCATGATTCATTCATTGTTTGCATTTATGCTTATATAGGCCCCAACTCTCACTTATCCTGTGGAGTTCTCCATGCATATAATAATAATGATAATAATAACCTCCTATTGAAAGGGCCCTCTGTGAAGTGGGGATGGAGCAGATGTATTTATGTATGCTACAAGTTTACTGTAGTCAGAATCTGCAAGCTGAATATGACAGTCTTATAGTGCAGTATGCAATTCTGGGTATTGGTTTGGGGTTGGAAGACCATCTCATCATTATTTAAATGTTCAGACATCTCATGACATCTCCAAATAGGTGGTTAATGGGAATTAAAGATGATTATCATAATGACTGTAGCTAGGTCAGCTAAAACGTGTTAAATTATGGAATGAATGCTGATTAATTATCATCATAGTGGGTAAATTAAATTTATTTAGAGATAAAAGATTACTATGTGAATTAAGATTAAATGCCCAAGAGGTAGGTATGATAAATAAATTAATGAAAGGAATATTTTACAAATTTCTTTCCACTCTTTTCCCCCTTTTCAACTTGTTGCCAACGAAATTCACTGATTAGAATCAAGAGAGTAAGGATGAGTTGAAACTGAATATTTTCTTTCTCTTTGTTACATGATAGGAACTGAGTATTAATGAAAGTAAAAGATGTTATGAAGGGTCAAATTAATGTGTACATGTAGAAAATGTTAACCCATTGTAGGGTTTTATAGAAAATGGTGTATTAAATTCTCCTTGTTAGCTTACAGGGACTGGTAAAAGGCAAAAGTTTAGCATGTAGTGACTGTGTTATTTGCATGGTCAATATTCCTGCTAAAATAGTACAATAAAAGAGGTCGGGCAACAGCCCAGGGTCTTCTAAATGTGGTAGATTCCTCAAAGGAATGTTTTCCAGTGCTGTTTGATTTAATACACAATGAAGCAGTTGAGTGAACTTATTGAAAGAAAAATATGTATCAATAGAAGTTCTTCAATGAAGTTCAGTTACATATATGTATGAAATAGACATTTTACTCATATGTTTTGATCAGTTTCCCTAGCTGTAAGAGATGTGGTTCGTTCTCATAACTGCAATAGATGTGATATTTAAATATTGTAAATATTTGATTAATTGACTAGCCTTGTTTGGTACTATTGATGCAGTGAATGGTCATTATAACCATAAGCAATGGTTTGCATCGAAAAACCATTCACACACAATATCTGCATTCAATATAGCAGTGCATATTATAGCTGAAACATTGACTAATAGTTGTTATTCCTGCTGTGTCAGAGGAAAGCTGAATTTGAATAGCCTTTATGTTGTGTTATGCCTGACTCCTTTTGTGATACCAACATATTCCTGTTGGTGAAAAAATAAACATTCTTCTTTAAAGCTGAGCTTCACATTTTACTTTCCTTCTTATGTGTAGAGTTTTATTATTTTGCATTAAAAGTAGAATGAAATAGTTCTTTTTTTCTTCAACAGAGTTGCAGTTGTAGAAGTTGATGGTAAAGTTGTTAGCACCCCAACCAAGTTTACATATCAGCAAGACGACTTTGAAAGGCAAGTGAGATTATTCGTGGACCCCACCCAAAGTAGTGGGCCCAAAGATTAATACAGAAGTTTTTTTTATTTTTTTATATATAAGTATTATGTTTTTAGTTGGGAGAGTGTCTTCCTATGGAATATTAATCCATTTTGTGGACTTCTAAGTGGTAAAATTCTAGTTTTTCTAAATGGCTTGATGATTTTCAGATTTAATGATCTTTTTCTTTAGAGTCTTTTTTTTTCTTTTTGCAGGAGACCAAAGACAGATTACACTTATTCAAGAACGTAAGTTAAGTTTTCTTGTTTTCATATTTGAACAAGCACATTTTATGTACATGTAATTGTATACAGTTGAAAATAATTCTACCAAATGGTCAGTTTATTTTTCCTGCATAACTTTGTTTTAGAAAAGTTCTTTAAAATTTACCAAGAGAATTCTCTTGCAGAGGGACTTATACAGTAAAGCATTTAAACAAAGGCTACATCAGTCCAAACATGTCTCGCAGAGGAGTACTGCAGAAAGGAAAACGCAACACAGCTGTAGCTAATTTGACTGAGCGTTTGACAGAGTTGGATGATGACAGAGAGTCAGGTAATAAGAATTTTATAAGCCAAATAATCTTTTCAGACAGGACTATTTTAGACAGAAAATTGTGATGTGAAAAGAACTGGAGTTTGACCCCAAAACATCCTTTTAGAACAATAAGTTTGATGTTAGATGTAATTTTGTATAAATATTTAGACAGATGACTTGAGTGCCTTCTTTGAAAGGTCATATCATTAAACTATAGAGACTAATCTCTGGGCTTGCTTGTAGGTAGTAAAATGGAAATTTCAATGTTTTCAACTGAATTACTGTCAGTTGACTATGCTAGTTTGTGAAGTTGATACATTCTGTCACTCATTTATTCCTGTGTATATCATTGCATAAAAATAACATGACAACTCAACAGGTTTAGATGTGATAGAATATACAGTCCAACATTTCATTGAGAATTTCTTAACATTATTTCAGTCAGCAGGTCTTATTTCTTGAAGGTACCAAGTGCATTATTTATTTTGATGGACTTTTCTTTCTAAACAGATGGCATAGAAAATTATATGAAATGAAACTTCAAAAGCATAATACAAATATTTCTTCAATGGTAATTTGTGATCAAACTGCAGAACATCAAATATTAGAAAAATTGTAGAAATAAAAATACTAGTGAAAAATATAATGCTTATGTTTCACAGCATTTAGTCTCATTTTGCTAGCAACCATAGGAATTTTAATTCCTCTAAAATAAATGGCCCATGTTTAAAGAGATTTATTGCTTGTCTGAATTCTTATGCATATGTACATTTAAAAGAAAAGTAAGTCTGCTAGTTGCACACAGGTGAGTGTCTTCATTTGTTTGCATGTATTTAACATACAGTTTAGGGACACATGTACAATAAAACATTAGGTTTTCATACTAGGTGTTTCTTGATGGAAATGGCATGTGGCTGTGTATAAACATGAATGATAGTACAGAGATATTTGTCAGATTGAATGCCGTGACATCCTCTGCTGAATCCCAGTATATGTAACAATGCAGATTCAGAATGGATGCCCACCTGTGATGCATTACTGAGTTGCTTGCAGCTGTGTTTTTTTCATCAAATGTACAAGATTGCATTCAGCAGATGTGTATGGGAGAGATAACAAAGGTACAATCATTTGAAACAATTAGATAAATATATCTAGACAAAAAGACAATACACAAACTTAATGCCTAAACTACCTCACAAATCATCGTAAATGGGCACAGAAAGAGCATGTTTAACATTATTACAGTTCTATAAAGAATCTTTTTACTAGAAAGTATTTTTCTTGCAGCTGTTGATTAGACTCAACACAGAGATTGACATACACTGTACATATTAGTATTTCCATCACACTGCAGTTAAGTTACATCACAGTTGCGATAAAAGGTTCACTGTGGTACATGTATATATTTTCTTCTTAGCCAAATATCAAATCAATATATTTTTTTATATAATAATAATAATAATCTCTATTGAAATATTGCAACCCGAAGGTTGAAGTTAATCATATAAATACTTATTTATTTATTTATTTTGAATGAAATTTATTTAAATCTGAGAATATTGAATATAAATATTAAATTTGAAAAATTAAATACATGTTTAATCCAGTTTCAAGAGATTTTAGGCATAGAAGTTGGCTGAATTGAGTTAAGCTTAACTAGCTGTAAAGCTTTAAATATTCTGTACATATTTGATACTACTTTTCACATTGGTGTTTTTAAATCAACAAGACAAAACTATTATAAATGATATTCAAACCCATTATTTTTATTTTATTCTTTTTTTGCTGCATCATTTAATTATTTACATTATAGTGGAATGCTGTACTGATTTGACATTACCCGATTTTTAAAATGTACTACTGTTTGCAAAGTTGACTTGGTAAATAATACTTATAGTATTGTTACTCAGTGGCACAACAGTTGAAATTAGAGAAGCATTGCGATCCAGTGGCATGAAAACTTGCCAAAAAACCGGTTTGACTTTTGAATAGGGAGCGGTCTGATTCCATCCCTATCAAATTCTCTAAGCCTCAAGTTTGAATATAGTATGTACAAAAACAAGCTTACAAGTACCTGAATCACATTGAAAACTAGTCTTGAAGATTTTAGATCTTATATTTCACATTTTGCGTGAATGTGCAGAGACCCCTAGTGGTGACCTTGTTAATGTAGGTGAAAAAGGCAAGCCTGCTCGACAGAATTTATAGTCTTTATGGCATAGCAGAGGTGGATGGTCTTCATGTTAGCAAACAATTCCAAGTGGAGGGAGCCCCAAAAGATTTGACATGCTAATTACACATTCAGTTTGATTTATTATTTCTGAACAGGATATATCAATACAATGAATTTGGCAGTTTCTAGCAGAGTTGCAGTGGATTTCAAAGATTCTCCTAATCATCTTGTACTAAGGGATGGAAGTGCATATGGTCAGTATTCACTATATATTATATGCTGTATGTCATTCGAGATGGTTATCGGACCGTAGCTAGTCTGTGATGATGGCCAGTCTAGTCTGCACACTAGGTAAAATAGAGCTTGGTGTAATATACATGTATACCAGTTACATATATACATATGACACAGTTCTTTGTTATGGTACTTTTTCTGTGTTTTTGTGTCAGGATTCTTGCCAAGATTCATACTGGTATCGTTATTTTTTCAGTGAACTAATTCCAGATTTAGGTTAACATGCTATTTATTGTTTATACTCGTATCATCTGTACATCTGAAAATAAATGAGTGTTGAAGTTTTTGGCTAATATGTTTAAGATGGCCATTTAAGCAGTTTACTCACAAGTTTAAAATTCCTGCAGCATGACCTGTAAATAAAATCTAGAGCGTAATTGATTTAGTTTGTTCTGGTTCCAATAAGGGCATTAGCTATTACAAGAAGAAAAGTAATTTCAAACAGGGAAATTTGCCAGGCGTATTTATATAGAGCGGGTGGATCACCTCCTGACCTTCACTGCAATTGTACTCCCACAGTGCATATTTGAGAGGTGGAGTTTGTTGACTATGACTGACTTCATAGTACTTAACTGGTTCTAAATCATTATTAAAAGCCTAATACATATTTGCTTTTGTTGTAAACGGCTATTATTTGAAGCAGAGAAAGCATACATGTGGATAAGATCAGCAGGATGGGCATGCCCGTGTACTAGCTGGGAAAGGGCTATAATCTGAATGTAATTTTATGATTTTATTTAAAGAAAAGTTAACAGTGATGACCATTTCTTAGATACTGAGTAGTACGTAATTGATTGAAAGTTCTTCAGTGAATTTAATTTCTATCATGTCTGTTGTGAACACAAATTAGTTAGATTCTGCAAAGATGTGATGTTGTGGCTGATTGAATAAAAGATAAAACACCTTGAAAAAAGATTCTGTTACAGGCCCCAAAACCGTTAACATTTAAAATTGCTCAGCCTACTTCTAAGCACATATTTTATATTTATGAGTCATTACATTCCCATAACATTGCATATTATAGCAGAGGTATGACGGAAGATGTTCTGGTGTAACATTTACATATATTATGTTTATTAGTAGTCAGTGCAACTTTCATAAGTAGTTAAGAGTCTCTTGCCTTTTTATTTTCTATTCTATTTTTAAGAACATGATTAGATTTCCTGTTTCTGTGTTATTTACTTGTATTTGTCTTATCACAGATACTTCTCAACATGTCTTTGTGGATAAAGCGTGGTATCCCCATAATAAGAAGAAAAATGAAAGCTACATAAACATATATCATTTCACAAAATTGATTGGGGTAATTGCCATATTGTCTAAAATGAATATCAGGCTTTAAAGGTTTATAGACCCGGATGGATTGGATATTTTCTTTGTTCCAGAACGAAGTAGGGGAGCTTCAAGAAGGTCTCGTGGTAGATCTCTGACCCCTTTGGTGACAGAGGACAGCATAAATGTGAGGTCCCAGCCTAGACGGCAAACCAGGACATTGGTGACTCGTAGATCGCAGTATGAAGAAAGTTATATCTCATCTGGAGGCAGCAGGGCCATTGAGGAGGATACCAGAATCACAAGGTCTTCCACTAGATCCAGGAAATCTGCTGCTGCTGCTGCTGACTCTATGCTTGAACATGCTTACGGTATCTATGGCATACACAATTTATTGTTACCCTTTTTCTCATTATTTGGCTGGACATATTTGAAATTTGTATAAGTTGTGAAATTCTAAGGACAGTTCAGGAAAGCAGCTATGAATATTTGTCAAAGACCATATGATATAATCATAAGTTTATTTATAAAGATACGGTATTGTCATGTTTTCTTGCACTTGGCTACCTTTACCTATACTATCTAAAGCATTCAATCTTGTTTGTACACTAAAGTGAATCAACAGATTCTGCTGCAGAATACCTTGTTATTTGTACTGCGGTAATACTTCCTTTTAATCCCAACAACAGTAAATACTTGGTATGCAAAAACTCTTTCTGTCTCTCAACAGTAGATATGTGAGCCGTACATTATGCTCTTGCTGTGGGTAAGAAGGTAAACCTTAAGGCATAATATGATATTATGTATTGCGTAATGTCTTGATAAAGACATTGTGGCAGTTTACTCCTTGCTTCTACTTGCTGTTGCTGTGTTGATCACACTGAGCCTACTAAGAAAATTTTAACCAAGTGCTAAACATTTTTGATTATGAATAAAGAAAATGTAAATATTATATTTTATTTTAGCCAATTATGTAATTTCTGTGAACCATGACCAGATTTTAGATTTTAATCTTTTGAATTTATCTGCTTGTGGTTATTTGGCTGAAAGAAGTGTTATCCAAGATTCATAGATTTGGTTTGGATACAATGGATATTGTATTATTTCAACACTAGATCTGTTGCAGATCAACTTAAACATATTTGCTCTTGCCTTTATGTAAAGAATCAAAGTATATTGATCTCTTTTTTCTAGGCCTTGACAACAACACAGATTCAGAAGAAATATCAGGTAGATATGCATGACTTTGGTGTGGCTTATTTAAATATGGAAAAAAAGAAAGATTACCAAAAGCTAGATCTAGAAAAAATCAAATATGAAATGTTAGATTCCTAAAACTGAATTATTTAATGAATTTCAAGCAACACCTAGTAAAATTACATTACATTTACATTAATACTGGTAAATTTTCTGATATGTAAGGAATTATATTGTTATTTTGGTTTTGCAGACACAGAATCCAGTTATGCCACATCATCACATTCCAAGAACAGCAATTATACATCAACAACATCCATAACCACAACGACAACAATAGCCAGCGGGGCACGTTCACTAGCCAGTGGTGCCAGGTCCGTTGCATCAGCAATTACGTCCAAACTTTCATCTTCCTCAGCATCCTCATTAGATTCCCTTCAGCATCATCGCAACTATTATTATCCACAGCAGAACCAGTCCACAATAAAGAGGTTTTCTACAACAGTGATAACAATAATAACAACTATAATCACAACTATAGTCACAACTACAGTGGCTGGAGCCTCTGCAGTGAAAGGTGGTGTATCATCAGGGTGTTCCTATGTTACATCTGGGTTGATATCAGGTGGGTCAGCTATAGGGACTGGGTTCTCCGAGGGAAGCTCCTCCATTCAAAATGGACTGTCTATAGGAAAGGAGACCCTTGTGTCTGGACTCTCTACAGTTACATCCTCACTCTATAGAGTAGTAACATGGATTGTGACAATATTTACAACAGTTGTGTCTACTATCTCATGGATGGGGGCGAGTGGGGCGGCAGTGTTGACTTCATCAGCAGAAACAGCAAAATCATCTGTGTCATCTGCTGCAGCATCAAGTTCATCCAAAATGGCGTCCTCAGCCAGGAGTGTGCGCAAAGCTGGAGCTTCAGCCATGAAGTCCGCTGGAGCTACAGTAATGTCAGCCGGGGCAGTGGCAGGCAAGTTATTTAGCTTAGATAAATCATTCATTTGTATTGAAATATATTTGCCTGTAGAATGTGCATACCTCCAAGGATATAATATTTGAAATCCATTACACATGGTTAGGCTTTGATGATATTGTAAATTGCACAAGTGATGAATACAATTAAGAATCAGCCTGAAGAAGGAAACCCATAAGTAGTTTTTTTCTTAATTGATGCATCTGTGTTGAATAGAAGTAGATTCACTTAGATGGCAGCTCCCATGATATGGGAGTATTTCATCAAATGTAGCATTATAACCTCGTATCATATGACATTATTAATTATATCTATAAAAAGTTCCTTTGGATATTACATGTGAAGTCTTAAGTGAAAGATTTTTAGTTCTTCTTAATGAATTTTTTATAATTTTTTTTTCTAGGTGAGGGGAGCAGCAATGTCTTCTATGCTGCAGCAGGATCTCTGTATAAAATCGTTACCAGTGTTTTGCTGCTAGACATGTGGACGGCATCAAGGTAAGGATATAAGAAAAACATGATTTGATGAATTTAGTGGTTGTGACTTCAGTACTGTACCTACCAACCAGTTTGATTTGGGTATTCTCAGAAGAGTTAATGATCAAAATGATGTGCTTGCTTGAACTTCATATTCAGAGCTTTGTGTTTTTTTTTTTTTTTTTTTTTTTTGCTTTTTGCTGGTTTGAACCCTCAGCATAATTGTTATGCATATTTACAGATCAAGAGAGACAAAAAGGCGTAGGAGCCTCTCATGCATACTGCTGTTGCTTTTCCTTGTCCCACTTATTATCGCAGGTTAGTGTCTTGGGCAGTATGAATATTAAGTAACTTAAACTGTGACCTTAAGTGCATTATAGTTTTAGATAAAAATAGATGTTTCCACATGAAGAAAATAAATGATTTACATATAACTAATCAGAGATACCTTGTTAAGATAGTTGGTTAGTGTTACCTAGTTAGATCTAATTTGATACCGAATTTTCCCTATTGTTCCAGGTCTATTAGCATTATATCAAAATGGTGGTGGCATCTTTACACCTGTAGCCTTGTTTGAAGATTCTGCTGTAGAAGTGGCTACATCTGAGGAAAGTTCTATCTCTACTGAAGACAGTGTGGCCAGTCAGACAGGTGGTGGTCTGTGGGGATGGCTGGGGTTCTCCTCGGGACAGGTGAGAGAGATAATTTTGCTGCTGATGTTATGATAGCTCTCTTGTAAGTGTATGCATTTGTGATTACTATAACTGAAATGGTTTATGATTCAAGCGATGTTGTTATATCTATATGTTTTATCAGGAAAAACATATTTTTATTTTAAGTTCTTATTGAATTTTTGAACTGATAACAGTGTAAAGCCTTTGTGATGTTTTTTTTTTTTTTTTTAAGAATATTGTGTAATATTTCTCTTTTTTTTTTTTAGTCCAATAACCAAGACAGTAGCAGCTATTTCTATGGTGATTCGAGTTCAGACTCCAGTTCAGGAAGTATGCATATAGATGAATCCACACTGACATCCAAGATTCAACAAATCCTTTTAAATGTGAACCAGTACAATACTCAGCAGATAAATAAGACAGACATAGAGATTATGATGAGGGCAATGATCAAGGAGGAATTGGGGGCTTTTGCAGCAGTAAATGAGGCAAAGATCGCAGAAAAAGATGACTTGCAGGTGAGTTTAAAATTTTGAATAAAAAGAAGATAAGATACTCTCAAGTTTTTATGAAGTAGCAATTATTGCAAAAATTTGATATTTAGTGTTAAATTTATTGAAATCACATTTGACATGTTACATCTCTGTTTGATTATGGCCATTTCTGTGATATTTTATCAAAATTTTATGGAAATTTAAATATAACACCATGTAATTTCTTAATCCCATTGTAGGCCAAGCTGTGGGCAGACCAGAAAGCTAAACTCCTGGCAATCAATGAAGAAATGTTAGCAATTACAGCAAAATCAGAGGTATACATGTGTGCATTTATTTGTATCATTATTTATTTGTAAACAGTTAATATTACTTTTCATTTACATATAAAGTATATAGGCAACATTTTACTGTAATACATAACAAATTTTCTTATGAAATGATTGATTTTTTTCATTTGACAATTGTGTATGTCTTAAGAAGTATTTCTTGTTTTGCAGGCTTTGAAATTAGAGTTGGAGTCAACCAAAAGCTCATTAAAAAGGTAAAAAATTTATTGTAACCAAACATTAAAAAATTAAGTATTAATTTTGACATATCAATTTTATTTAAGTCTTATTTTCATAATATGAATTTTGTTGGTGTCATATACTAAGTGTTTAGACCCAGTAAACTTATCAAAGATTTAGATATACTTTCACACCTTTCACAGTCAAGGGTCTGACTCAGCAGAGGCCAGATCAAAACTAGAAGCAGACATGGCTGGTTTAGAGGCACAGCTGGCTGTTCTTAAGACTGACCTAGATGGTCTTCAAGAGAACCAGAGACTATTCATGCTGCAAATGAAGGAGAACTGCTGTAAAAACGATACATACCTCGCTGCTCTTGTGCATGCTGAATTGGCTGGATATATGGCCAAGGTAAAGTACTTGGATGATTTTGTCAGCTATTAACTTAGAAGTATTTTTTTTTTTATTTTTATTTATTTATTTATTTATTTATTTATTTATTTATTTATTTATTATTATTTTTTTTTGTGTAGATAATGTCATACCTTTATGCATACATTTGAACCATGGTAAAATTTTTACAAAACAAAAATAAAAAGAACTTGAAAAAATTGGCTTAGTTTAAAATGATTAATTTACCTGATGTCCAGGTCAGTAATCCCTTGCCCTTGAAACACAGCAATATGTATCAAATTTCACATTAATAGCTGATGTCAGACAACGGTGTACAGTCAGTGGAAGATGAGGGGGCAGGAAACACTGGGGCAGCCTTCGTAGCCTGGTTGAGGGACAGATATGTGAGCAAGGAAGAACTGGACAACAAACTGACCCTGGCTGTGGGCAGGATAATGGAGCAGATCAAAGAGAAGGACAGTGAAGTGGTGAAGACAGAGGGGACTGGCGGGTGGTTTTCTTCAGGATTAGCAGAGGAGGTATGTTAAAAAAAAACATGTCTGTATGTTACTGGGAAGCTGAGATACTTGTTTTGTTTAGATTTAAAACAGTAATTTTAGTGATAATGTTTGATTTTATTCAAATTTGTTGATATCATCTTTGTAGGATATCAAGCGTATTATTTTGACCCAGCTGACAGTGTTCACAGCAGACAAGACTGGAATGCCAGACTTTGCTCTGGAGTCTGCAGGTATATTACATTTCCTTGAATAAACCAATATTCTTATTTGAAACTAAAAAAAGTCAAGCCAGTAAAATTCTTTAATAACTGCATTAAAATTCTTTATTTGTTTAAATGTTAGTGCACAGTATGGTGTAAACTTATCTTCTACCTATTTAATATTAGTGCAATCTATCAATTAAAGAAAAAAAAAAAGAAAGAAAGGGGGAAAAATATCACTATTTTCAAAATTTTCCAGGTGGAAGTGTCCTTAGTACCAGATGCTCAGAAACCTTCCACAGGAGAACTGCACAGCTCAGTCTGTTTGGTTTACCTCTGTGGTACTCATCCAACTCTCCAAGAACAGTTATACAGGTAACTTGATAACAATACATTCCAATTGAAGCCAGTAGAACCAGTTGAAGCCATTTTCTCCAGTAGAACTTTGCAGTTCATTGTATTTTTAAGCAGAGCTGATGTCAGTTTTTTNTTTTTTTTTTTTTTTTTTTGCTGTATTTAAAGAGTAATTATAATATATGTATGTACGTTGGGGGAATTCTTGTCAATTCCAAGGGTCGCTTTTGTATAAAATGTGTTTCCTAAAACCAACCCATATCTTCTTTCTTTTCATTTCGTAGCCTGATGTGAATCCAGGCCAATGTTGGGCATTTAAGGGAGCTCAGGGCTTTATAGTCATCGAGTTGGCTAACACCATACGTCCCAGTGCCTTCTCATTGGAACACATCCCCAAGGCTCTGTCCCCCACCGGTGTCATAGATAGTGCTCCCAAAGACTTCTCAGTCTGGGTGGGTACTTAAACACTATTCAGCATGATTATACAAGTTTTGATACTATTCTGAACATTTAATTTTACATTTTTATGCAAGTTTTTTTACTGATGGATTTTGTATCATTTTGAAATATTGAATTATGTAGACTTTACTATGTACACATATGATTTGTTTCTTCATAACTAATATATACGAAAAACAACTAAATATATGCATTTGTTTATTAAAGGGTCTGGAACATGAGAAAGACATCAAAGGCAAACTATTGGGGAACTACACATACAACCAAGATGGAGCTCCTCTCCAGACATACCTGGTGGCTGTAAGTAATTGTTGTAACTTCACAGGTTCATAAAAATAATTAATTACAGTTTCTGGTAAGTTGCAATATGTTTCTTTAATGGATCAAACAGCAAACACTTAGTGATCACATTTTTAAACGTCTTAATATATATATATATGTGTGTGTTTAGAATGTGCCATTGAATTTCAGAATCCAGATCCCGGCTCCTATAGAATTGTTGAATTAAGGATCCACAATAACCATGGCAACAAAGAATACACGTGTTTGTACAGATTCAGAGTACACGGAACAATTGCAGATAAATGATTAAAAAAACAGTTTAAGTATCACATACAAGCCCTTATAAGTTAACAGAAGTAGCACTAATTATAAATCTATAAACTAATTTTCCCATTACCAAATATTCTAGGTTGCCAATGTGCTTTCTACCTCCAAAGACTAGACACTGCCATATAATGGTTTCAATATTATGTTACTTGTACAGTAGAATACTCTTACCTTCTGTTTATTGCCATGTAAAAATAGTTAAATATTTAAAATTGTAATATATGGCCATTAAAGATAACAAAAAATAAGTGTGGCATAATATATAAACTATATACACATAGAATTATTTAAGGAAAAGGTGACTTGTAAATATAGATTCACATATTTTCTAACTTAATGTTATGTAAAAATAATCTTAACCTAATGTTTATATAACCATGTTTGTTTGTGCAATACTATGCTTTAAAGTTTCTTCTTTGTTGTACTATTGTATTTTATGAAATTATACTATTAAATTTTACAAGCAATTAGTGTCTGTTTTGGAGATGCAAGTGTTTTTTTCCTGTTGGTGAATGAATGTGAAATAATAAAAGATCTACTTAATACTACATTTTTAAATCCTTAAAACTTACACCAAGTAAAATGCAACTATCCTGTGTAAATACTATCATAACATTTACATTTGTGAATACATTTGCAGCAACATGCAAACATTTTCTTATGGATTGATGTGGAAATTGAAAAAGTATCAATAACATCACTTTAAACTTAAGAGGATTTTTTTTCTTTTCTTAAACACTGTATGTTATGAAAAAGATCCAGCTTTTCAATACTTGAAAATACAACATTAAAATAAAAACATGTTTACTCCTTGGCATCAGCAATACCCCCGGCAGTGATTGCATATGTGGCCTCATTTTCTGGAAGATCAGGACTGTAAAGAATAACAACATGTAACACATGAGAAATTAAAACATACAGCTTAAAAAGTGCAATCTTTTAAGTTAAATGCAACCCATTTGCCACCAATCATTAATTTGCTTGAGATGATAGATAAACATTTCATCCTTATAAGCAAAACCTTTTCTTATTCCGATTTTAATAAGTACTTACAAATAATTTTAATTAATGTGCAGTAATACATTTCAGAAATTGACGGAATATAATGTGGTCGACTCTATAATCCTTGATGACAAATATTACAGAAATATATCACATAATCACACTATCAACAAACACTGACCTGTCATATATTTTGGCTATTCGCAGTTCTGCTCTTCCCTTACGAAGGCTTATCCTTGTTGTTGAGGCATGAGCCAATATATTACCACCTATTGGCTTCTTGGGATCTGCTTGGAAACTGCTTGGGGGGAAAAGAATTTTAGACACCAAATGTAAGTTCTTTAAGATCTTCACTGACACTCTTCCCTTTTGCAGCCAACTGGGCTGTACGTGTTATGTGTTACAGACTCTTTCAATGTGAAATGCTTCTTCACTGCTCAAAATTTCATTATCTGACACAAAAGGACTCTTTTTAGAAGCCATCATTTTTTTCAAACATACTATGAAAAGCTCACAGCCCTGAGAAAGAGTTTTAAAAATGCACAGTTATATTTTGTGAAAGTAGGTTGAAAGATGTTATTTTATATATTTTGATATATTACTATCATATATATTTACTGCAAAAACATTACTTGTACCTCACCTCATTGTTGCACCTGGATCTGACGTCATTTGGTTAGTAATAAATACAGCAACATTGTATTCTGAAAATTGATAGTTTATATTTTAGTGGTAAACATTATTAAGTTTTTTTTCAGCTTTTGATTCAGAAATCAATGTTTAGTAGTAAAAAATCAATGTTTTATATGATCTTTCAAATTATTAGAGTTGGGGTAATTATGTCACTGCCAGTATGAATTTAAATTGCTTGAAAGTGCATAACTGTTGGTCTAATTGTTGTTATTTTTATTACCTTCTGAAATTTTTTGCAGTCGTGACAGAAGCTGCGCAAGTTTTTGTTGCCTGTCTGCAAGTTCACCTCTTCCACTAAAGTCGACTCTAAAGAGAGCCATCACAGAGTCCACTATCTGAAACAAGGAAAACCATGCTACAACTCCAGACTAAACCATGACAAAATCTTCTTGAATCAAGTCTTTTTAATGATTACTTTGTACATATATCCAAATCTTTAAACTATTTCACCCTCACCCCTCAAGCTGTCAAAAAGTCTATGAATTGCCTTTAGAAATACCAATGAAAAATACCATAAAAAGCACAGCCCTGGAATTATTCAGCAAATTATCTATGAAATCACCAATGAACACATTTTGAAAGTGCTTTCTACAATTTCTCCTCATAAAGCCTACATGCAATGTTAACATCATACATTCATTAATCTAAACAATGTATTTGAATATAATCCTGATCACTGAGAATGTCAGTCCACGTTGCTGAAATCAACTGCTATCATCATAACAGCTTCTTTAATTTGTAACTTTCAATTTCAGTTTTTTAAGTGTAAGGTGTAATTGTATTTCACATCATATTAAATTAATATCATGCTATTAATACTAAACTCCTTTCATTTAATAAAAAAATTCTCCCCTGTGCCTTCAATTACTTTCAAAATTAAATACACGTACCAATAATTTAAAAACTCCTGGTTCCTCATGGAACTTGGCTGCTACGAAGTCTAGTAGTTCATACTGGTGTTCACCTGATGGTGTAATTGAACTCTTCAGCATTGTGCCATCAGCTTAATATTTGGTTCTTTACAACTCAAGTTTAGTAAATGTACATCTTCTTCATGTTCAAATTCTCAGCTTTTATAATGCAAATAAAAATTATTGAAATCGCTTGATCCTTTATTCCTCCCCACCCCTACCCCCCTCCAAAAAAAAAAGGTGTATGACAATGACAAAATTATTAAAATGATCTTGCTCTGCTATAAAACATGTACTGCAACTTTGTTTCCAAACAGCCTCTCATTTTCAGACTTTATTGACTCACTTGTATAGGCTCTTGCATACAGAACATTGTCTAATACAGCATTCTGGTCTAGATTAAATCTGTCTGCTATGTCTCGTAATCTGTCTGGACGGCTGCACCAAGGTTAGGATTAAGAAACAAAACAGTAACCAGTCTTGCGGGTGAAAAAAGAATTATGCAAAAAATTTCAATATACATATTATCTGTAAGTAATATTTGTATTCACACATATGGACAGTCTAACAAACTTATTAGTGACTTTTGACATTCATTTATGACAAAAATAACAAAAAGACTTTAGATGCCAATATAAATAAATAAATAAACAAACAAACAAACAAACAGATAAAATATAAGGATACAATGTATTCTCTGTATCCACAAAGACCACTTTTCCTCCGGTGTACCCATTTGCTCCAGGAAGTTGAGCAGTGACTAGAATGTAAAACATATTAGATGTAAACCATACTTATTCTGAAGCTGAGAACACCTGGCATTGTACAGACACATAAATGTATCTAATGTATGCATATAAACCTTAAGTTGAAATATTTATATGTAATAAATTTCATTTTAAAACTTAACAAGTTAATAATTGTCCAGCCAAGTTAACCCCACACTTATTTGATTTTTTGTAAGCTTAAGGCTCATGATGGTGGTCAGACCTACCACAAAGTGTGTGAGAAATTTGAGTTTTTCCAGTCCTAAACTCTCCAAATGCTTCTGTGATTGCCATGCTTTCTACCCCTCCTCCAAGAAGTTTGCTGGAAAACCAGAAACAGCAAAGATTGTCTTATAAAAATACGTACCTTCATTCTAAATCATCCACACAGTTTATTTAAAGCCTTGCTGATTTGTTTGCAAACACAACCAAGGGACTTACTCTAATTCTTGACTCCCTGTACTTATCCTAAAGCACTCCTTTCTTTTCTCTGAATATTCTAAAGCTGTGAGAAAACCCGATTCCTGAAAAAAGAAAGCATGTTGGTATCTTAAAGGTATACAAGCGAAATTGTAACAGCCAACATTTCCCACCTGTTAACTCAATTTGTTAACTCAATCTGTTAACCTGTTAACTCAATCTGTATGTGTTAAAATATAATTTGAAAATATCTCCTTTATATTCTTGCATTATGTAAACCATTTTANACCTGTCATATATTTTGGCTATTCGCAGTTCTGCTCTTCCCTTACGAAGGCTTATCCTTGTTGTTGAGGCATGAGCCAATATATTACCACCTATTGGCTTCTTGGGATCTGCTTGGAAACTGCATGGGGGAAAAAGATTTTTAGACACCAAATGAAAGTTCTTTAAAGGGATAATAACTCTTCATTTTGGCCAATAAATGAATTTTCCTGGAGTAAACAGCAATTTTCCCACACTTACCAATGGTTAATGAATCCATTTTTACACTCAAAGTTAGTCCCTGTTTTTTCTAAAAAGTTTGTTTTTTTTGTTAAAATCTCCTAGGAGATTATAACAGAGTATAGCCATCAATGGAGGTCACGTGATCTGAAGACAAGCTCAGATATCAGAATAATAGCTATAACTGCTGTTTTTGTCGTAAAACAGAATATATTATATTTCTATGAGTTATTCACAATGTTTTTATTGTGAAATATAGATCTCATACAAAGAGTTATTATCCCTTTAGGATCTTCTTCACTGACACTCTTCCCTTTTGCAGCCAACTGGGCTGTACATGTTATGTGTTACAGACTCTTTCAATGTAAAATGCTTCTTCACTGCTCAAGATTTCAGTATCTGACACAAAAGGACTCTTTTTAGAAGCCGTCATTTTTGTTTACATATTATGAAAAGCTCAAAGCCCTGAGAAAGTTTTTAAAATGCATGGTTATATTTTGTGAAAGTAGGTTGAAAGATGCTATTTTATATATTTTGATATTTTACTATTATATATAATTACTGCAAAAACATTACATGTACCTCACCTCATTGTAGCACCTGGATCTGACGTCATTTGGTTGGTAATAAATACAGCAACATTGTATTCTGAAAATTGATAGTTTATATTTTAATGGTAAACATTATTAAGTTCTTTTTAGCTTTTGATTCAGAAATCAATGTTTAGTAATAAAAAATCAATGTTTTATATGATCTTTCAAATTATTAGAGTTGGGGTAATTCTGTCACTGCCAGTATGAATTTAAATTGCTTGAAAGTGCATAACTGTTGGTCTAATTGTTGTTATTTTTATTACCTTCTGAAATTTTTTGCAGTCGTGACAGAAGCTGCGCAAGTTTTTGTTGCCTGTCTGCAAGTTCACCTCTTCCACTAAAGTCGACTCTAAAGAGAGCCATCACAGAGTCCACTATCTGAAACAAGGAAAACCATGCTACAACTCCAGACTAAACCAAAACAAAATCTTCTTGAATCAAGTCTTTTTAATGATTACTTTGTACATATATCCAAATCTTTAAACTATTTTCACCCTCACCCCTCAAACTGTCAAAAAGTCTATGAATTGACTTTAGAAATACCAATGAGAAATACCATAAAAAGCACAGCCCTGGAATTATTCAGCAGATTATCTATGAAATCACCAATGAACACATTTTGAAAGTGCTTTCTACAATTTCTCCTCATAAAGCCTACATGCAATGTTAACATCATACATTCATTAATCTAAACAATGTATTTAAATATAATCCTGATCACTGAGAATGTCAGTCCATGTTGCTGAAATCAACTGCTATCATCATAACAGCTTCTTTAATTTGTAACTTTCAATTTCAGTTTTTTAAGTGTAAGGTGTAATTGTATTTCACATCATATTTAATTAATATCATGCTATTAATACTAAACTCCTTTCATTTAATAAAAAAATTCTCCCCTGTGCCTTCAATTACTTTCAAAATTAAATATACGTACCAATAATTTAAAAACTCCTGGTTCCTCATGGAACTTGGCTGCTACGAAGTCTAGTAGTTCATACTGGTGTTCACCTGATGGTGTAATTGAACTCTTCAGCATTGTACCATCAGCTTAATATTTGGTTCTTTACAACTCAAGTTTAGTAAATGTACATCTCCTTCATGTTCAAATTCTCAGCTTTTACAATGCAAATAAAAATTATTGAAATCGCTTGATCCTTTATTCCTCCCCACCCCTCCCCCCCCCCCCCCCCCCCAAAAAAAAGATATATGACAATGACAAAATTATTAAAATGATCTTGCTCTGCTATAAAACGTGTACTGCAACTTTGTTTCCAAACAGCCTCTCATTTTCAGACTTTATTGACTCACTTGTATAGGCTCTTGCATACAGAACATTGTCTAATACAGCATTCTGGTCTAGATTAAATCTGTCTGCTATGTCTCGTAATCTGTCTGGACGGCTGCACCAAGGTTAGGATTAAGAAACAAAACAGTAACCAGTCTTGCGGGTGAAAAAAGAATTATGCAAAAGCATTTCAATATACATATTATCTGTACGTAATATTTGTATTCACACATATGGACAGTCTAACAAACTTATTAGTGACTTTTGAAATTCATTTATGACAAAAATAACAAAAAGACTAGATGCCAATATAAATAAATAAATAAACAAACAAACAAACAAACAGATAAAATATAAGGATACAATGTATTCTCTGTATCCACAAAGACCACTTTTCCTCCGGTGTACCCATTTGCTCCAGGAAGTTGAGCAGTGACTAGAATGTAAAACATATTAGATGTAAACCATACTTATTCTGAAGCTGAGAACACCTGGCATTGTACGGACACATAAATGTATCTAATGTATGCATATAAACCTTAAGTTGAAATATTTATATGTAATAAATTTCATTTTAAAACTTAACAAGTTAATAATTGTCCAGCCAAGTTAATCCTACACTTATTTGATCTTTTGTAAGCTTAAGGCTCATGATGGTGGTCAGACCTACCACAAAGTGTGTGAGAAATTTGTGTTTTTCCAGTCCTAAACTCTCCAAATGCTTCTGTGATTGCCATGCTTTCTACCCCTCCTCCAAGAAGTTTGCTGGAAAACCAGAAACAGCAAAGATTGTCTTATAAAAACACCTTCATTCTAAATCATCCACACAGGTTATTTAAAGCCTTGCTGATTTGTTTGTAAACACAACCAAGGGACTTACTCTAATTCTTGACTCCCTGTACTTATCCTAAAGCACTCCTTTCTTTTCTCTGAATATTCTAAAGCTGTGAGAAAACCCGATTCCTGAAGAAAGAAAGCATGTTGGTATCTTAAAGGTATACAAGCGAAATTGTAACAGCCAACATTTCCCATCTGTTAACTCAATTATTTGTACACCTGTATGTGTTAAAATATAATTTGGAAATATCTCCTTTATATTCTTGCATTATGTAAACCATTTTTNAAGCCTACATGCAATGTTAACATCATACATTCATTAATCTAAACAATGTATTTGAATATAATCCTGATCACTGAGAATGTCAGTCCACGTTGCTGAAATCAACTGCTATCATCATAACAGCTTCTTTAATTTGTAACTTTCAATTTCAGTTTTTTAAGTGTAAGGTGTAATTGTATTTCACATCATATTAAATTAATATCATGCTATTAATACTAAACTCCTTTCATTTAATAAAAAAATTCTCCCCTGTGCCTTCAATTACTTTCAAAATTAAATACACGTACCAATAATTTAAAAACTCCTGGTTCCTCATGGAACTTGGCTGCTACGAAGTCTAGTAGTTCATACTGGTGTTCACCTGATGGTGTAATTGAACTCTTCAGCATTGTGCCATCAGCTTAATATTTGGTTCTTTACAACTCAAGTTTAGTAAATGTACATCTTCTTCATGTTCAAATTCTCAGCTTTTATAATGCAAATAAAAATTATTGAAATCGCTTGATCCTTTATTCCTCCCCACCCCTACCCCCCTCCAAAAAAAAAAGGTGTATGACAATGACAAAATTATTAAAATGATCTTGCTCTGCTATAAAACATGTACTGCAACTTTGTTTCCAAACAGCCTCTCATTTTCAGACTTTATTGACTCACTTGTATAGGCTCTTGCATACAGAACATTGTCTAATACAGCATTCTGGTCTAGATTAAATCTGTCTGCTATGTCTCGTAATCTGTCTGGACGGCTGCACCAAGGTTAGGATTAAGAAACAAAACAGTAACCAGTCTTGCGGGTGAAAAAAGAATTATGCAAAAAATTTCAATATACATATTATCTGTAAGTAATATTTGTATTCACACATATGGACAGTCTAACAAACTTATTAGTGACTTTTGACATTCATTTATGACAAAAATAACAAAAAGACTTTAGATGCCAATATAAATAAATAAATAAACAAACAAACAAACAAACAGATAAAATATAAGGATACAATGTATTCTCTGTATCCACAAAGACCACTTTTCCTCCGGTGTACCCATTTGCTCCAGGAAGTTGAGCAGTGACTAGAATGTAAAACATATTAGATGTAAACCATACTTATTCTGAAGCTGAGAACACCTGGCATTGTACGGACACATAAATGTATCTAATGTATGCATATAAACCTTAAGTTGAAATATTTATATGTAATAAATTTCATTTTAAAACTTAACAAGTTAATAATTGTCCAGCCAAGTTAATCCTACACTTATTTGATCTTTTGTAAGCTTAAGGCTCATGATGGTGGTCAGACCTACCACAAAGTGTGTGAGAAATTTGAGTTTTTCCAGTCCTAAACTCTCCAAATGCTTCTGTGATTGCCATGCTTTCTACCCCTCCTCCAAGAAGTTTGCTGGAAAACCAGAAACAGCAAAGATTGTCTTATAAAAATACGTACCTTCATTCTAAATCATCCACACAGGTTATTTAAAGCCTTGCTGATTTGTTTGCAAACACAACCAAGGGACTTACTCTAATTCTTGACTCCCTGTACTTATCCTAAAGCACTCCTTTCTTTTCTCTGAATATTCTAAAGCTGTGAGAAAACCCGATTCCTGAAGAAAGAAAGCATGTTGGTATCTTAAAGGTATACAAGCGAAATTGTAACAGCCAACATTTCCCATCTGTTAACTCAATTATTTGTACACCTGTATGTGTTAAAATATAATTTGGAAATATCTCCTTTATATTCTTGCATTATGTAAACCATTTTAGGAAAAAAGGAACAGACTTAGAATCAGAATGTGAAAACTTAGTACACAAATCTTTGCAGCAGCCTCTTTAATTTTCTCCATCTTGGCTTCTGAAATTCCTTTAATTGTACACATTTTCCTTCTTGTTGTCATGTGAATTCCCTAAAAGGATAGCATCAAAATATTAAAGAAAAACAAAAAACAAAAGTTTCACAATTATCACAAAGTACTTATATGTGCACATTTGGTAATAGCTAGGGTATTTATGTTACAAACAGTTCAAATAAATTGAGAAGTTAACAAGACCTTAGACTTTATTTTAAGCCATTAATTAAACATAATATAATTTTTCTAGTATTTTCTAAAATTAATATGACAAATATCTTTTCTTGTAAGTTTATATAGTTATTCATCAACTCCAAGTCCATACACATGTATATACCTTAACTGTACAAATTCCAGCTTGTTTCAACTTCTTTATATCTGCAACATTCTGAAAATCCATTAAAGGATCAATAAATCAAAAGGTAGTGAAAAGAGTAAGATGTAAATACCAATAATAAGAAGTACCATAAGGTACCGGTATAAGCCCTTGCTATTAAAATACAAGAATTCAAAACATTCTGACATATTAATGCAACTTTTTTGCTTACAATTCCATGGTTCTGGAGGAGATCTATGTCTTGAAAAAATGATTCCTAAAATAGGAAAGATAATAACATCACCAAGTAATCTATTAATGCACTTTCAAAATTTAGAAAAAGTGTGCAATTACATATTTGCATTATCTGTTCTTAATCTAAAGTACAATAAGGATTTGAAAATCCAAAACATACATGTACACAGATTACCTTCCCCCACTGCAAAACCAACCTATTATTCATTTTTTGCAAAATTTTTTTTTACCCTGGTAGGTTTTGAAACCAGATAACCTTACATCTTCTTCTGCCTCCTCATCCAGTTCTTCAACTACAACTTGGTCTGCCATTTTAGTATCTGGAAACTGTAATAAATTGTAGTACGCTTAAATTAAAAAAAAAAAACCGCACAAGCTGGATACTCCAAAGAGTTAATGAAAGTTAATTTATCCTTTACTGGAGCGCTTACTTTTCATAATTTTACAACAAATCAATTTAAAGGTTTCATGTGCCCATGGTACATTGATTATTATCAGCATTGATATATTTTACACTAAATCTACTGCCGCCCAAGGTATTCACTATTTGTCATGATTTTTCTCAAACAAATTGCTTCTCACCTTGGGCTAAATCCTTACAAAATTAATCAATTTAAAACGTAATGAATCAAAGTAAAAAAAAATTGACCTACAAAGGTGTTAAATATGCTACATGAACTAATTTCGTCACGAGATTTTTAGTTGGCAGAATGAAAAAAAGCGTTAATAAACAAAATAGTAAATCGCACTATCACGAATCGTCTGCTTGTATCTTCCTCCTTTCACAGTTGACCTTGACTTTTCAACGATATCTCTCATACGCATGCAAAAATAGCAAGAACCACACACGCATAATAACAATATACATGCAGTCAAGAAGTTTAAATTTATTCCTATTATTGCGAATGATTTTTTTTATTTTGACATATTATTTTAATTGCACTTGGTGAACAAAACTAACTGTTCATATTTTTGACCAAACACAATGAGATACTAAAAGTTTACACACGCTTTACTATTTGCATGACTTGAAAGCGAGACCACTCTACAGAAGCACGTGTGTTTTGTCCTCCGTGAAGCGATATACACGCCGAGAGGATCAAATATTCCACCTTACTTAAATATTTGAAAACACTATTTACGAAAATGGTAAGTGAAAGATATAGTAGAATACTCCAGCTGTGAAAGTATAGGAGATGTCACTTTGTTTATCATTAAAATACTGAAGCACGTTGTTACTATGTTGTTGATCTTTGAAAGTTTCATTGCTATGGTGGAAATACCACAGTATTAAAGATTCAGTTAAGTCTCTTTAGAAAGGAATTAAATTTTTATGATCTTCCCATCCATTCAATCAAAGTTTTGATCAGAATTTTTCACTGGAACTTTAAATCGCAGTTCTGTTTTGAATTGAAATTGGCTTTTCAGAATACCACACGAACATGACTAAAATTTAAAGTCTTGAAATGTGACCATTGTTCTGTTTTCACTATCACCGAAGACTTTGTCTTGAACATTTTGAAGTCATCATTAAGATTGGCTCAGTTGATGGCAAAACACAGCTTTGCTTCAATACTGAAAAATGTGGAAAAGAGCTGAAATGATTGCATAATATCAGACTGTCATAAATTCAGGAGCTTGTTTTTCCGTCAGTATGTCATAGTTTCCTCTTACTCTTAGACTGACGGTGAAGTAAACCCCAAGGCCTATCCACTTGCTGACCCCCAGCTTACTGTAAAGATCCTTGATATAGTACAACAGGCATGTTCATACAAGCAGCTTAAGAAGGGGGCTAATGAAGGTTAGTTTTCATATTGAATATTTTTCCCTTTTGGAATTTTCGTTTTGAAAAGAGTTTTGTTAATTAAAAAACTGAATTGTTTAGTACAAGAGCTATATATGATAATGATGGGTGTATAAAAATATTTTGTTTTCCTCGATTCAATCTTTTATAGTCATATTGTTACTATGAACATTAATTGAATATATTTGGCTTGCGGAACCTGGCAATACGTTGAATATCATATTAATATTAATTATTCACAGAGGAAGTTTGACTAAAAATCACATATTCTGAGATATTTATAAATATCAGGAAATCTGTAGTTAATGAACCATACTTTTGATGTGTAGCCACCAAGACCTTGAATAGAGGGATTGCAGAGTTCATTGTTATGGCTGCTGATGCTGAGCCACTGGAGATCCTCATGCACCTACCATTGCTGTGTGAGGACAAGAATGTTCCTTATGTCTTCGTAAGGTCCAAGCAAGGTAAAAAAAAACATCCCAGTGTATTGCTTGATATAAATCTTGGATTATTATGAAGAATATAAAGACCTGTCAAATATACTGTTTAGTGTTAAGTTTATGAAATAACATACTTAAGTCCTTCCATGTTGAAAATATTAGCTAATTATTCATTCTAAAAGTGATAATTTTTTCAAATTATTTTCCCTGGGCTGTTAATGAAATGAAAGTTACTTTTATTACATTGTGCAGTAATTGGTTAGAGGGATAAAGGGTTAAAGGGATAACTCTTCATTTTGGCCAAAATAATTTTTCTGAAGGAAACAGCAATTTTCCCATACTTACCAATGGTTAATAAATCCATTTTTATATTCAAAGTTAGTCCCTGTTTTTTTTTTCTAAAAAGTTCCATCAATGGAGGTCACGTGGTCTGAAGACCAGCTCAGATATCGGAGTAATAGCCATAACTGCCGTTTTTGTGGTAAAACAGAATATATTATGCGATTTTTTTATTGTGATATATAGATCTCATACGAAGAGTTATTATCCCTTTAACAATTTGGTATACAATTGTTGTGACAACCTTTGTCTTTTCAGCACTTGGCAGAGCATGTGGAGTATCCCGCCCAGTGATCGCCTGTGCTATCACAGTCAATGAAGGATCTCAGTTGAAGCCACAGATCACAGCTACTCAGCAGGCAATTGAGAAACTTTTGATTTAATTTGTATGAATATCAGCAGTTAAAACTTTGAAAGTTTATAAGTACTGCATTTAGTTTTATATGGATTAGCTATACCTGCGATGTTTCCGAATTCTCAGGAAATTTTTTTTTCTTTTTTCACAAAGGATGTTGATTTCTAAGGGCCTCACTGAAAGAAATGAATCGTTACGAACAGTGTTAACCTTTGTTGGATGTAAACATCCAAGTTCAGTTGTATGTAGATTGGTAATTATGGTAACTTTGACATGTTATGATATTTAGATATATATATATATATATATCCAGACATTTTAATGGTCAAGAGGAGTGTAACCTCTGAAAACTTTTATGAAGAAAATAAACTTTGAAAATTCTATTATCTATGAATTTGAGTGTTATGTTGATATTGTGATAGTTGAGCCCAACACAACCATCCACTTTGTTTTCTTAAGACTTGTGATTGAGGTTTGTCTTGTGTTAGCCACCTAGTGGCCATATTGCATGTTTATTCAGTAAACTTTCAACATTAGCAACCGCCAAACAATAATGGAACTGCAATTTGGTTCAATAATTTTATTGTAAAGCACTTGGGAGACTAGAGTGTATCCTAGATGTGGTAGAACGTTTTGAACGGTATCAGGATTTTGAGGTAAATTGACATTTTCTGTCATTTTTTTTGTATATACCACATTTTAAGAAAGTAAACAAATTAGTGTAATTTAATAGTGGTGTATGTAAGCAAGTGCTCTGACCTGTTATGCTGACAAGGACCTATCTGAATGATGAATTGTTTGGAAATGGCTCCATATGGAACTTCAATTCAAGTGACCTGTTTTTTATGGGAAATACTTGTCTATGACAATTGGCTTATGGAAGTAGCACCTGTATTATAGTATACTACCAGTACCAGATCATGCCCAGAGGAATGTCCATATGTTACTGTCACATGGACATCCTTCTATGCCTAATAATAAAAGGATATGAATGTGCCTCTGTCATGTAAGATGTATATCAATTCATATTTTACTTGGAATTGCAATATACCATGACTTGATTATCAATCTTGTCGTGTTTAGCAAACACCAGTTTAATCTACATATAGATATCTGAAGTCTCATATGCCTGTACTAATTAAGATATGCCCAGTTTAGAGCGGAGTTGGGACAGACAGGTATTAGGTACTTTCACTAGCATACAGTCGCGACTGGTCATGCTCTGTTAACCTCAGATATGAATAGGAATAATCTCAAAGGCATATATCAGTATCATTTATCTTCCCACAAAGCAGGGTGTGACAGGCCCAGTGTGACAGTTTATTTGTTTTAAATTGCATGAGCATATTTGTGTTCTATCTTTAAAAAGATGTGCATTTGGCAGGTAGGTTAAGAATGCAGATTATATCTTATTTACTTTTTTGTTGTTGTTTACTGGTAGGAAAGACTTAACGTACATTCACACAATAGAATGATTTAGTTATCTGTTAACTCTGAAATTTTATGTGTAACAAAGATAAGATGTATAAAAAGCAAAGAAGACCATAAAGAAGTGTTGTATGCTATCAGATTTTATGGATTTGCAGTGGAAAACTTTATGATAAGCCAACAACCCATTGGTTTGGTTTAGTTTACAATATTTTCATGTTTGTATGCCATAAGGTGGTGGTTGGTTGTAGTTGTTGAAGACCTGAACATTTGGTAGAAGTGATTTTTACTGTCTCAAATTCAATAAACTTTCCTCTGAAGATAATCACAGGTTTCTGGGTCTGTTGGAAAGCTCTCCTGGTAATCCGCGTGTAATCATGATAATCCATGTATGTTAGGTGAGTTTTCAGCAGAATCTAAAACTCAGGGTGCTTCAAGGTGGGCAGGTATAACTCCTACAAGTTAAGGCTGATGACATCAACTAATTCATTAAAACCTTAAACCTGATTATCCATACACGTAAAGACCCAATTTAACTGTATTGAAATTCTATGCATGCCAGGACCATGTATAATGCAATTTTGAAAGGTCATGGATTGGTTACAGTGAGTCACTGCCAGTGGATTCAGGCACACATAGCTGTCTGCCTGCCTGGATGTATGTAGGACATAGTGGGTGGGAGTTTGATTTGGGATGCTAGGAAGTGAACATGCTCACACCCTTGGTATGCGGATTTACATCATGTGGGCATTGGAGGCACTATTTTAAGGTGGATCTGATCAAACTCGTTTGCTGACAAGATAACCTTGCTGTTGAAAGCTTTTTTATAGCTGTACATTAGTTGTATATTTGTAAGTATTACTTAGCAGAGAATTAAGTACCAAAATATGATAAGGTAGAAAGTTGTCATTTTTTTATCTTTAAAATAATGCATATTTGACAAAAGTTTAGAAGTATTTAGAGGTAACTTAGAAGTAAATGCATATGAGTATCAAGTGAAGTACCATCTATTGCCTATGGGTTTTTATTTGATAGATTGTGAAGTGTGTAGTATTGCACGTATCTTATCCCTTTCATATTTTTTTTATCTGGATATTGTTAAGTTTTACTCAATGATCCTTCATATATTTGCTTTTATGTTAAGAAAGCACACATACAGTGTAGGTCTCAAGGTTAAGAAAACAAATGTTAAGTGCTGGTAGCGTAATGGGTATCATTATACTTCCGTATCATTATGCCATTATTTATTCATTTTTCTTATTGCCAGTGCTACATTTCTGCTCACAATTCAATCCAATAATACGGAAAGTAGCTTTGCAGTTAACACCCTATGATCATACAATATTTACCCTGTTGTGGTGATTGCTATGGTTTGTGCCTGAAGGCTTTTATGGGATTATGGGTCTACCACTACTGCTACCCCAGGTCAGTTAATGTAGATTTGTGGCCAGACAACTATGCTTACTGTCATAGACTACATTTATGTGTAATAGTTGGAAGTTGTTACAAATGTATGATAACCATTCAGTCCTCAATTTACCTGGCCATTCCTCATGTAATTGACAACCCTATTAGATATATACAGGTATTTCTCTGTCTAATGTGTATCCACTGCAAATTCACGCATATACAGCTTTCTCTGTTCATTTCTCCTGTGATTTTGGATTTATTTCAGTCAATGGTGCTTTTTTCTGAAAAAGTCGACCTTTAAAAATCCTTGTTGTCCCAACATGAGAAATAGCATACAACCATAGTGGATCAAATTTTTATTCAGAGGGATATGGGCCTCTTCCACTCAAAGAGGGAGGGTACCAGTATTTTAACATCACCTACCACCCCACTCCCGTGGACTTGTGTTTGAAAAGAAATAAAGTCATCTTTGCAGCCTTGAGTGAATTTTTGGTTGCTGGAGGATGCATCAGCCCATTATGATGCCTTCATGAGCAGCTCCAACTTCAATACACTATTACATAATAGAAAAGTTGGTGTTAGGTAATCTGTTTGGACAGGTAGCCATTCATTTTGGGGAGCTGATTGATCAGCAGGTGTCCATTAGTTACAGGTGAAGCGGGGATAGTAAGTTGAGATAGTAAGTTTTTGATATTTTCATGGCCAGAATTTAAGGAATCATTTCGTTTGCAGTAAGTGACAATATTGAAACTTCACTTTCACATGAGTTAGGTCAAGGAATTTTATGTATAAATCTTTGGTGTAGTTGTTTAGATAATAAGACTCCAATTTTACATTTTTGATGCACTCCAGTCCAAGGGTTGTAAGCATGTCACATAATAGAAGGCTTGTTTTGGGTGGTGCCATACTTGTGAAAGCTGTACTTAAAATTGATCTAAAAAGATGCCACACCCTACCCGCTATTATATAAGGTGAAATGTACATGCATTTCTTCTTAAGTAGTGATTTTGTTTTGCTTTGTGTTTACTGAGATATGATACACTCTGAGACGTCTTTCCTTCTCTTGTCAGCACTGCTAGTCTAACTCATCAAAGAGTGTGTTTATCTAATACTGATAGATTATGTATATTTTGTGATGAATTTTGGATTATTTAAAAGAAAGGCAAATACAGGTAACAACCATCAATGTACAGGTAAGGAAATGCTTGTCAGTTATCTATTATCAGTGTTTGTTGAGCAATGATAAATTCTTGATAATTTGGAAACTACAATGGACTAAGCTGGTTAGTGAAGGATCATCGAAATGATTATCTGAATATATAGACAAAGCATTTTGTCTGATATCAAGTGTTCAAAGTTCAAGCTAAGAAATTAAGACTGAAAATATATGTTGACAGCTAAAAAAAGGTGGGTGTTTCTTACATAATGATCCCACAAGAAGTTGTGTTGTTAAGCCCCTTGGCAATGTGGTGGTACCTGTATCCAGCTTTTATTTAGGACAATGTATTTTAATAATATATGATGTTAGGGGGATGTAGACAATGTTGGAAATGTTTTCTGTGCACATTTCGTGGAAAACTATAAGTACTAGTAAGGGATATGTTAGACTTAGTTTTTAATTTTAAGTAAATTTAAATTTTCAAGTTAATATGTCAAAGAAATTGTGTACTTTTCTTGTAAATCTATACTTTTAATAATATATTTCAGGTATATAACAGCAGTGTATTGATTGCAGTCAATTCCTAGTAAGAGGTATTTATAACAGAATTTGCAGGAGTTGGCAAACTCCTAAGAACCACCATCAGCATGAGTAACAATACAACCTGCCCTGATTACACTGTGTACAAGTGTTATGATTATGGACTAATATTGCCCCTCACTAATGAATCAACATGGAGCATAGGATTCCGTGCATTTATCTACTTACTTGGACTTCTTTGGTGCTTCCTTGGAGTGTCCATCATAGCAGACTATTTTATGTGTGCTATTGAAAAAATTACGAGCAAAACGAGAAAAATCAAAGTAGCAAAACAGAACACAGGTGATGAAAATGATTATGAAGAAATTGAAGTCCGAGTTTGGAACGATACAGTTGCTAATCTCACTCTCATGGCCCTGGGCTCCAGTGCACCCGAGATCCTGCTGTCTGTATATGGTATCATAAAGAACAGATTTGAAGCGGAAGCTTTAGGACCGAGTACAATTGTGGGATCTGCTGCTTTCAATCTTTTGTGTATTATCGCTGTTTGTATTATGGCTATTCCATCACCTGAGGTCCGACAGATCAAAAGTGTCAAGGTGTTTGCCATAACATCATTTACCAGTATATTTGCCTACGTCTGGTTGATCATCATACTTGTTGGAATCACCCCAAATGTTGTGGACCTTTGGGAGGCCGTCATCACCTTCCTCTTCTTCCCCATATTGGTTATCGTAGCTTATATCGCTGACAAGGACTTCTGTACCAAGAAACAAGTGGATGACAACAAGATAGAACTGGGATTTGGTGAGTTTTTAATTATAAAAAGATTTTGCACCAAGTTAATAGTATTTATTTATTTATTTATTTATTTATTTATTTATTTATTTATTTATTTATTTATTTTGAGATTTCATAGCTATATTAGATTAGAGCATGTTTGATATCTTCCAAATTTTGCAATGACATAAAATGCATAAAGGTTTTATTGCATGAACCCTGTGAGTACTGTACATGTATAGTATGAAACTTCTGTTTGATCTAAAACTTGAGTGACTTTGCATCAGCACTTGCTTTGACCGTATATCTAATGTAGTCATTTTTCTTTGCAATTTTTTTAAAATTTCATGAAAAAAATTGCTATGGACTAATGAATTATTGTTCCCTCACATTTGCTACGGAAGTGGGTAAATACTAGTAAATGAGTTAAATTGTTCCTTGTAGTGTGCAATGCTTCATATTTGACTGAGTGACACACCATCCGCTGCTCCTTTTTAAAGGACAAACTTGTATCCGCCCAGTAATAGTATTATCTCCTCCACCCACCTTGCTAAGTGATGTGACACTTTTACTGGCAATCTTAATATTTATTACCTCACCTCATTTCTTGACCTGACTCCATACTCTGGCTTGCTTTTTGTGGTAAACCTCATAAAGTTGGCATGTGAGAAATATCTAATGCTTGTGCCTCTTGACCTCAATTAATATTTGTCCATTGAATGATGATGTGATTCAGTACCTTTTTTTATTTAATCAAAGTATGCAGTAAGTAATGACCAAGTATTACAAAAATGAATTTCTGTACTCTTAAGCTAGATAAGAGATGCTCACAATCTTGAAATTTGATCAAGAGTACAGCTGTGCCAATTTGTATTGTGCACAAATGACAGTAGTTGCTCATTCTCCCTCCCATGCATAATACAAGTTGGAACAAAATGTTGAGTCATTCTGACAAAACAAACACTCAAATAAGAGATAAAATATAAATCAAAATAATAAAAATAAGGCAGCTGACGGTATGATTTAATAAAAATGGACAGTCAGTTCCTTGCCCTTATAGTCTCAAACATTACAATTGCTCTAGTAAATGAGCAAAAATCAACATTAGCTTGGCACATGTAGTTGGATCAAATATGATAATTATAAAACACAAGCTGAAATATTTTTATGCCATTAGCTTATGGCCAATCTAGATGTACTAGTAGGCCTTTGTCACACTGATATGAGTAGATGTTGTTACTCACTGACCACTAGGTGGTCCAGGTTGGCCGTAAGCTAATAGTATGAAAATATTTCGGCTTGTGTTTTATAATTACTATATATGATCACAATTTGCTGTTGTATATTTAGCTTTGAGCAATTTGTTTTTAATAGTATTTAGTTTCATATCTAATGGTTGAAATATGACAAGGCTAATCAATCTCTGAGATCAGGTCCTTGGTTTTAATAGTGAATTAAATTTGAAATTGGTCAGATGAGGATCACCCAAGATTAAGTTTCTCCTTCATCTTAAAGTAAGGTGAGATTTCACACTTATTCTTGAACTCCACCTCTACCAAATCTCGCACATTTTCCAGTCTCATGTGATGTCAGGCCCTACACACAGCCTTGGTTTTCTCTGATTTCCTTCCAGACGATACAATGAAGAGCCATTTCTGCTGAAAGCCCCAACCATCATGAATAGCATGGTCAGTTTCTTTTATTTCATGCCGGACACATAGTGAGTCTTGGCAAGATGCCAATTGCAATTGTTGATATTGCCCAGTTGCCACTCATGAAACATCAATTCTAGTCCATTCTCTGGTCAATTATTTAATTGGTAAAGTGACAATTTCTTTACTGCAGCAGTGTTACACAGTCAGTATGAAGATCATGGCACTTACTGAAATTCAATATTTCATACTTGAAATAAGCTACTTCAGCATTGTGATAATATTTTCTTGATCAGCACCCAATGGTTGAAAGCAAGTCTGAATGTACCTGTTGTATCTGTCTGAATATACTTTGCATCAAAATATCATGTTTTGATGTTGATGATGGCACATTCATTTTAATTTGTAATTGCATAAGAGCAGGTGGTTGAACACTGGTCTTGTCACAGGTTTTATGTTAGATATATAGTTTCTGTTTAAAGATGCACATTTTTTAAGTATTGAGCTGATTTGCTTGTGTGAAATTCAAATGTTAAATTTGTATGTTGTTCATGCTTGTCAATGTCAGTATCAGAGTTGCATTTCAGATGAAATTTTGTTTTAATTTGTGAATGTTTGAAAACGCATGATATTATATTCAGGCATGTCATTTGAGATTTGTATCAAGCTGTATTGGTTTGTGTTGTTTCACTGTAAATCACACATTTTGAAATTCCCAAATGACATGGCTGTGTGTTGTACAGTTGTATTTGATGTATATTTTAAAGGCACTGCTCTTAAGTGATGCTCTGCATAGAAACTGGTAGAAAGAAACATCTCCCATTCTCCTATAGCACTTTCTTTTTTCCCCATTAAACACTCCGTTTTCCTTCCCTGAATTTCAGAGCTGTTAATCAGATATTGTTTACTCTAAGTTCTTTAAGTTCATCAGACAGCATTCTTGATGACGTGATTGTCCACAAGATGCTGAAGTTCAGGGAGATCTTTCCTTAACTCACAAAAAATAATAATAATGAGCATTAAGGAATGTTACATATACTGTACTTAACATTACCTCATGATTGAAATATATTTTATTATTTTAATGATAAAAAATTAATACCCTGTCCCTAAATCCAAGGGAAATATACATATTAATAGCTCACTATATACCTGTGTATTTTTACAGTATAAAGTACTGGGATATTCCTTCTTGAATGAATAGTGATAGTAGATGGTAACATTCCAAACATACCATACCTGTCCTGTACTGTAGAATTCAGAAATTATGAGGTGCATCATGATTCATGTTAGATTGATAAAACAGTCTTTTCCATAACACTGAATAGCTTCTTGTGTCAAACTTTATGCTTTTCTTCCATCCCTTTGTAGTGTCTTACCCTATATAACCACTCATACATGCATCTGATTGTAACAAACAGACAGAATGACCTGCATGAATTAATTTGAATGGAGTACTAACAAATTGAAATAATAAAACCATAAACCTAGGCTCACTCTCACATTACACATCTTTGATATGGCTATTCAGAAAAATGAACCCTTTATTTTCATAACAAAACAACATCTGGAACTTAACCAATATTTTTGCACTTCCATTACCCATATGTTTGAATAAAATATATTTTGATTTAAAATTTTATTTTCTAATAAAAGTTTCAGAAATTTGATAAAATTTCAAATGTTAAAGTGAGCCTATATTGAATGAATATTAATGGGAAAATATATAATAATTATTTTTCCAACATGCTAGTACTGACCAAAACTGCAACCAGAACATAGTTAAGGCGTAAAAACTGAAATACGTTTAATTGCATGGTATCATGTTTGCATGGCCAACTGTTAAACCGTGTCATAAAATGCCAACCTTCTCAGAGGTATAATTATGAGGCTGTTGGATGGCTAGGGGGAATAATAATGCATGCATAGAAAATATTATCAGATATTTTTCAGTGTGCTAGAGCGTAACAGCATCAGCTTATACTGCAGTCTTATAAAAAGAATGCCTTTCATCCTAATCTTGACGGACAAAAGTGCAGTGTTCAATTGGCTGTGGAAAATATTACCCTGTGTTCAGGGCTGCTGAGCCAAACATTGACCTGCACTGATACTGATCTGATGGAAAAATCAATGCAGAGAAATAGAGAGTTAAACTTCTGTTATATAACGGGACAAGGCATGGCTTTACTAGATGGCGTACTTCTGGGTGTATATATATATATATATATATATAACAAATGTTCTGGTTTTCTTTTAGTTCCTTCATATAGCATTCTTTTCTTTATTGGCACATATATAAATCACTTACTTGAAGGAAATTAAGATACATATTTTCTGTATATAACACGGATGTGGACCTCTTTCACTATATCACTTTATGTTGTGTTCTTCAGGTCTTCGTAAATTAAAAAAAGGCGTTAAGTATGTCTTTAATAGAGGTAAGCTACTTTGGATTGACCATTTTAAACAGATGTAAGTCTCAAATTTGACCATCTCTGTTACTTTTACACATCATTTCAAGCACAATCTAACACACAATACTTGTATTTCTGAAAAAAAGAAGACACCAAACTAGATCATCAAAAGAAAGTGGATATTTCACGTGATGGTTTCTTTCTTAGTGTTCTTGTAGTTGTTGTGTTTACTTAACACACATGAAAGTCTGCAGGTTAGTATTTATGATTTATATTGAAGGATAGATAATTTTGCACAAAGTTTTGTCTCTTTGAATCATCAGTAACACCCTATACAAGATGGACATGCACTTCTATCTGTACTACTAGCTTACATTACTTATCAGTGGAACACTTGTGTTATCCAAACTTACAGAAAAATATTTTGGAGTAGGTACCCACCTCTCGCACCAAAAGTGATAAAGGAAACAAGGTAGGGTAAACAGTGAACAGGGACATATAAACAAAACACTGTGATATATGTTTTTCCAAACATACACGTTTTTCAAATTACCACAGGGAAGCTTTAATGACATATTAGACAAATGTACACGATTGTTTAATACGCCATCTATAGGATAAGTTACAGTCTCCATAGCTACAGTAACTGTTAAAACACTAGTACGTAACTGAAGTTGCTGTCTAGGTATTGATTAATTGATGCATCAATTACAGTATTATTTAGAAAGGCATTAAGTCACTATTTACAATATCAAACTAAAACAGCATTAACACAGAACACCTAATACACCAAACAGTATACGCCCTATTCATGTACACCTCTGCATAATGAAGTTAAACAATGCTTTTCGATCATTTGCCTCCTATCTCTTATTTACAGTAACTAGGCGTACTTTATGATTTTGTTGACTTAAGAGGTGTTAATAATTGATCTTTTTACATGTTACTTACCACTTTGCATAAGTACATGCACAATTATCAGGGGGATTTGAGACTTGGGTGTAAAACGTCAAAATTTCCTGATTGTGAAATAGATTTTCTGTCAGAATAATTGCATTTAGACAAATATGTTGACATGAGGACTTTGGTACAATGTATCATTTTTTATCAAAACAGGAAACTGTATTCATTCCAATATCAGAATTGAGAACTGCTCAGTTTTATAGAGTGTATTTATAACTTTGGTCTTTAAACCTGAGGCACTTCATCCTGGTAACGCAAATCACAAACACAGCATGCACACTCATGCATGTACAGATTCACACGTAATTTTGTCAAGTGAATGAACATCTTGTTATATATTTTTTATTCAAGGAAAACCTTTCTAGTTTGTGAATTTCTTATTAATTTCAACCATTCATTTTGAAGACTTGAATATCTCCAGTGAACCTATGCACTGTTGTCTCCTCTCTCAGTGTGTACTTCTAAATTATTAAGACCGGAAAAGGGCCATTTTGATCTCTCAATAAATAGTTGATGGATAGTTTGCATGAAAGATGTTCCTGACTATTCCCCGTCATTACACCTATACAGCCATGATGTATGATATACGCCCTGTTTTCAACCCAGTAATATATGACAGTAAGCTGAATATAGTACACTTTAAAAACTTATATGGCTTTGTAAATGACATTTTTTTAGGCCTTATTTCTCAAAATGCATATCAACATGATATTGCATTGATGTTATTTAAAGTCTAGATAAGCATACACCCTCAACATATTGAATACAGTCATGCGTTTTTATGAATCAGTGAAAGTGTCTCGGCAGTTGAGTGGATAAGATGACAGATGGTCCTCTAAATTCCTTTCATGTCCCTTCTATGACATATTGGTAAGAATCACTATACAGTTACATGTATGCCTGCATCCCTGAGCCGTTTGAAAATAATGACACTAATGCACCTGTAGTTTATCATGGGTGCCAAAGTATTGTCTAACAAGATGGACAGGGTCAGTAGACAGACTAGAATCCCATCCCAGTCCCCAAGCATTAGGAAGGTGATCTATAGTACTTCTTGCTGTAACGTATAGAAGGAATGCCATTGGTTTAACTTCAAAGTCATCCCATAGATTCTTAAAGTATACGTATCTTGTGGATATGTTGTGGTGTGGGGAAATTGGATTTTGCTTTACCCATTAGTCAGTTGCTGTGACTGGGTTAGATGATTATCCTCCATGAGAAAATCTGATAAAGTGTGTTTTTTACGATCTCTGTAGGTACTAGTATGTATGTTTCCTCTGTCTACGCCTACGTCTGAATACATTTATCTGTTGTCTTGGTCCACCTGGTGTTTGTATTTCTCTTATAGAGCTATATTCTTTGGGCTTGAAAAGCTATTCAGTGGACACTGCTTGTCTCTGTGAATTTGTATTTGGTGATTGGTCTGCTGGTTAATAAGATGTCAAAATCCACAATTTTCTCTTTCATTTTATGTAAGACAATCAAATAATTAGTATTAGCACACAAGCAAATAAGTACAAATTTTAGTGCTTCAGCACAAAGCTTAAAACCCCAAAAGATAATTTGCAAATGCCAATACCCCTGAACATGTGTACTTTTATGTTAAAACATATAGTTCTATACAGAATACAGAATCACAGGTGCATACATTTCCCTATGTACTTTCATCTAAAGAGGTCCTCCACATGTGCATTTTGTTGCTTATATTCTTACAATTTACACATTAATTTGTCACTTACTGTCCAGTGAGAATGTTCAACAAAACTTTCACCGGTTTTGTTCAGTTTTCCTTAACTCCTTTGTGTGTTCTTTAACTTGTGTTTAAAGTGAATACTGATAATGGATTTGTTGAAAAAATATATTGCATTACCTAACCTAAATAGTATCAGTACGTCAACGTTGCTTTTAATGTGATTATTTTCATTGCCAAAGGTTAAACGAGAACCTTGTATTTTTTACAGATGAGAAAGAACACCATTCTTTGGAGGATGGAGATGTGGATAAGGAAGCCCTGGCAGAATTTCTGAAGGTAAAAAACTCCTGGCTACAAATAACTTTCTTTTTTTATTTGGCACAAAAAATTTTAATGTGTTATGCTGTAATAAGAATCCATATAGGAACGTTTGTATTATATTGTATTATATTTTGTGTTGTATGGTATGCACCCTATTTTTCTGTATTATTATATAATATATATTATTATATATTATATAATATATATTATATATAATAATATTTATTATATAAAATGCTCTTTTCATGCATTGGATGTCATACAGTACCACAATGGCAAAGCATACTATTGACCTTTAAAAGATTGCTTACTTACAAGATTGGTGTCATGGCTTGGCAATAAGTTAGAATGTGAACAATACAATGATAATATGTGGCTAAACAGAAAAATAAGTTGTGGTTAACTAAAACTGTGCCATTGCCCTCTACATGCCAAACCAACATTTGCTTTCTATCAATATTTCTTTTTATATACTCTTCTTTCAGGAAATTGGTAAGCACCCCGACTTGTCTGAGGAGGAAATGGCGAAGTTGGCAGCTCTAAAATATCAAGAAAATGTGCCTCATAATCGTGCTTGGTATCGTATAAATGCCACCCGTGGATTGACCGGAGGAAACAAGTTGGTGCCCACTATGAAGAAAGATCTGCAGGATGTATGTGCATGAGTGCTATTTATTTATTTATTTATTTATTGTTTGACAATTTGATATTGGTGTTTATTTTACATGCATATAATAAAACTAATCATGGGAATTAAAAAAAACAAGCTTCCTAAATGCATGCACATGATAAGAAAATTCAAATAACTTCACACTTTTTGTGAATCAGTAACAAATCAATATCTGAAGTTTTCTTATCATGCAGGCACATGATAAGAAAATTTCAGTTAACATTCTGTTGGTTAATGCTTAAGATATGAACAACTGTGAGAATAAACATAACTTGGTGGTACATATACAAAAACAATATATGAATCCGGTACAATACACTTAAACTTTGCACACAAACTATTTTTTATCTGCATGTATCTGGACTAAACCTTAAAAAACAATTCCAATGATTCATTATATTGCAGATGTTAAATATATATATAGCAGACTTTGGGAGCAGTTTGAACACCTAAAATTATGCATATTTTTTCTCGTTTAAGTATGAAAATTAGTAATAATTTGAACATCATTGAGCACATTCTCAACGAATTAAGCCAGGCTTTACAAAGCCGGTGACCTAAAAATGGCGGACGTACATGAAAGAAAAACCGCCTAATCTTTTAATAGTCTCTCCGCCTCTCACACGCCTCACCACACGTCGTCCCTGCGGGGTACAGTAATTAAATCTCGGCCCCGGACATTAATATTTCCGTGAATATCTCTGGTGATATTATCTCCGTAGATAGTCGATTCATTGCTGCTCTACGGGCCAAATTATTCCTTTTTCGTCTCTGTTTTCAAAGATAATAGAACAGAAGAGCTTTTTCCCTTCGATCGCCTTCAGCCGCCATGCTTTCTTCACCACGAGTTTAACTGATGAGCATGCGCACTTAATATTTCTCAGGTAGCTTCCGCATGGCGAACGGAGACGCGATTTAATTACTGTACCCCGCAGGGACGACGTGTGGGGAGGCGGAGAGACTTTTAAAAGATTAGGCGGTTTTTCTTTCATGTACGTCCGCCATTTTTAGGTCACCGGCTTTGTAAAGCCTGGCTTAATTCGTTGAGAATGCGCTCATTGTATTGTAAGATGCAGTTTGCAGAATATTACTAAGTATTGTTACACTTACAGTACATAACTAATAAAAGCATGTATTAAATAGATCTATGAGGCAGCCAAGCACCATGAGCCAGAAAAAGATCGACTGGCATCCCAGGGGAGCCTGACTGACCTCAGTGAGAAGGGTACTAGGGCCGTCATTGAATTCACGGCCACCTCATGTGCTGTACTGGAGAACGAAAAGCGTGTGAGGATTGGTATCAGACGAAGTGGGAAATTGGACTCAAAAGTGATCTTCAGGTGATTATTGTGCTTTTCTTTTGCCACGTATTGTCCAAAGGGGCAAACATTTTGTTGGAAAAAATATCAAGTCTTGTGACTAATTAGTTTGCATCATTGGTTAAGTGTGCCATGTATAAAACATTTAAACTTATCTTTGTTGTTTTATTTAATTTCATTAATACTTGGGAATATTTAAGTGGCCAGTGATGACATTGAGATATGAATGGAAAATGTTAGGTCAAGCATAAAGAAGTTTTTAAAGCATCATCAAAAGTAATTTTAATGGTGTATATTTCATGAATAATTTTTCCTCTTTGCTTTTAGAGATGCACTTAAGCATTAATGGAATTAAGATTCACTCCATTTTTGAGTGGGAGAGTTGTTTTGGATATTTCATCTTATATTTGCATTATTCTTTTTAGTATGTATAAATCAAATGACATTTCATTTGGTTTTTGAGTGTCTGTTATTATTCATTGTCAGTATGTGGTTATTGCCCCCCCCCCCCCCTTTTTTTTTTATAAGAAATCAGAGCTGAATCCTGTCTGGAAAAAAGCAGTCATGGATCAGCCTGTGAATATATTGATTTCTGGGTGCAATTTCTAATTTTCAGCTGAAATCAGTTATATAATCACTCTCAGTGGTCCCGGTGCACACCATTACCAGAGACCTGTTACTGGAATAATGATAATAGCAGCCGTCACATTGATTCCCACCACCAGAGAATGAAACCATTAAGCTGCTTTACTAATTTACTTCCAGCAGACTAATTCTGCTGCTCTTTCATAATGTCTCCCCATTGGTTGTTTTGATATGTGTGCGTCCATGAGACGGGACATTGAGTCTGGAAGATAAAAAAAGCCATACATGGTATTTATTTAGGGTCAGTGCTTTGGAACTGAATTACATTGACAACATGCACATTTTGTGTTTGAGTTCTTCATCACATGCATGTTTATTAAGGACATACAGTTGATGTATAGTCTAAACAATGCAACAGTTAACATCAGGAGAATGGTTGATTATTCCGTGCCTGAGAATTTAATGGTTTTCATCAATTTCTGATGCAAATTAATGTGGTATTTGATACAAGGGTTCAGGGAGTGCCTATTCCATGCTGACAGATACTCAATTATTTTGATGAATAGGCCTGTAGTGAAATGCAGCAAATATAAGAGATAGATTGCATATTGAAAAGGAAAGTTTTCTGTGACTGTTTTACATGATATTTGTAGCTGTAATGACATTGTTTCTTTTACAAATATTTTTGCAACCAATTGTCTATTATTCTTTGTCATTCACTGTGGTTTTGTTTAAGAAAATTCTGTTCAAGATTATAAAAACATGGCATAGAGGGCCAGTGTTGGTGCAAAATACTCCACTAGACAGATTTTGATCACACCCTCAATTCTTCTCCCTTAATGTACAGTTTCAACTTATTCATTCAAGCACCGAATGCAGCAGTTTTTTTTTTCAGGTCATTTTTTTATTCTTATCTTTCATTGTAAGTAAACCATGCATATGTTTGACATAATTTTAAGCTTCCTTGTTTAATGGTTTTTTGAAGTTTAAATGTTTTGAACAAAACATACTTATAACAGACCAAATAATGAAAATGGAAAATCTTGCTTCATTTTGATCCAAAAGATTAGAGCCTTATCCCTGAAAGAATTTTTTTATCTCTGAAACTGTTCATGGATTCTGCTTGACAACATAGAAACAATATCAGGCCCACATGGGATGTACTCATGTTGAGGTGAACAATGCCACTTGTTTGTCATACTTTGTCATAGAACTACTTGGAAACATCTGACAAGGCAGGAACTCTCATTGTTTCAAGTGATAGATCGACCAATCGGTAGACTTCTACTTAGTGCAGAAAAAATCCATCTCTGCAGAGATGTGCCTTAATGGTTCCAGTGTGCGATGGGGTCAGGGTTGTTCAAATGGCCGGGATTACTTAGCCTTCCATTTCCTTTTATAATAGAAATGATGATTAGTTTCTTGAGCCCAAAATGCCTATTTTTATTGCCATACTTAGTATTGTCTCGCCCCTTTCCTAAGTATATTTTATGTTTCCAGCTCTTTGTCTCTTCACTGTGATGTTTTCAAGATTTTTATGCTTAACTTTTAAGTACTTAATTATACATTTTTGCAGATCTGCACATGCGTACACACATGCACGCAGAGAGTAAAAATCAAATGTAGAAAAAATTCCTGTTAATATGCTGTTATGCCCTTTGATGAAAATATCTCATGTATCCACTGAGTGAACTATTTGATTGATCCAGCTAAAGAGAAAGTCTATGAGTCTTTGCTCAATTAGCCACATGTATTGAGATTATTACAGTGGAATAACTTGTTTAGTCCCCATTCCTGATATTTCATGCAATATACTATTTTTGCTACATTAGATATTAATGAACACTAGTGAGTTCTCATATAAATTGTGCTTCATGTAGATTTAATGCCTTGATAATTTTATGATGGTATTTTTACTAATTGCAAGAGAAGACTCTTTCCCATCTTATTTCTATACTCCATTTTTTTGTCAAACAAAAATACAAAACAAAATGAGGTAAAAAAAATTAATCCATGTGCCCCTTCTCTCCTCCTCCTTTGCTAAATGCTAGATCTGTTACTGGTATAGACCAGGGATAAGCATAAGGTGAAAATGATGTCTAAAATGCTTGCTAGTATGCAAAAAAAAAAAAAAAAAAAAAAAAAAAAAAAAAAAAAAAAAAAAAACACTACATGTACTATTACAATATTGTGGAATTGAGATAGCAATCATTTTAGAAACAGGAACATTTATTGATCCAGTCCTTTCATGTCGGCCAAACGTAAATGTGGGCTACATGTCTGCTGCTTCAGAAAAGATGATTCCTGAATTGGGCATTTGAATCCACCCACACTTTTTGATGGTTATTTTTACCATTCTAATGTATATTATTGATTATTACTATGGCTACAAAGTGATGGTATAGTATGCTTTATCCTCATAACTGTTTTACTGTTTTCTCATCTCTGGTAATCTTGGTCTGGGATGCATGAGATAACCAGTTGATGATAGTTGATGTGCATGTCAACGCAGTTGTTCTTTTGGTTGCTGCATTTGGCTATAAATTTGATCCCCAAAATTCATCAGAATGCAATTTATCAGTCTTGTTTAATAGGATGCAGTTGCTATTTGTGGAGTTTTTTCTCTAGCATTGATCACATCTTCTCTTGCGTGTTTGAGAGGGAAACGGATCTAGCAGAGTATAATCAAATCCATTTTGGGCTTTGTTGTATAGACACTCCGTAGATGTGTGTTTAATTTTAAGCAATGCTGGATAACAATGGGACCCAACATAAAAAAAGATGAATGCATTGATATTAGTGAAATTCATTCAAGTATTTGGGGAAAAACTTCAAAGACAGTTGTAGAATAAAGATCAATTAGTTCTCTAGAGAAAATTACTCCAAGACATTATCTTTTTGCAATGGTTTATTGAAAAAGGAAATTAGGGATCACAATTCGGTGTTGATAGATTTTGTTATCAATGGATCATCATGGTGGAAGTTACTATTAATCAGGTAATGGGAAATGTTTCTAGTAAGCACTCAGAGATGGAATATTCATATCTTTTAATGTGTGTCTGTGTATTTTTTTGCAGAATTTATTTGTCTGAAAAAATATCCCGTGGCACCAATATTTTTATGCAGAATTTTTTTCTTCATTTAGGGACCATATGTGCATAAGGCAAGCATTTATATGTCTAGGGAGAATGAGCATTATTTGTTAGGGAATACAACCTTATATCCTTGAAAATTTAATTGCATTATCTTTTGCATTACATAAATGAAGGATTTTTTTTTTTTTTTTTTTTGTAAATTTGGATTTATGACAAGTAGTAGTGTCTTACTAATAATTCAACTTATTCAGCTGTTAAGCCATGTGTTGGATTTTTTTCTGGAGTATACTGGTCCAAGTTTAAACAGGTGCTTTCCAAACATTTACCTGAGTGTGGTTGTTGCCAAGCATGTGCCAGTACTGGTCATGTGGTATGTATTATCCCACACGGACACATGCAGAGAATTTTAACTGTATAGATCAGTTGTTGTCTCAGCTAGTATCTCTTGTTGGTTGTTTTTAAAACAAGTCACTAATGGAATTAGCACATGGGTACTGGCACACTGTAATTAGAATTATCCAAGATAATCTAAATCTAGGCTATCTGCGCTGCATGGCATCAAAAAGACTAGGAAAGGTACCCAAATCTGCATAAGGTAGAGCTAACCTTTTAGCAATAAGGCTGAAGCTCCATGCACTAGAATGTCATTTCAGACCCCATTTCCAGAGATTAGATCGATCTACTTTAGATCGACCTAACTCCCTGGGCGTTCACGCTAAATAGCTGTCAGCCGAGCGGACACGAAAGTTAATTACCCCCTTACAGCTTGTAGTAGGCGGGACGGACATTTAAGCCGGATTATTTGACAGTAATGTAGTGAGACTCCCCGCGGGGATAGATCGATCTAAAAGCTCTGGGAATACAGCCTCAGAGAGCTATTCAAAAGTCACATGCAAAGCATGGCAAATATGTACTGTCTTGCTTAAAATGTAATTCTGCAAAACTAAAGAAAAAAAAAACTAGAAAAATATATATTCTAATTTATAGTCTGCCATTATTTCTGACCTCATTCTGTTCTGAATACTACTTGATTTTTGGGCTATCTTGGCTGATTCCCATGGAAAAAGATCTTGAGCTGTTATCTGCACTCCTGCCCAGTCACCCAGTGATTTAAATCTGCCCATGTTATAATTTTGGAAAGTAGATTGGATGAGGTAAACAGTGCTTATCGTGAAATATATGACTGTACATGTGTTTATTTACAGTAATTAGGTATGAGACACTGCTGAGCTTAGTTGCTGTAATGTTATAATGCTATAATGATTTTTGTAAAAATTAGTTCTGTTCAAACATCTAAGGCACTTATATAGGGTGTATAATTAAAATGAGATGTGTGGATTTTTTTTTTTCATTTTAGATAGGAATAAGATAAAATATGTGAACAGCTAAGAGGTATGCTTCTTATCCTCTGTGTATTATTTGCCATGTCAACTAAAAGATACGCCAGCCAAATGATCAGCTATTTCTCTGGCATTCATGTCAGTGCACCTCCAACTAGTTAAACACAAAAAAATAATTCTTTGTAGAAAGGGATGAAATAGTGCAACCACAGCTGAGAGAGATAGAGAGATGCTTCTGACCCTATGAGGATTATTTTCCTGGCCATTGCCTTCATTCCCTAATGAGATAGAAGTGTAGCTTATTCAGTCAAATGATTGTCTCAGGTGCAAAGAGATTATACATTTCATGTCAGTAAACAAAAACAAATAATTCCCATCTCTGGTGCTATGCCTGCAAGAAATAGTTTTTTTCCCTTACAAAGTATTCTCAAATGGGAAAATGTTGAAAAAATAATTACTCTCCCTGGGGGCTTACTTCTTTTTTGTCATTTAATAGTCAGGAAATGCTATGATAGAAAATGGAATGCTAATAACATGTGTTCATAGGTGCTTGAGGAACCCGTAGATTCCTGTATTGTCTTCTATACTGCAGTTTACCTATGTAATTTAGAAGAAAAAAAACAATGTTAAAAATTCATCAGAAGTGGCAAGTGGTGGTAAGAAGAGTGTGGAATTGTATGCCAGAAACTGTGGTGATTAAGAATTAAATTTGGAAGTATCATAACCATAGTAATTTCTTTCCAATGAGTGGCTGGGTTCGTTGGCAGTCTTGTGAATAATTGATTAACCATCTCGGCATTCTGAATTGTCTGGTAACCAACAACATTAGGGCTGTCAGTTGATGCCCTTCCCCAGGTATTGATCTTACAAACTAATTAACGTTCTCCATTGCATATATATATATACCAATAATACAATGAGAAGTAATGCCTATTCTTTTTCATGAAGTCAGAGTATAGATGAAATTGAGAAGAGTTATGATTTCTAAATATTTTCATTAATAATTATTATGTGACTGAAATGAATGGAATGGTTTAATGAGTATTTTATATTCAGGAGCTTTATCCTGTGATGTCAGTGTAAAAATAGTTTTCATGTACATAGGACAAAGTATTGTTTTAAGTTATTGAATTTATAGATATTTGAAGAGATGTCATAAGATAAAAAAAACTGTAAATCCTTCTTTGTACACTGAATAATATATAGCCAAATGATCAACTGTGAAATTCTTGCTCGAGGGTTGCCATCAGGTGCAAACATATACATGATCAATTCTTCTGGCATTTAAACATTCTATAATTCTAAGAAAATACAATTTTCCGCCGTTTTTTCCTAATTTTACCTGGAGTTTCATATTCTCGCAGACAATCTTGTTAAATGGCATGGACTTGTCTGCTCTCTAGCCTCTGATTTTTACCTAAGGAAGTCTAAGGAAATGGGTGCCTGTTGATCAGCTGTTTGTCATTCATGACAGTAGTGCACTTGGGGGTGCTGAAAAGGGTTTCTAATGTGCCTTTATATGAATTGAAATTCATGCCTAGACTATGTCAATATTCCTCTGTAATTTTTCATTAGAAATCATTAGTTTTCCTTGCAATTTACTAGAAATATGAGTAAAGAATTTTCTTTTTGTGCTTATAGTATCTATGTAAGTTTGTATATCAGTTGATGTTTTTTTAGTTTTTTTACTGATATGTTTATTATTTTTTTCTACACTTTTTCAGGGTTGAAACCATAGATGGCACAGCAGAGGCTACTAAAGATTACATCCCCGTCAAAACTTCCATGGTATTTGAACCCAATGAGACGTCCAAGTACATTGACATAGAAATCATTGATGATAATGAGTGGGAACCAGATGAAACTTTCTTTGTGAGACTTTCTCTTGATGCAGACCAAAATGCAGTCATTGGGAAAAAATCCATTAACCAAGTGACTATCATTAATGATGATGGTGAGTTAATGAATTAGGATTTTGAAAAAAAATGTATATAATTGATAGAATTTGATGAATGCATTGATGACACTGATTGTTTGAGTATGTTTTAAAGAATTCTCTGCATCATAGGTTGAATGCATAGCTGTATCTCCTGGTGTTGCTATAGTTACGCTTCTGTTTTATGTTTCTTCAAAGTATTCCGAATTATTCGTGGAAAATATCCCACTTGTGTTTTGCCAGGCATGGTTAAAATAACATGCCCTATAGGATATCCATGCAGTTTTGCTGGATACAGTTTAAGGAACACACGCAATTGCATGCTTATTGAACCTTGAATGGTATTCCAGATGGGTTATCTGGACACGGGAAGAGACATGTTTTATTGCATGTGATCAGGTACCTTTAAATTGATCTGAACACATTCTCACATATAGTGAGAAATATATGCATTGTCTGCTTAATTTATTCAAACAATTAACAGAAGTAACTCTAGGGATTCCTGAATGAGGAAAAGGTTCTCTTGTTGAAAATTAAATGAATTAAGAGGTCAGTTATGGAATTACAGTCAAGTGATGTTGCAAATGGATGAATATGCAGGAAGCAGAAAACCTGTGAAGTCAAGCATGATTTTGCATTTTGATGACATATTTGCAATCTATCTTTTGAGTTTAAACATGAAATACTGTCTTGCATTCCTTTTCCATAGTTGCATAATACCAATTTGAAAATAATTGCACTCATAGGGTTTTATGGAAAGAGAAAATTCTGAAACCAAAAAATGACTCTTAGTCCTGCAGTGCTGTTTTTTACATCACTTGCTATACTGTTCCAGCAAGATTAAAACTATCCATAATAGGTGTTAAAGTAATCAATTGTCAGTTTATAAGTGCTTTTCTCCAAACCAACAGACATATAGGAAGAATATACTTAGCTTGGTAATTCATCCAAATCTATTTGGCAATTGTTAGTTATCTGTGTTAGTTGTTCTTCGCACATATGAATATGTGTGCTTTAATCTTCCCAAATTTGGTAAACATGGCAATCCATCAAAAGCTGTTTGAAAAATTAATCCTCATCTTTGATATCATTTACACATACATAAGTGTACTTCAGCTGTCCCAAATTTCCTAAGCTCATCTCTGTTTCAAAGGTTCTGGGGAAAATTGATTGTTGTTTTTGATATCCTTTACACATTGGACATGATGAATGTATTCAAACCTTCCCAAATTCCATTAGCTTGGCATATGATCAAAATCTATGTAGCAACATTGTTTTTGCCAACTGTACATTGTTCGCATTCAGAAGAAAAGGGATATTTCTGCACTGCTTATCACACCTCTATTGTGAATTACAGCTTGATAGGCTGATCTGTATTTCACTTATTTACATGTGATTTACAAGTGATAGTGTTATCCAAGGTAATGTCATATTAGAGCAAAGAAAAAGGGTATGCCAATATTAATGAAGCCGTCAGCTCATCAATTATCCACAAAGTTAAAATAAAAAGGAAAAATTAAAAAATAAATTTTAAATTAAAAAATGCTTTAAGAGCCAAATATTGCTCAGTTTTGTATGTAACCATTAAAAAAATATCTGAGCTCGATATATTTTCCTTACAATTATTTATACAATTATAATACCTTTGTTTATTTTATTAAATTGCCTTCTGATAAATTTATTACAGAGCCTGGTACCATTCAGTTTGCAAAACCCAGCTTCCTGTTCAAGGAGAGTGCTGGGAAGGCTATGATCCCTGTCCAGCGAATTCATGGAGCAGACGGAAAGGTCAACATCACCTGGAGGACAGAAGACATGGATGCCAAGAGCGGGAAAGATTTCGAAGGAGGTGAAGGTATTCTCACATTTGAGCATGGGGAAGTGACCAAGATGCTGGAAATTACTGTATATGATGACCAGGTATTGCGATCTTAGCTATTTTTTCAGGGTCTCAGTGAAAGTTGTTACTGATTTATGATTACATTTACTGCATCCCCTGTACTGTATTACTGGCCAGGGATAGAATTTTTCTTCTCACCTTATAAGTTTAAATTTGTTTCAAGAACATTCCTTATTCTGACTTTCATGATACTGAATATAGGTTGTTCTTTGAATATTTACTATTTTCCTAGGTACAGTAACTATCATGTGAAAAACAAAAACTTAATGCCCTGAGAATCTACAAAATGATTCCATAGGTTTGAATAAAAAACAAATAAACACACTGCAGCCATAATACAAAGATGACACCCTTCGTAAAACAAAAGGAGTATGCTTTTAAATCGCCCCTTATTTTTTAGGAAATGGAAAAAGATGAAAGCTTTAAGGTGGAATTATTTGACCCTACTGGAGGAGCACAGCTAGGAAGGATCAAGAAAACCATTATCACTCTTGTCAACGACGATGGTAAGTTGAAAGCATCTGATATTCATTTAGCTCAATATTTTTGGAAAAATATCCCAATTATTTACCCTTAACGTCTCACTCTACTTCTTTCCTTCAGAATTCAATGGTATGGTGAGCAGAGTGGTAGAGCTGACCAACCTGAACATTGATTCCCTGCGTGTAGAGACAGAGACCTGGGCAGAACAATTCCAGAATGCCATGAATGTCAACGGAGGAGATATCGAAAATGCGACATCTTTTGATTATTTAATGCATTTCTTGTCTTTTGGGTTTAAGGTGCATATCTTTGATTGATCTTTGATCTTTTATTATTTTTTTTTTAAATTGGGTGATGTTTGGGGTTTCAGTGGCGCTGAAATTGGTGATATAAAATTTCAAATCTTGTTGTTAAGGTGCCAGTTTAAAGGGTATCTAGAGCTGTTCTTATTGGTCATAATTCATGTACAAATTTTGATACTGAATTTCATGTTTTACTTTCAGATTATCTTTGCAATAGTAGCCCCAGTGAGTATAGCTGGTGGATTCCTAGCCTTCTTCATGGCTTTAGCCATGATTGGAATTGTCACGATCATTGTCAGTGATTTGGCAAGTATTTTTGGTTGTCTGTGCAGCATGCCAGAAGAAATTGTTGCCATCACCTTCGTTGCCTTGGGAACTAGTCTCCCAGATCTGTTTGCCAGCAAACAAGCAGCAGCCCAAGAAAAGCATGCAGACAATGCTATAGGAAATGTTACTGGGAGTAACTCAGTTAATGTTTTCCTTGGATTGGGACTTCCTTGGTTAATTGCTGCAATCTACCATACAGCCAATGTAAGATCCTATTTTATGGTTTTCAATTTGTTTATAGAAATATAAATTGTATTGTCTGTGTATATTCTTGTTACCTGCAACTGTCCCTGTCATTGTCATCGTTGTCTGACACATTTGTTCATTTCTTAACTGCAAAAGATTTTTTGTTTTGCTTTAAATTAACTATAGGGACCTTTCATATAAGAGTCAGCATGATTGATGTATTTTATATTTCAGAATGGGTCATTTCAAGTACAAGCTGGGAACCTTGTCTTCAGTGTCATCATCTACACAATTTGCGCCACACTCTGTATTGGACTAATTCTTATCAGGAGGTTCTTGAAGTTTTTCAATAATGGAGAACTTGGCGGGCCTGCTGGCCCTAAAATGGCCAGTGGAATCTTTTTGATTTTCTTGTGGTTCTTCTACATAACAATGTCCATCTTACAAACGACTAAAGTAATTAGAGTGAACCTTTAATTATTGATTAATATTAAATAACTTGACTTTTAATTCAAAATTATTAATTTTAAAATAAAAAGGCCATAAGACAAATATGCCAGTAAGTGTAATGAGCTAGTAGATAATATTAGAAAACAATTATAGTGTCAATAGACAGATCTATAGCAACTTATGCTAAATTTAAGTTGTTGTGAAGCCAGTGAAATGTTGTTTTTGCTGTGAAAATCTCTTGAATCAAACCTCATTGGCAGATAAAATAGTTTAGACTTGTAATATAATACTGTTACCTTAGCCACGTATAGGGATCTCACTTTAAGGGTTCATTGCATTACCTCTGCCAATCTTAAGAGTTGGAAAGTTAACAGGCCAACTCAAAAAATTATGAATGGATTTTGATGAAATTTTCAAGAGGCCAGAAATGGGTTTAAAATCGATTAGATTTTGGTGGTGATCCAGGAGTTAATCAATTATGGTGGGGATTTGCGCTCTGTGAGTGTTTTCTAGTTATTACTGCTTTACTTACCAAAACACACGGGTCAGGCGTGGAGCCTGTAGAACTAAATTGTATATACCTGTGGTCCAGATTTCTAATTTTTTTATATATAGCTGTTACTGCATATTTTAGTATTTTGCAAATTTATCTATATATATATATTAAGGGCTGCTTGCAATTAAAAAGGGGATGATATGAAGGCTTTTACTCTCCCATTTCAAACTGTTTGCAGCATTATTTGGTGATAGCTCTTTCCACAGCTTTTTTGATACTGCTTATAATAGTAATCCAGTTTTAATGTTATATTATACATAATTTAGCAGTTAAAGCTGGCCAGATACTTAATAATTTAAAGATGTTGTGACTACAAATTTTACAGTACTGTAGTATAAGGTACACAAAATTGACGCATTCTGTTTGTTTAAACACACTGCAGCCTGTGATATTGGAAACTTAAAAAATAAGTGGTGCTTGTGACCGGACAAGTTCAATTTTTTTTCTTTTTTTTTTTCACAAACAAGATACAATGTTTACATTGTTGATTTATCATTTCTTCTGAATTGACAATGGGGAAAAATCATCTCTTATGTTTTCAGTGTATACCATTCGCAATTTACACTTTTTTATTTTATGGTGTATGTATTTTTTTATTAATATAAAGTTATCCTGTTCTCTCTAGTCCATTCATTACTCAAATCCATTCATATTAAGATTAATATTTTGAATCAGCAAACAAATATTATGCATGCAAATACTAACTCTAAAGGTTTCTAATTATGTTTTCCAGTTAATTTCACGAAGCATCAGTTTGACTCGGGTGTTAAGCTTTTTTTTCTCAAATATTCTAGAATGAATTATATTATTCGGGCTACATTATAGATTTCATTAGTGTAACTTTTTGGCAATACTGCTGTGTCTATTGACTTTTTTGTTTCGTTTATGCAAATGAATTGTTTGTGTGAAACTTCATAATTTTAATCATAAAACATGGCATTGTGTATAATATGTGGCATACATTCAAGATCAGAATGATTTCTCTCACCAAGCCAGTTTATTTTGATCAAATGTTTTTGCTACCTATTGGAAATTATTTTACCTAATTACTTCTTAGTAAACAAAACTGACCTTAATGGGGAAGTTAAATAAGTTCAAGATAAAATTAACAAATTAACACATATTACAAAATGACCCAATAACAAGTTTTCTTAGAATTAACCGATTTTATTGTTTAACAATTGTTATGGCACTTAGCGTTTTCCTTGCCAAATGTGAAACTTGAAATTCTGGCTGATCACAATTAAAGCAATGATACCATAAGTTAAGAATGTTTGAGATGAAAGGTTTTCATCAGGATAGAGAACTCGCCAGTCCTTCGTAACCACCGAATGTACAACATGAGGCTACCAGGGATAACATGATACAAGTGCCACAGTCTGACTGTTTGCTTCTCTGAACCTGTAAATCAATTGTACATATTTGAAATAAACTAATTTTTGAAATTACATAAATGCTTGTATTCAGTTACACATTTCTTGTGCTGAATAGCTTGGTAACTGATTACAAATGTTCCCATCAAGAAAAAAAAACCTTGAGACTGGAAATAAGTCACTCAGCATAATATGGTGCTAAGATGATAAAAGGGCAGTGCAACTTAATGAAAATACTGATGACAAATTACTATAAAGTGTGGTTACTGTGAACTTTTGACATTGCACCATGTTACTAAATGTTTTTGGAACACTAGATAACACTTCACTTATTTGGACAATACTAACAAAAGGAAGATGTCCCTAAGAATTCCATCACCTAATCAAATGATTGTTATATTTGTTTGTTGGTTTCCCCTTGAACACGATTTATGTAGTCATTCAGAAAATAAGGGTACATTAGAGATTTACCTACAAAACTCAACTGCAATAATGTATTTGTAAAAATTAGATAAAATGAAGTACTGTATAAAAACTTTCGAACAATCATTGACAAATTATTATATTTAACAAACAAAATGGAGTGATAAACTTATAATGACTATTAAAAATAATTTTAAAAATTGCAACCCATAGGTTGAATTCTTCATGATAGTGTCAGTTTTGGACATCCACTCTCTTTAAAGGCACACAAACCTTTTCAATAATCAATTCACAGGAAAAAACATCTTAGATGAAACAAAACTAGTAAGTAAAAATAAATGCAAAAAAGAAGTTGGGGGAAATATTGGGAAATCCTAAGTAACAAAATTGAAAACGTGGCACAAATAAAGAGTCAACAAACTTGAAATTAACACTGGTTTGTAAAAAAGTATCTTTGGCAGTCAACTGTATAATGGCATACTTTTGAAATGGCTGATTTTAAATTATATGCTTCCCATTTAATCATGCTGGCTGTTAAAACTACTACATTTCAACACTAACTTGGTACACGTATCACAATTATGAGTGGGACATTGCCTCTCCACTTTCATTTTTGATGATTTCCGAGGACAGTGCCCCAGCCAAACAATTCGATGAAGTCCCAATATCAGAATTAGCCAAAATGCAGCAGCTCAACTGTTTGCAAAACTCAAGTTACAGCACTACTATTTAGAGAATGTATCCTTTCCCTGCAGCAAGCTATTCCAATATCTTTACATAAGTAGACTATTCTGTCAGACTGTATTTACTTTGCCATACTTCACTTACTGAAATAGACATCTCTCACAAATCAATGACTATGTAAATACAGCTACTCCCTTCTAAATGCCCACACTGAATCCTTTCCTATCTATTTGTTGGCTATGCAGACAGATTTTGCTCTTCCTGATGAATTCACATTTTCAACAAGATGAAAATTCGTATACTAGCTCATATGCCAGTAATGGAGTTTTTTTTTTCTTTTTCATAATAGACACATGGGTTATTATCTGAAATGTTCAGTGATCAGACAACTTGAACCTTAACTAATGGAACTGCCGGCACTGTTGCCATCAAATAAATTAGTACTCTTACTCATAATTCATTAGTTTTGTCTAGAACAAACAATCAGCTGTCAGCTGATATCCACTCTTCATTAACAGATAACATCATTTGAGAAGAGATCATTCTTTGTTAACACAGCAGAGCAACAGACATCTTTTCATTCAATTCTCAATTATGAAGTGTTTTCAAGACACCTTCATTTTATCTGCCACATCAGCTGTGGCACCTTCTACATCAGCTGAGGTGGCGTCTAAATCACACAAAGACTTATCCAAATTTAGACTGTCATTAGTGCTGCTCCCTGGTGACTTGTCGCTGAAATTAAAACCAGGTGATTTATCGCTGTTGCCACCACCTGGTGATTTGGCCAGACTACTACAGCGAGTGCTGGTTTTACTGCTCTCCTGGTCAGTGGTTTGACTCTCGTGTTGGTCCCTGTTCGATGCAGTGTCTATTAAATGTCTTAGTTTGTTGAGAATATCGTCTGGAGTAGAACCAGATGTAGGCGAGGATGGACCAGCACTGGAGTTGGAGGAAGAACAACCTGTAATGAAGGTGAAATGACACTAGTACTTTTCCTAAACATGACTAATTACAAATCTAACAATGGCACAGAAAACAATAAGCATAAGACAAGAATGTCAACATCTTCAAGTAATCTCAATATAATTCATTTTAATGATTGTGATTTAAAAAATCTGGCACCCAAGTATAAATGCATTCACTGGCACAAGACATATTATAACTACTGCCTATCTAAAAGTTTTCATTACCAATTTTTTCTTACTATAAGTAATGGAAGTAATTTCACATAGTCTTCAAAGAAATTATAAAAGACATTTTAAATTCCAAGACTTCTCCAGGACATAAGTCATTCCATTTACCTACCTAAGCTTGGTAAGTGCATTCCCTTCTTCTTGGCTCCACCTACAGGAGTGGGTACACCTCTGGGGGTACGAGGGGGTGTCGATTTTGGGGTGTAAAACACCATCTCCGTAATTTTCTGTAGAAAGTGTTCCATCTGCTTCAGAGTGAGGGAGTTGTGGAGTGTCTCTAGGGGGCGGATTTCTGGCACCCTGGGACAGCTCTCCACACCTGGGATTACAGTGAAACAGAACCCATGAAATCATCATCATTATGACTTCTATATTCATAACATACATTGCCAGGTATCATGCTGCTGCTGCTGGGCCAATGTTGGCAATGTCACCAGTAAACTGGAATTGTTTTGGTTACGTGTAACTGAACCACAGTTAAAAATCCATGGATATATAATAACAGCCGCAGACACTGTGGAGGCAATGAGATCCTGCAAAGCCAGGGCCCCAAAGCCAAAGCTAAAACATAACCACCCATAGTAACAGTTGCCAACATTTGCATTTACAAAGCATGGGGTGCATATACAACCATAAATGTGCATATGTTACAAGGGAATAAAATTGCAGGGAAGCAAGGAGCTTTCTTTCAGCAATGCAACTGCTTAATAGGATAGAATAGGTCTTATGTTCAAGCTGATAACTGACTATTGGCATAAATATAAAGCAAATTATTTACTTCATTACAATCATACATTATATCATATAAATCATCTATCACATGATTTTATTTTTGTTTATAGGTGACAGATTAAAGGAAAAAGTGCTAAACAAAGGTCTTTGTATCTTAAAGGAGCATCAATTCTGCAAGTAAAATGACACAGACACTATGAATCTGAACATTTTATCAAATCTAACAAGCCGAGGTGATCTGAAATAAGGCTGCCTGTTAGCTAACTTTGGCATCAAAAGTTAAAGGGAGTACTTTATATTAAGGCCAACAAAATGCCTAAATAAATACCCAAGTGGCTTTAATTGGCAAGTATATCTAAGTCAATTATTCAATCATAATTCATTTTACAGACAGAGCTTATAATAATAATTATTATTATTATAATTTTAGAAGCGAATTCAACTGTATATCCCTATTTGCATTCATACTGATTAGTATTTGTCACTTAAAAATCTTACTAGGAATAATTTTACAATAACAGTCCAACAGGTTAGTACTTGTTAACCAAATATAATAAAAATATTTTGTGGTATTAATAATAGGACTTGAAAACATCATGATTTTAAAACTTGCAAGAAACTCCAAATAACTGATTACAGAACATATGAATAAAAAAATATTACTACTGCTTTTAATGTTATTTCAATTCAGAGAGTGACTTGATTGGTTTCTTTATCAGCAACATGGCTACAAAACTGGATAAACTTAAGGACACACATATATAAGGGTAACAGCAGGGATTATTAATGTGAGACAAAACAAATTAATTCTGTTGATGCCTTGAAAGTGTAAGGTAAGGTAAGGTAACATCACAGGAAATCACCATGGAAGCCAACAGCAAACAAAATGGTCCTAGTTATCATTTAACATCAACATTAAATGGAAATGAAAAACATCAATAACAACAAAAATGAACATTTTCAAACACAAGCTAAAAAACTTTCATACCATCAGCTTATGGCCAACCTGGACGTAGGCCTTCATCAGATTGATTTGAGTAGATGTTGTTACTCACTTAACGCTAGGTGGTATAGCAGCCAGGACCCTCTTATAATGTCAGGTAGATCGACTCCCCCTCCCCCTCCCTATTCAAGGGTTTTTCAGCTTGTGTTTGATAGTTTTCATTTATGATCCAGCTACCAAGCTAATGAACATTTTTGCTCACCAACTACAACAATTACAAAGACCTTAGTACTCTGAATCCAATGACCACAGAACAAATAACAAAGTGAACCATTAACATAAGTGAAGTGATACATTTCTGAAAAGTGATATGCTCTGCACACCTGCTAAGTGACTCCATTCTGCTGCCAAGTGTTAAAAGCTATAATTACAGTAATCATGGAAATGGGTATAATGACAACTTTATTGACCTTTTCTTATGTCAATCAAAATGTTTACCAACATACCCATCTCTATCTGCCTGCCCTCTTCATCATACAAATTAGGTGTACTGGAGGAACTGCCAATTAACCGTGTGCTAAACAGACTACCCGATGAGCCTGGAGTGGGAAAGAAACCAAAGACACCATGAAATCTCATCAACAAGATCCACACATCAAAACACAGCTACAAACCTCCCAAGTCTAGAGTGATGATCTTTAGCTGACAACTGCTTAGGTCCCAGAAATACATATATCAGTCAAGGCCCTCATTCTTCTTTTGATTACATCCTTGTTGATAGTATACTAACATTGCCTGTGTCAGCCAATGGATGAGTATCTTCACTTTTAAAGCCATGCATTGCTACCATGCTTATATTGTTCACTTTTCAAACATCAAAAAAGGTCAAGGCAAACCTTTTACAGCATCATGACAAAAACACTCATTACATTTTCAGCCTATCAAAGTAGCCTACATGCTACTGGCTCATCAAAAGGAGTTCGTTTCTTTATATCAGGCCAGAGTAGAAAACTTCAGCAAACTTGTTTTAATTTGACACATTATGAATATCATTTTTATCAGTGAGTGACCTTACTTACATTCATACACAGAAAAATCATAACTTTGAAATTGGTATATGTATACTTTTCATAACTGTGTTTCGATAATCAAAACAGAAGCATTATCATATTAAGAGGTCAGTGTCATTTTCAAGTACAAATGGTCAAATTTTATGTCAAAAGGTTCTAAAAAAATAATTTGATTCATTATATTCTTTTTTCATGCACAGTATTTAATAATATGTTAAATCCAGTTAGGAATTTCTCTCTCTCTCTCTCTCTCTCTCTCTCTCTCTCTCTTCAATTAAAAAATATAATATATCTGATCAACTTCCTGATAAAAAAAGGACAAAAAGGCAGCTGTCTAAATCCAAATTATATTAAAAAATAATCTTTTACCTTGCTCCAAGAGAAAAAAATTTCACCACCAGCAAAAAGCAACAACACAAGCAGCAATAAGCAAAAGGTACAGCACCCATATAATGAGAAATGTAAATATTAAGGAACTGTCGTGTAAATTTTACAACCCTCAACCAAGAAATCTCCCTCCATCTATTTATTCATTGAAATTATACAACTTTTCTAAAATAATTTGAAAAAAGTTATCTTCAACTACATAATTTTGTACCACTTATATAAAATCCAATCAAATCGTTCAGATATTATCAGATGGAAGGAAAAGATATTGCCCTCCTGATATTTTGTCAATTGAATTTTGAAATGAAACAATGGTCAAGAAATGAAATTATCAAGACAAAACTAGGTTTACAATACGATAAATCTACAAAAGATACTTAAACATTTAACGATGTGACCACAACGGCAAAACTACAAAGAAAGAGAGAGGAGGATCAACAGGTCCATACATACAACATGCACTCACCCAAAGAATCACCACTCCCCAATCTACCTCTTTTCCTGCCTAGGAACCCTGCAAAAGAGTGCCTGTGATGTCCCGACAGACCCTGGATGGTGTGGTAGACATTATACTTGAGAGGGCTGTTAGGAGCTCCTGGGCTGGGACTGGTCGGGGCACTGCTGTTAGCTGACCCTGTGCCACACGGCAGGGAGATGGTGGCTGAAATGAAAATAACACGAGAAATAGTGGTGATGATTTGTGGATGATAAATGGGAGCAAATTAAATATTGGAATTTGTTACAAACCAGCACTCAATCTGACCCATTGATAACACTGCCAACTCCCTTCTTTTTTTTTTTTTTTCAAAATTTCTTAACTTTCATAATAATTGGTGTATTTGATAAAAGTGATTTTCAACCCTCTGCTAAAACAAGTAACTTATGACAACGGCTGCAAAATATCTTCATGTCACCAAGCAGTGCCCCCTATAAACACTCAGTTAAGTCAAACACAGTCCAAGACAGCAGAACTCTTTTGTTAAACTCTAAAGGGTAAATCTGACATATCATTTCACACTTTTCATCCAAATGAGGGCATACTGCATTAATCCATCATTTCATTTTATTTAAAACTTCCTCCTATTATGAATGACAAGAATGAAATCTTTTAAAAACATTGGAATGAAACCCTCTCTTTAAGACATGTCTGCAGTGCATGAAGCACAAAGTCAAATGATGGCAGTATGGTTCACTAATGAAGGTCTGTTGCCTATATGGTGGGGCCGTCCACCATGGGTCCTAGCTTAATTTTAGTTTCTGTAGCATAAGACAACTGAGAGTTTTCACTCCAGGATATCAATCCATAGCAGATTTTCCATTAGTAAACAAGGTTAAAGAGGGACACTGGTTTTAAAGCTTCTTCTCCAAAAAGCATTACGTAGGAGACACAACAAGGACTGATCAACAGCAGAGTTTGTACCACCAACTGTCATGCCAGAAGTCTTTTGCACTTTACCAAGCTGTCTTCTCACCCATTAATATGCAAAACTGAACATAACTGGACCATGTATGTACATTTATACCCATGTGGTAGCAAAACAATAAGAGCCGGGCGGAGGTAAGAGAAGACAAGCTGGTATGGGGGAGAAGATGCAAAAGGAAGAATGCTCAAGAGGGTATAATAACTCCACACTTTTAATAACTGCTCTGAAACAGATAGAATTCCATAAATGGGGTACCATTTCTAGTCTTCGACTCATTCACTTGTACTTTTACTTAACCGTAATTTTTTTCAACAATACAACTTAAATCTCCTTGTCATTTCAAACTATGATTAGCCAATAACTAAACCTTAAAAGAACTCAAATTAGCCGAGACAGTTCCTTATGCAGTCTTTTTGATATAATATATATCTATTTGTCTGTTATTAAAAAACATTATAAAATCAATATCCCCAAAAAGCACCAAGTCCAGCAGTTTTGGTTTACAACACCACCTGAAATGTAAACAGATTTTAAGAAAGAGAAAATAATATAAACCATTATGTCCAGAAATCCCCAACCACCACTGCACGGAGCTCAGAAGAGTACCGCCTCAACAGCTGTGCAAGCATAGTGCGAGTCAGCTGTTATCTCTACTACACACTGGCACAAGACACTGGGTCACTGACACAACTGAACAACTGCAAACATATCATGCAGCATCACAAACTGGGTGCAAACTATTACACTACAGGTACATACATGTTCATACCAAACTCAAGTAGAACTACAGTCTGTAACACGCATTCTTATGGCATTCAATCTGCGAATTAAAGCATTCCATTGAACCAAAATGGGTTACTAAGTGACATGTTATTTTTGAAATAAAATTTTTATCATTCAAGGTGAAATTGAAATAAACTAACAAAAAATATCATTGTTATTATCAGTTATGTGCAAACCAAAATGGGTGAAATTCAAAATTCACAAATATTACGATTAAATTACTACAGTCTAGGCCACTGCAGTATCTACCTTTTTCCATTGTATTTTGATCATGATGGCCTATTTGGCTAAACAGACTAGCAAATGAATAATATTTTGGCACTGGAATGGCATGTATGGTGTGGTAGACATGGTAGTCTGGTATGCAATCACTTGGACCTAAATGAAAATGGAGCAATGTTCAATCATCACAGCAAGTTAGGTGCTCAGAAAACAGACAAAATTAAAGCAAAGCTGTTAGTTCCTATCCACACCCATTCACACAAAAAGTCAACATGCTATAAACAAGGAAATTCTAGATTCAAGGAAAGTGAAGCAGATATAAAACAACAAATGTGATACAGATGAGATATATATGATAAAAACAATGAAAAAAAGCTAACACTGAATTAAGTGGATCATTTAAAGAAATTTTGGTAAGGCAATGAATACCATTTTTCTTACCAAAACTTTCAGTCTTGTATCTCGCTGGGTTTAGCCAATCTTTGTGGAAAACCACAACTGTGGCATGCCAACGGGGAAATGCTGATATTTTATCTATTACAAGAGCATACTGTGAGGAAGCCCAGGGTAAAGGTAGAAGTATTGATCTATGATAATTTCCAAAATATCACATATTTATAATCACTAGAAATCTTCAATTGCACTCTTTATCTGTGAAGGACTTCAGGTCATGCTTGAGCAGTTTCTGACTATGGAGAAACTCTCCAAGTGTTTATTAAAGGGCCACTCCATGGGATTTTCCCACCAAAATGAATTTGTAGAGGTTCTTTCCATCCGTTTGAAAATCTCCCACAATCATATTCATGTCTGTATTATACACAGTACAGAGGCGCAATACAAAACATTAGGCCATTTTCTTGTGTGAAAACTAGGCAATGTACATGACGGCAGACGTAGTAAATTAGACTGGTCAGTTATTTAAAGCTAAAGTATTAAATCATAAATATAATAAAACATTAAATCCAAATGCAGGGATGGGCAAAGCAATAATTCTTGAGTAGGAGAAAATTGCCCTTTACCCCAGTAAATTTCATTTTGGCAGGAAAATCCCATAGAGTGGCCCTATAAGTAATTTAATTGAAAGCACACCAACTTGGCTAATTCTCAAATCTTATAATGTTAATATAATCTAATATTTGATAGACGGCTGACATTTAAAAGCAAATTTGTATCATACAGAATAAAGACATGCATCTTTAAATAAGGGGAAAAAGAACTATAATTCTAAGTCAAACAAGCATGGGCAAAATCCTACAATCACATAAAAATTAGTATTCAACTTATTTTAAAGCAGCAACTGAGGAGATTTTGAGTACATGCACTATTCTACATAAAAAATACTCTTCAAGCATCATTCTAACACTAAAGTGAGATAATCAGTATAAGACATCATGCCGTACCATTTCAAATCAATTTAAAATTTGTTAATATACTGAATTATATCTTAAAATTATATAAAAACCAATACAAATAAATACCAATGCATTCTCTTAGATGGTTTTTTGTTTCTGTATCTACTGCTAGGAAAATGGGTGATTTTAGAAATTAAAAACTGGTCTCACTGAGAAAAAATATTCTAGTTTTTAAGGAGTATATCACATTTCTTTTAATAAATGGAGGGCAGTCACCTCAGCATGCCTTTTTTCTTATGACATATTGGTTTGTCTAAAATTTATACAACACATCATCATAATAAAAAACTTATTAGGGCACTTCATACAAAAATGTGGGAGTATTCTAGTCAGGCACTTACAAGTAGGGTTAGCATCTTCTGTTAAGCAGTTAAAAAAATAAGAAGTGCAAAGTTTTAACCACTGAAAACCGTTAGTATAGTCTTCATATCAAGCCATACATAATACACGATAGCAGTAGTATAGAGTAGCATACATGTAAAAGTTCAATACAGCTTTCAACTGTTTAAGATGTACTTATAGAATTCAAGAAATAGTGTTCTTTTCATGAAAAATCCACATGGGTATTATTATGTGGTTATAGTTCCCAAAACTATATTTTACATATTGTAACAATGTTAGCTGTCATGATGAGTCTAAGACTGAATATTTTTGCTAAGTAAACCAAATGCATCTCAAAAATGACTTATATCCCTTCCCCTCTTTTAGTTATACGACAATCCCTTCAGCATTGTTTTACAGTTCTGGATGAAACTGAATATGTTCATACACTGTACATACTTGTAGTTTTATCCTCGGCACTCTTAGAATGGTTGGTGGGATCTGGGCTGCTGTTCTGGCTTCTTATCTTTGTCTCTTCCACTTCTGTTATTGTCTCTACGGACGGAGCAACCAAACTGTCATCTGGGAGAAAAATTACAAATCAATGAAGAGAGCAAAGTGAGTTTGTCATTTATCAAAAATTCCACATGGTGCAAATGTAGTTGCCAAGCAATGTACTGATCAACACAAACATACATTTTTTTTATTAATTTCTATACACCTAATAGTAATACTGTTTTAAGCATTTTGTTTTTGATTTAATTGAGAGACAATTGTAAACCAACCCCTGTTTTATTCGGGATAAACTAAAAATTTTAACATTTAAATTGAAGTTTATGTTTGACAGATCATTTTCACCTGATCTTGGTATCACTCTAAACCTTTTCTTTTGAATATCAATGGGTTTAGCTGTTGACTTGGGAGAGGCCTGGACCTGTGAGTTAGACACACTGGAAGTCACACCACTGGCAGGGATCTGGGTGCTTCTCCCCTCCTCTTCTTCAACCAATGTATCATTCTAAAACACAATGCTGAAATTATTCTTTTTTTCATTTTTAATGAAAAATTGATTTTCATTTCACCAGATTTTTTCAAATTATCATTATTATCATCATCATTTTCCTATACCTTCAGATTTTCCAGTTTTAATCTGTATATAGAATAATTTTTTTACAAGTTAAATATAAGATAAATACCTATATCTAGGGCAAAAAACTCAATACTGATACTTGAAAATAGGTAATAACATTCAATTTTCATTGAATAAAACTAAACCAAACCTCCAGAATAACTGGGGCACTCTGTGGCTCCATGATCTCCTCCATAGTGAAATCACCATCCGCCTTAGCTGATTGGCTTGTCTGAGCAGGGATGGCTGCCTCTTGTGGGGTAGTATGTGTAGAAACATCAGGTCTAGAAGGGACAGCATCTGGATGGACCTTGACACTTTCCTTGAAGCAGAAAAAGTTAACGACAACATTACATCATGCCTCTTGACCTTCAAGTATTGCCTTATGCTAGGACTAATTCCCATGCCAAGGGCTACAATTTGAGCCAGGACCTAAGAATTCTATATTCCATGCATACCCTTACATAACAAAAATCCTAAAACTAAGTGTTTTAAGAGTAGCAACTAATCTTTACACCACATGGACACAGATAATACTGCTTCAAGCCTCAATTACATAGTGATAGCCTAGAGTAATCAAACCAATCTAGCTGTGCTGCACCTTCTGCTCCTTGGGTCTGTAACCAGTGCCAACAGGGAAGTCCTTGTCCTTCTCCATGTTACAGGTATAGGCACCAGGGCTGAAGTGAAGTTCCACGTGAAACCTCTTGTCAGAGCCAAGTTCCTGGAAGAGAAGTTGTTGCAAATTACATTGTATTTCATGAAAGTTTCTGTAACTTTGAGTACACAGTATACAACATTTGTAATGGTGCATTACACAATGGCATGTTTATGTTCTTAAAAGCTGTATAGCTCAAAACATTTCACATATCTTTAAGTACAGACTTCTTTAAAGTCAACTTCCAAATGCAAAATTAATTCATGTTCATTTTATGAGCCATATACGATTCTCATTTTCTACGTTGTGTTATATCACACAGACATGGACATATAAGTTGGTGATACTCAAATATTTCATTAGTGGTATAATGACTACTTAACAGGAGCAAATTTGAAGTAGTGCATAACATTATACAATCAAAATAACAAGAAATTTTTTCACTAGAGAGGGGCAGGAGAGGCTGCCTGAAAAGGTAAAAAATTAATTTTAACCCATGTACTTACCTGGCTGGGATCTTCATATAGCATCAGCACTAACTGTGTCATATAATTAAGCTCCGACACACTGCCTATGTACTCCATGGCTCTTTTCCACTGCTCATCAGTCAAATCCTGGAAAAAGCAAAACCGATACACTGAACTATCAAATAAATGTGATTGCCAAACTATTACTCACTAATTCACTTATGTTGGTTGGCTCTGTATTGAATTTCTCAAAAATAATCCACTATGCTATGATTCTTGGCACTGAATGCAATTTAGGAATGTGACAAAAATTCAAAGTTTTTACATCAAAAATGTTCTTTGCTGTAGATGTCACCATATATTTGTATAAAGTGAAATTTCAATGACAGGTATCACAGTGGTTGATTTTTGAGATACTTATTGATCTTTTAAAATTCACAACAGATACGTTAAGAATGAAAAAGAATGTCATAAAGTTCAGTGTTTTTGAGGAGTCATGCATATCCTCACCGCCTTTTCTGGGTAGACACAAGTGTTTTTTCAGGACATAAAAAGGGCAAAGGGGCTGGGAGTTGGGGGTTGGCAGCAATAAAATGTTAATTGCCAAGGCCTTTCTCTTCAGTAGCTTGGTGTGCACAAATGCAACACACTATTTAGGAAGTTGTGTGTGAACTTGTTTAAAAATTTGACAAACGAGGGGCACGCTGAAGTGTGTGTGCGCTGAGGGAAGAGGAAAGGGAAGTGATCACAAATTACAACAAAGGTAAGGGCTGCACTACCCCCTACTCTAAAACATCTTTTATAATCATCAGTTAGCTGTGGAGACAGGAATGTTAGTACAAAAACAGTCTATACTTGATTTCTATTGATATTATTTCTTAAATCTAACATCTGCAGATGTACAACAATGCAAAATTCTGAACAATAAAATATGAACAAGATACCAGGCCATGATGCTAGCTATTTATGCACATTACACACTGAATAAAGCATGTCAGTTTTAAAAAATGACTCAGTTACAAGGCAATACATAACTATTTCAAATCTCTTTTGGTAGACAAAGGATGACAAAACAACACATAATCATCAACAATAAAAAAAACAACTAAATCAGGATATTAATTGAGTGGTGGATCCTTTTTTTTTTTTTTTTTTTTTTTTGCCTGACCTAAGTATTTTAGAGCTGATATAGTGAGATAGCAAGATGAAAATCTTTTAACATTTTGTCATTTCATACACAGATATTGGATCCACCACTTTCTGTGTCGCTGTAAACCCATTCTATATATGTGTTGAAATGCACTTTAAGAGACAATGGAAGTAGTCACCATGACCTTTGAATCTTCAAAACAAATGTTTTTGTCATTAAATAAATCTGCAATGTGATCCACATATCCACCACAAAAGCCTCGGGCAAGGGTCATGGTGATCACCGAAACAAGAGAAAAAATTGAAAATTTAATTTCCAGATTGTTAGAATTCTAATGCTATTTTTAATTAGTACCGTACTATGAAATGTTTTATTTTAGTATTTTGTTATCAAGAAAGTCACACAAACAAACATACAAACTGTTTCACACAAGCAGCCTAAGAAGAGTTAAACTGTGTGCATTGTTAGGAAGTAGTAAAAGCAATTTCCTCCATGCGTCTCCACTTACATCCAGAAGTCCCCCATATCTAATTACATTCAGGAGCGAGTGGATGTGACTTTCACTTGTGAAGTACAGCCGTGTTCGAACATGGCGGTAAGGCGTGGACACCCCCTTGCAATACCTAGAAGGCAATCACAATTACAGTCATGCTCAAAGAGAAGAACAGAGGCCCAAGTTAGATTATATACAGCTACACTACAACCCAAACTTACATCGATCAGTCCACCATAACGAAGCACATTGACGAGTGAATGTATATGACTTTCGCTTGTGAAGTAAAGGCGTGTTCGCACATGAAGGTAGGGCGACTCTACTCCTTTGCAATACCTACAAAAACATCAAAACTAAGAGAAGTGTCAGCCAAAAATTAGAGAAGCAAGTCTTAACCCAAATCTATATAAATATGTTGACAGAAGTCTCTTTTCTTGTCAAAGGTCCCTTGTTGTAGCCAATTCTATCAAATATACTACCATGCACAAAGTGTGAAAATATACAGATGTATTTTTCCATACAAACAAAACATAATAATTCTGTAAGTGGTGGGGTTTAACCTTTCAAGAGGTTCATATACAAAGTAAGGAACACATGAGGACAAGTAACAAAGGGTTAACAGTCTAAATGTCCTATGGGAATACTGTTCACTTTGACACCATGTTTAAGATTCTACTTATAAACTTTGACACCTTGTTTAAGATTCTACTTTAAATTTTTGGAATCTCTACACAGCACTGACAAAGATGCACCTTTTGTGTGAACTGTTAAAGATTGCAAGGGTTATAACAAATATAAGCAAAAAATCATTTTTGACAATAAATATCAAAAGGTTTCTAATGACATTTGACCAGCATATTTTTCTTTTGGAAATCACCACAGCTGTGGTCTTGGTTCATGGCCCTATGACACATGACAGTACACACACAAAAGACAATACACATATGTCTATATACACAATTTATCACAGTACATCATCTAGAATGTTCTAGGTATAATGGAGCAAAAAGTAAAAGCAAAATATCTATCAACTAAGAATATTGATAAGGAGATTAGTGTTAACATATATTTAGAGATTTTTTCAAAAATTACCAACAATGATTTATTTTACTAAGCAAGCAAAAATCATATTAAGCATATTATGGGAAATTAAACCAATATGCAATTTTCTAAGTAAAGATCAAGCTGATCGTTTATTAACCTTGAATCCAGCCTTGTGAAATCTTCCTCGAGATTACTCTGAAGATCAGAGTAAATTTTCTTCAGGAGGGGACTGCTGATACTGGTGCCAATGCACAGCTTGTCTTCTTTAGAAAGGCCATACTCCTGAACATTAAAAAAAAAACTTTCCCCTTAATTAATTATAAAAACACAAAATTTGAAAGTAATGTTTTTTTGGGTACTAACAGCATAATTTAGATTCCTGTCTTATTGTCATCTTTTTCCTAGAGATGAAAATAAGAAGAGTGAAATATAGACCAAGTTACTGACATAAAAAGTGTTACCTGTGGAGCGATAAAGTTATTGACAAATCACATCCTTACCTTTGGAATAATCTAGTCATCAACAAAAAAAACCCTGTTACCTGTGGTAAGATGAAGTCATTACCAGTGGTATTAATAAGTAACCGAGAAATAAAATCATTACCTGTGGTATGATCAAGTCAGCCATAGCCTTGGAACACACGTACAGCTCCTCTGTGTTATCAAACTGCAGTGCCTCCTGGTTGTGCTGGAGATCATACTTAATACAGTCATAAATATCTGGTAATTTGCTGATGTCAAACAAACCACTCCTCTGATGGAAGTCTCTCTCCAGTTTGCCCCACCTCCTCTGCATTAGCTCCCAAGTCTCATTGTGGTATAACGTCTTCCCTGAACCAAAAGGATGCTCAGTTTATTTATTGATTGATGGTCATTACATGGTTCATGGTTAAATTTAATAATAGAGCATAAAAAGGGTGCAGCATTTATCTTTTTTTTTTCTCTGATTTTACTATAATTTTTGTTCACCTCTTGTCCTAGGGTCTGCCTTTAGCTGCTTTATCCTTCCCGTCAGTTTCTGGATGAGGGCATGGATCCTCTTACACATCTGCCGCGGGTTCTTGATAAACATGAGAGCTGTCCTGATGGACTGGCTGTCCTCACATAACTGGCACAACAATGAGGTTATCATCAATTTCAAATTTTCACATAACTTTAAATGGTTTAACTAGAGGATCAGAGAGGCGATACCGCCTCTGGATATTGTACCACCAGCTGGAGTAAGCGCATTTGTATGGACCCCCCTGCCCCCCCCCCCTAAAAAAAAAAAAAAAAATTGGACACCACCACCAGTCTTGAGCTTGACAAGCTCTATAAAATGCAATAAACAAGAGTTCTCAAAATATGCAAAAAAAAAAAAAAATAGAAAAAACATAACAGTTAAAATGGTCCAGTCAAGGAGATGTTCAAATTGACCTGTATTTTCCTAACACTGATCATTCCTGTGATTTTCTAGACAATAGGCCTATTGGTTTTCCTTGAAATGCATTATCAGTATTGCATATGCCGGTATGCTGACAAAAGAGAAAACCTAGGGACAACACTGAGCAGATCTCTGCTTGTTTTGAAGATATGAAGGGCAAGAAAATATGCAGAGTTCAGTTTGAGGGTAAAAAAGTAGGTCAAAGGTCAATTTCAAGGTCACAGTATATGACTTCCTATATGAGATTAATAGTAGCTATGGGCATTTCTTTGCCAATGTTGGAGATATGAAGGCCTGGAAACATGCAAAGTGCAGTTCATCATAAATAGTAGGTCAAAGGTCAATTTCAAGGTCACAGTAAGATTGCCAGTATATGACTTCCTATTCAAGTTCAATAGTAACTTTGGACCCATCTCTGCCAGTTTTTGAGATATAAGGGATAGAAAATGCAAAGTTCAGTTCATGTTGAAAAGTAGGTCAAAGGTCAATTTCAAGGTCACAATAAGAATGCCAGTGTATGACTTCCTATTCAAGTTCAACAGTAATTATGGGTGTATCTCTGCCAGTTTTGGAGATATAAGGGCTGGAAAATTTGCAAAGTTCAGTTCATTGTGAAAAGTAGGTCAAAGGTCAATTTAAAGGTCACAGTTAGGTTACCAGTATATAACTTCCTATTAAAGTTCAATAGTAACTATGGGTGTATCTTTGCCAGTTTTGGAGATATAAGGGCTAGAAAATTTGCAAAGTTCAGTTCATGGTGAAAAGTAGGTCAAAGGTCAATTTAAAGGTCACAGTAAGATTACTTTTATATAACTTCCTACNCAAAGGTCAATTTAAAGGTCACAGTAAGATTACTTGTATATAACTTCCTACTCAAGTTCAATGGTAACTATGGGTGTATCTCTGCCAGTTTTGGAGATATAAAGATCAGAAAACTTCAAAGTGCAGTTCATCATGAAAAGTAGGTCAAAGGTCAATTTCAAGGTCACAGTTAGATTACCAGTATATGACTTCCTATTCAAGTTCAATAGTAATTATGGGCATATCTCTGCTAATTTTGGAATATTTAACATAGAAAAAGGTCAAAAGTCAAATCCAAGGGCATATTTGGAATCTCCACATATGACTTTTGGTCAGACTTCTGTAGTAATTTTTCCCATAATTCCTTTGGTTTGGGAGATATTTAGCCTTGAATTTTCAAAAATTTTGACAAGGGTGCGTTTCAACAAGTGTCACGCCCAGGCCAATGCACAGACAGAGACAAAAAAACCAGGGTGTTCAAGTTGAGATTATACATGACCTAAATCCAAGAGATGGAGACACAGGTCCTGGCGGTCTAGGAGGAGAAGCGGTAACGGTGACTTGTTTCCAGCGCCCGACTGCGGAGCCGGCGGAGCCGCAGGAGCCAGCGGAGCTGTACGAGACAGGTCGGGACTAAAACCATGAGTACCGCCAGCGTATACGCTGGTGGTACTAATAATGAATTGAAGAACCACATACTGTGGTAAAATTAAAAAGTACAAAACATACAACATATCCCATCTTTTTCCACAGAAAAAATAAAGATTTTTCACAAAATTCTGAGGCTTCAAAATGTGTTCTGAAACATTATTCTGTGATAAAACAATCTTTGTCAGAGGTTGAAAAACTTACTTGCTGTATGTCTTCTTCTTCAAAATCTTTGTCTTCATTTAAAATCTGCTTTAGCTTGGCTTTGATTCTGAAAGTAATGTGTTCAGTTCAGTTCTTCAACTACTATAACTGTACATTGAGACAGCATTAGATTCCAGACTCAATAATTGTGACAAATTAACCTGTAGTTAACAAAAGCACTTCATCAATTTAATCTCAAACTTGAAACATAAATTATAAAATTCATTTGATCCTTGATTTGACTCAAATAACACATTGAAAGTCTGCAGTGGCTATTTCTAAATATGTCTATCTGTGCTATTAAATCCATTTAATATTTTATGGTTATTTTCAAAAATATCACTCTTCAATTTACTTGTTTTGATATTTAGCTGCTTCTCTGTCCTCATCCAGCAGACCATTGGTGTCTGCACTCTTCACCATCTGTACCAGTACTGGGGCCAACTCCCCCTCCAAGGCAAGAAGTCCCTGAAAGAATTATTTCACATTGTACTCTAAAGTCTTTGCAACTGATAATCTTTTGGACCTTTTGTCATTTTCATTGATAAGGTCATACAGGCTTTATGATTCTTCATGGTTCCTGAGACATTTAAATACCTAAATAACAGGACAGATCCCACATGTAATGTGACCTCATCCTGATGATCACATTCAAAATCTATGACTACAACAAACCTTAGTAAAAGCAGCTGCTGTCATTTGTACTCTGCCTTCATCTGACGCATAGATCTTTAGATCATGTCTAAATGTGCTGTGTAGTCTAAGAAAGCCCAGGCCAGGGGTGTTACCATAGTCACCTGAATTCCGAAAGTTAAAAGGCCATCTCAATACTGTGCTAAATTCTCAGAGAACCTCCTCACTTTTGGACTTATAAATAATTTTAGCACTATCTGATTTTAGTACCACACAGGGTTTGGTTTTATAAATTACAAATATTTTAATGCTGATTCACTTTTGAAAAAAAAAAAGGACAAGGGAAAATGTGATTTTCATAATATCTGATCTTAAAACAATTCAGGTAAAAAGAGTGCTGTTTTAAGATCAACCCATGCAGCCTTACCTTCTCCACCAGGATACATGCACCTGAAAGCCTTGCCCAGCTCCTCAGCCTGCATCTTCCCTGCTGGGGTCAGTTCTCCTCCCCACTTCAGGATCAGCACCAGAGAGGGACCTGGGTCTGCAGCATGGCCTGTGCATGCAAAGGCATCTCAACTCATTTTAAACTTACCAATACTCCATCCATTTATTTATATATTTGTTCATTTATCTCTCCATTCAAATCATACAGTGCATATGTAAAATACTTGCTAAAAATTAATGCAGCTTTTAACTGATATAAACCTTTTAAAGGTTGCCTTTCTCTTCAATTATATTTTAATTGTAAAGAAAAATAAGGAAGATAGATTATGATCCAATTCACAATGGCACTTTTGCATTTTGTTCTCACCCTTTTGGTCAAGACCTTCAAATTTTCATGCTACATTAATAACACAGGAATTCCAATTTGCATGAATACACTGTATGCCAGAACAAAACCAAGGAAGCCACTTCATCATGTTAAATCTGTTCTTATGCTATACTCACTGGAGAGCTCTCCATCTGACACCTCATCTGAGGACTTCTTAGGAGCCCCATGAGGCTGGTACTTGAGCTGGACCTTCCTGTTGATCCCTGAGAAATGGCCATACCTGTTTGAGGGAAAGTGAAAAATATAATTGATATATAATAATGGCTGCACTTTGTTAAAGCTATCCTACCTTCTTCATCGTAGTTTTTTTGCATGGACACATTATGCCTTACCACATTGAATATTTCATTGAAAGCAGTCAGCTCTAGCAATATACACGTACTATATAAGTCTGAACATTTTTGCTGAATTTTGATATTTCTACAATCACTTCAGATATATTTCTTACATTTCCAGCACAGCCTTCAGTTGCTCTAACTTGGACTTTTTCTCCTCCACTTCAGGGTTGGCAGGGTGGGCCTCTATCTCCAATAACAGGGCCCTGGCAATGTCCAAGATCTCTTGTAGCTGCCTTGGACGCTTCAGTTTCAACTGTCCTGTCTTAAATCCATCGTACTTCTCAAATAAGTCAAAGAACCTGAAAAACATATCATTATTATTGCCACTGGTCACACAGAACTGATAAAATTCTTTATCACTGAATCTGATTTACCTGTTCAAATGCAACTATTTAAGAAACTTAATATTATATAACCTTGAAGTGCAAAAGAGTAGAATCTTAAGAGAAAGAGATTCAATTCCACTTTATGAATTGAAACATGTATATGTTAAAACAATACTAAAAATTCTTAAAACAAAGATACAATGTACCTCTTATGTTTGGCCTCCATCTTCATCTTTTGCTTTGGTGTCCTGTCTCCATGTCTTATCACAGCTATCACACATCTCAACTCCATCCTGATAATTACCATATAAAATCACATTTTAAAAACTTGCATTTTACATAAGTAAGATATTGGGAGGTGGGTTCCTTTAAATATTAAATCAAACTTATTTTCCCTAATTCTCATGTTTTTTTAGTATGGTCTTTTATAATGAAAACTATGTAAAACCCAATCTGTAAAACACTTGTCATCTGTTCCCACTGACTCACATAGTTCCACATGTAGTGGGCACAATGGGAGGATCCTCAGGCTGGTAGTAGATGGGAATAGACAACTGTGGGGCAAAGTGACGGATTATCATATTGCTGGAAAAACAGATGAATTATTCTGTCAATTAAAATAATCTTCTGACCAGCTACTTCCAAATTTAATGCTTTCAAGATGTTCTTTGAAAAACTAACTAAGACCATTTATTAAAATAAACAAAAAATTATTACATTGTTGCCAGAAAGCTCACTGGAGCCTACTTCCTGAAATACATTTAATTGATCTGATCATATAAATGCTTTATGATTTTTCTACTTACCCTAGAATTTTTGCACAGTCATCATAATATTTCATAGATGTCTTCACAAAGCTGAACCCATTAACATCACAGACATAGCACTCCCCATTAGCTCTCAGGAGATCAAACCCACAAACCATTTGCTGAAAACAAATGTATTCCTCTCTACATAAAGGTGTGGTCAATTGGTTTTATTCATTCCCGTGTTCAGCAAATGTGTTTTGTGTCACTGCATATGAGTATTATACATAACAACTTTTCAAAGAAAGAAATCAAAGAGAAGTCAACATCTGTTTAAAATTATCACATATGCACACATTTAACACTAAGATTTTACAATATTAAAATCTTTTATTTGTTAGAGATATCCCTTAAAAACACACATCAATTTGATAAAACAAGTCTCCGCAGCTTCTACCTTAAATGCTAGACAGACTTTCCTAGCTATGAGTTTCTCCTTGGCACTCAGTAAGATGGGATATCTGACTTCCTTCCCATCTTTATCTCTCTCCACTTTCCCATCTAAAGCTGGAGACTTCCTGGCCTCTGCATGGGCATAGTCTGGACCAAGAGTGTAAACCTGGGATAACCAATTGCAGGGATTATTCATCAACATTAGGACAATAAGGTCAAAGTCTACAGTTGCCAAAAAAGAGCAATTTTCTCAACCAGAGAATAGGAAGAAAACTGTCTTCCTGCAATCAAACATAATTTAGCATAAAACAGTTTTCAGATTTAATTCAATAATAGTCTGTGGTAAAAATGTATTTATATGTTCTAATATCAAACCATTAACGATGCTAGGGGATATCCAATTTAGAAGTTTTTTTCAATCATTTTGTTTAACACTGTGACTCTTATATGTGCTGAATCTATATAAAGCTCTATATACCTTGATGTCTGTTCCATCTGTAGGCATAAACTGTTCATAGATATAAGAGCCTGTTTTACGCACTTTATTTACAGGAGAATAAACGCTACTTCGACTTCCAATCTGAAAAGAAACCAAAAGAGCATTTTCAATGTCTTTATCATAAAGCATCTATGGAGTACATACATGATATCATTATGTATTTTCCTTTTTAAATAATGTATAAGTTAGCTACTGTGGCCCTACGATGTGCCTGGATAATTAGACATAAGCAATCTAAAAATATTTCCTCATATCTACATCAACTTTATGCTGACCATGCTAAAATGACAGACACCACTCTTAAGGTTTTAACTTAAATAAATGAAATCACTTAGTTAATCAAAGACAGTGGCCAAACTCAGTCAGTGTGATATCAACCACTGACCTTTCTGAAGAGCCTCTGGCTGCCCCCTCCTGCACTGGTGGGGTAGTAGATGTACACATTGTGGTCCTCAGCAGAGACAGGCTTCTCAACAAATGGCTTTTGAAATACAATCCCATTGACCTCTATCTGGTCATCCCCCTCTATCAACAGGCACTCTGGAATAACAACTCAGATTATTGATATGAAAAGTATCAGATTTGTGCCCAGAGAAGGAACATCACAGTTATCTAGTCTAATTTTATGCTGTTCTGATCAGTGTAGAAAATTGCATATTAATAAGCCAACAATAGGCATGCTTAACCAAGAATTGGATTTGGAATTTATATCACTTTTTGTTAACCAATTTATCCAATTATGAATACAGTAGTTTAATTGCACAAGCAAAAGCAAACCACAGCTCCATAGCTTAAAGCAATGAGCAGTAACGAGCACTATCAAGTATTCAATCTGATAGTCAACTTGCTGCTAGTTTTTTTCCAATTTATATCCTCAAAACAATCTTCTTCACCTTTTTTGTTAACTTAAAATAATCTAACATTCTCTCTTTTTCATATTATCATGTAGCAAGGGTGTCTCCTAACATACTGCCAGGATCCTTCTCAACACAATATGTTTATACACCAACATCAAATAGATCAACAATAAATTAGGAATACCATCACCAACATAAACCAATTAAGATGGCAGATTAAGGACAGATAAAGGGAAACACAATCAAGAGAAAACCCTCTAATTTCAAGTAGTATTTCAAATATTACTTGTTGTTATTGTAATAGTTAGTAACGATTCCTGAAAACAACGCAAAAAGTTTTTCAAAAAAGCAGACTACTGAAAAGATTTAAATGATATAATCAATCTTTTTACGTTGTTTTACACCAATGTGGTTAGACTACTGGTTTATTCATTAAATTCAAACCAGCTGGCAGCAACAATAGCCATGCTTTAGTGAGCCTGTTAATATCCCTGCTGTCTCATATATAATACATAATATATCCCATGTCCCATTTCTAGCCACACTCACTCTTTGGGTCCCCACAATCTCTGTCCAGCACAGCATATCTAGGCTGGGGGATACCTTCTATGGACAGAAGTTCATGTACAGCTCGCCTGGAGAAGAGAAAAGCAAAACAACAACTTACTGGTTGGGTCCCCAGAATCTCTGTCCAGGACAGCATAGGGGAGCATTGGTATGCCAGCTCTGTACATTATCTCATGCACAGCCCGCCTGCATGGAAAAGAACATGTAAGGAAAGCAACAGAAATATCAGATAATGTCATTGTTTTACAGGGGTTGGAATCAATTTGCTTTTTCACTAGCCATATATTTGCCAATAATCTAATCTGCTTATAGTTTCTTTATATATATATATCCATTACCAGTAACTTCCAAGCTTTTTGCTGCTAGGATAATTTTTTAAAAATTTCATTAAAATATACATCTGGCTAATGAGCTGGTCAAAATTCCTAGCCCTGTATGAGTAAACCAAGGAAAATGCAGCTCAGCAGAATTTACATAAAATTGGCCACACTATGAAAAAATAAACAAAACCAGGTAGCAAAATTATAATGTGAATTAAAGCAAATCCGAGTGGCATTTAAACAGCTACTGCAAAATCACTGAGATTAATATTACATGACTTACTGTAGCCAGCTAGAAAACTTCACTAATCTTGTATTAAATGACTTACTGAAAAGTTTTCAACACCACAAAAAAGGTAATATTTCATAAATACTGCGTGTTTCTCCATGTTTGTTAAAATCATGAAACTGGGAAACAAAATTGGTAAAAACTCCAAATTATATAATTGCATATTATTGCATAATCATTATCAAAGCAAACAAATAAATGGTTAGCTGTGAGGGAACCTAAAAACAAATAAGCAGTTGTTTGTATCTAATGTAGTGAAATAGTTAGAAATACCAATATCTTAAACCTGGAATTTGTATGGATATACTCAAGGATGGATGCAAAAGAAAAAAAACTGATCATTATCACACAAAAAAATTACCCATCTTAGAGGGTGCTAGGAGTGTGACAGAGGGTATCATATAATTGAAATAAAAACAAAATACAACACAAAAAAATCTTTTTGTTGGAATAATAGCATAATGTAATTTCTAATGGAAATTGATCTGTGCAGTAGTGTTAATCACAGTGAGGAAATTTAAAACTTTCCAATTTCTACATTAACTGAAAGCATACCTGTAAAGCATTCATCCTTACACCTGGAACTCCAGTCACACTGTCCAGAGAAAGTGTATAGTAAACAATGTGGTGAGAACTGCTCACTTCAACACTGTTCCAGATGTTGAGGTACACAATCATTCCATCAGTTTGGACAATATGGACATTTTTGGACTGTGACATGGTTCAAGCGAGGGTTAAAGGAGCCTCTTTACATTTGGGCCCAGAGACTTTCATGGAACAGGGACAGGGGTAGGCACAACCTGTCTAGCATCTGGGACAATGTTATAGTGAGCAGTTCTTGCCAGAGTGGTCTCTATGTACACTGTCTCATGACATCAGTGTGACTGATGAAGTCTTAATAGAACAAAAGTTTTTACTATTATGCTTTCAGTTAGTACAGATATTAAATAGTTTAAAATTTCCTCAACATGAGGTAATTTGTTGAAATCTATCTGACTACAAGATTTTAAAATCTCATTCACCATGCAAGCATGAGATATAATATATACATCATCTTAAACAGCTCTGCAAAATGCAAATTTGTATGACACCATGGCAGCAAACTCACAGAAAAACCTTACTCACTTATAAAATGCAAGCAGAAACAACCAAAACCGTCACATCGTTTACTTTGATTTTAGTGTATATTACCTGTCTTGTATATCATACTGCATGCTTAAATCATTGGACACAAAAGGTTTGCGTAGTTTCTCATAGGCTACTGCCTTGTCCAGTGGGAAGCCAGAGGAGTAGAAAGAAATGAGACAGTCACAAAGGGGCCAATTCTCCACAGCCTCATTCAAAATAACTTGCTCATCAAATATCAGTATTTCTATGTATTCAAATCTTTTCAATCTTTCAATAATTTCCCTCATTGGTTTGGAGTGTGATTTTTTCTTCATTGCACATATTCCAACTATGATTTTCTTCACCTCTCCTGCATCCTGCAAACACACAACAAAAATTCATGTATTGATAACATGACACAAAGGGTATTAACAAGTCTGCCAAAAATGATTATCAATTCAACCAAGCTGCATGTGCATTGAATTCCCTGGGCTTATAAAATTGTTTTTTAATATAACAATGTTAAATGTAAAAATATAAATACGATAAAAATTCCATGCTTAAAGAAAGTTAGTTGCATCACACTTAACAAGTGTCACAAAAAAACATTCATATATCTAATCACGTGTGTATACTGAAAACAAAGGTCAATGTAAATGTTAACTGCTGGGAGCAGAAAATTTGGTACTTTTGTAGTATACCCCCCCACCCTGTAACTTCCTGAAACTTTCATTTTTCAAACATTTTTTTAAATTGTCTTTTTCACCTATGTCAAAGCTGTTGAAATAAAATTTTTTTGTAATTACCTGTGGTCTTTTTATTAGTTTTAATCACGTTTAATCCACCCCTTTGAAATACAACNTCTATCCCATGTCCCATTTCTAGCCACACTCACTCTTTGGGTCCCCACAATCTCTGTCCAGCACAGCATATCTAGGCTGGGGAATACCCTCTATGGACAGAAGTTCATGTACAGCTCGCCTGGAGAAGAGAAAAGCAAAACAACAACTTACTGGTTGGGTCCCCAGAATCTCTGTCCAGGACAGCATAGGGGAGCATTGGTATGCCAGCTCTGTACATTATCTCATGCACAGCCCGCCTGCATGGAAAAGAACATGTAAGGAAAGCAACAGAAATATCAGATAAAGTCATTGTTTTACAGGGGTAGGAATCAATTTGCTTTTTCACTAGCCATATATTTGCCAATAATCTAATCTGCTTATAGTTTCTTTATATATATCCATTACCAGTAACTTCCAAGCTTTTAGCTGCTAGGATATTTTTTTAAAAATTTCATTAAAATATATCTGGCTAATGAGCTGGTCAAAATTCCTAGCCCTGTATGAGTAAACCAAGGAAAATGCAGCTCAGCAGAATTTACATATAATTGGCCACACTATGAAAAAATAAACAAAAACAGGTAGCAAAATTATAATGTGAATTAAAGCAAATCCAAGTGGCATTTAAACAGCTACTGCAAAATCACTGAGATTAATATTACATGACTTACTGTAGCCAGCTAGAAAACTTCACTAATCTTGTATTAAATGACTTACTGAAAAGTTTTCAACACCACAAAAAAGGTAATATTTCATATATAATGTGTGTTTCTCCATGTTTGTTAAAATTATGAAAGTGGGAAACAAAATTGGTAAAAACTCCAAATTATATAATGTTGCATAATCATTATCAAAGCAAACAAATACATGGTCAGCTGTGAGGGAACCTAAAAACAAATAAGCAGTTGTTTGTATCTAATGTAGTGAAATAGTAAAAAAAAACAAAATCAGAGTAAAATATCCTAAATCTGGAATTTGTATGGTATGGATATACTTAAGGATGAATGCAAAGGAAAACAAGCTGATCATTATCACACAAAAAAAAGAAAATACCAATCTAAGAGGGTGGTAGGAGTATGACAGAGGGTATTGAAATAAAAACAAAATACCACACAAAAAATCTTCTTTTTGTTGGAATAATAGCATAAAGTAATTTCTTATTGAAACTGAGCTGTGCAGTATTGTTTTAAAATCATAGTGAGAAAATTTTAAACTTTTCAATTTCTACATTAACTGAAAGCATACCTGTAAAACATTCATCTCTACACTTGGAACTTCATCAGTCACACTATCCGGAGAACGTGTATAGTAAACAATGTGGTGAGAACTGCTCACTTCAACACTGTTCCAGATGTTGAGGTACACAATCATTCCATCAGTTTGGACAATATGGACATTTTTGGACTGTGACATGGTTCAAGCGAGGGTTAAAGGAGCCTCTTTACATTTGGGCCCAGAGACCTTCATGGAACAGGGACAGGGGTAGGCACAACCTGTCTAGCATCTGGGACAATGTTATAGTGAGCAGTTCTTGCCAGAGTGGTCTCTATGTACACTGTCTCATGACATCAGTGTGACTGATGAAGTCTGAATTAATAGAACAAAAGTTTTTACTATCATGCTTTCAGTTAGTACAGATATTAAATAGTTTAAAATTTCCTCAACATGAGGTAATTTGTTGAAATCTATCTGACTACGAGATTTTAAAATCTCATTCACCATGCAAGCATGAGATATAATATATACATCATCTTAAACAGCTCTGTAAAATGCAAATTTGTATGACACCATGGCAGCAAACTCACAGAAAAACCTTACTCACTTATAAAATGCAAGCAGAAACAACCAAAACCGTCACATCGTTTACTTTGATTTTAGTGTATATTACCTGTCTTGTATATCATACTGCATGCTTAAATCATTGGACACAAAAGGTTTGCGTAGTTTCTCATAGGCTACTGCCTTGTCCAGTGGGAAGCCAGAGGAGTAGAAAGAAATGAGACAGTCACAAAGGGGCCAATTCTCCACAGGCTCATTCAAAATAACTTGCTCATCAAATATCAGTATTTCTATGTATTCAAATCTTTTCAATCTTTCAATAATTTCCCTCATTGGTTTGGAGTGTGATTTTTTCTTCATTGCACATATTCCAACTATGATTTTCTTCACCTCTCCTGCATCCTGCAAAAACACAACAAAAATTCATATACTGATAACATGACACAAAGGATATTAACAAGTCTGCCAAAAATGATTATCAATTCAACCAAGCTGCATGTGCATTGAATTCCCTGGACTTATAAAATTGTTTTTTAATATAACAATGTTAAATGTAAAAATATAAATACGATAAAAATTCCATGCTTAAAGAAAGTTAGTTGCATCACACTTAATAAGTGTCACAAAAAAAACATTCATATATCTAATCACGTGTGTATACTGAAAACAAAGGTCAATGTAAATGTTAACTGCTGGGAGCAGAAAATTTATACCCCTTCATCCACGTCTGAGTCCTCCCCACTGTCCCAGCACCACTCCACATTGCTGGGAGGCACCATGTCCACCATCCTGGTGTGGCTAGTGGGGGTCTAAATAGCTGTATTCTTGAATATTTCTTTCATTTGCAAATAACTGGAACTGCAGTCAGACATATGAAAACAACAGGTAAATAATAAATGATGACTGAAGTTAATTAAAAATTTCGGACGTAGTGCTTTATCACAGTGAATGGAATTATCATGGCAAAACATTAAAAGAAGGCAAGCTCTTTTCGCCAGAAATAATAAAGATGAAATGTTTATCTTAGGATAATGCATCTAACTATAATTAGCCCAAAATATCGTACCTGTCTAATTTCTGCAATCTTCTTTTACGGCTTAGAAAATGACATCGATAAAGCACTATTTTTATGCTAACTATTAGTCACTATAAATGGCATCAAACGTATAGCTGTACTTACTTGAAATACCTACGCCATACGGATTATTTTTAATAGTTTAAACACTCCTCATTTTCACGCGTTTCAGAAATTTTGCATCGAACATAAAAACCTCACAATTTTTCGTCTTTCGTTAATTGATGACCTTCACCCCTTTCTCAGTATTGCATTGTGGGATATTGTTGCTGCAATAAGTGAGTTATATATTTGCCGCATAGGTTCAAAAAATATATATATATATACATTACCTAATTACTGTTACAAAAAGGGTATTAACAGAAGACCTGTCTTTTAGAGGATTACAGAAGAGAAAGCATCGATTGACAGTGTAAATTGTGAAAGTGACTGACATAAATCCACAGGAACGTGCATCATAAATGTGCACGTGAAACTGTTGAAAATGTTTACCTTGGGGGCAGTATTATCTCAATCAAGACTTTCATGTGGTCGGCAACTGGTTTTGGTTCATTGTCAGCGATGTGCCAGTTCACAAGCTAAGGAAAGGCGAAGACAGGAACTTTTAGACCGTATTATTAGAGTCGACCACGCTGGAGAACTTGGTGCAAACAGAATATACCAGGGGCAGATGGCTGTGCTGGGTAATTCACCCGTGGGCCCTGTGATACAGGTGATTCATCGAAAACTGTGAGCTGGTCCTGGTGATTAAAACACATATTATGTAACTGTCATCACAAACCAAACTTACACTCAGTAATGCTGTAATTCATGAATGTACATATTGTATATTTTGTCGTCTCTGCCTCCCACTCCAGCCAAATTACTCCATGGGTTGATACTCCTACCAGTACTGTATGCACTTATATTCCCCGTCATCAGTTTTTAAATGACAATCCGAAAACATTGTCACTTTTAGGTATTTCCCATAAAGTTTCAGCTCAATACTAATGTTGGTGAAATGACATTGGCACAACAATGGCTGGTTGCATGGCTTACCAAAGTTGGGGCAATGCCATCTTCTTATCTGGGAAACACTCATACAATTACTATTGGAATTACAGGTACAGTGTTCACACATCATATGATTGTTTGTATGTTTCTCTTTACAGCATATGTGGGATCAGGAAAAGGAACATTTGAAAAAATTTGAAGAGCTAATACCAAAGCATAGGGTTAGGCCCACAGTTATGTTGCCATTGTGGAATGTTGCTGGTTTTGTTTTAGGTGAGCAAAAGAGACAACAGTGGAAGAGGCCAACAGTCATACTTGGCACATCTTGGAGTGTAATGATTCAAAGAATTGAAATTTTAGTTAAAATGACTTTTACCTATTATGGACCAAATATATGACAGGTTTTTAATTGCAGTATAAGTCTCATCATTTGCATGAATACTGGCTCTAGTAAAATGATTACAATTTACTTATGTAGTAAACAACTGTAAAAAAAATCAGCTCTATTTTTAAATAAAATGATGAAGAAAATGTATTCTGTTGATGTTTATATCTGGATTAAAGGTACAATTACCATTGGGAAACCTCAATGGTAATTGTATCTGGATTAAAGGTACAATTACCATTGAGGTTTCCCAAGGTATCAGTTATAAATATTTTTGTTTCAACCTGACAGGTGCATCTACAGCTTTGCTTGGCAAGGAGGGTGCCATGGCATGTACAACAGCAGTGGAGACTGCCATTGTTAAACACTATAATGAGTAAGTTACTTCTGTCACTGTCTTCTCTTTTGGATTTCATTTGTTGGTGTAATTGAACATCTTGAAATGTTTTATTTTTAAACATTTTGTATGTGAACAGGGGTTTCCCCTGGATTTGGGATACAGGGAGTCCAAAAATGTTAATTTGTAATATATATTGTAACTGATATACACAGAGTCCAACCCAAGTAGGTCCCAAATATAAACCATGGGGGAGAGGGTATTTTAAAAAAAGACAAAAAATATAAATTAAAAATTAATTGAAATATTGTTTTTTTTAATAATGATTACCTTTATTTTTTTGGAGTTTACATATTTATAATAATTATATTTGTAATTTTATTGTAAACGATAAATTTGATCTTTTTAAAGATTCATATTCTTTTAACTTAGATTCACTCATATAAGACAACCTTTTCTCCCTCACATCAATATCACACTGCTCAATAACACCACTGCTATTTTATCCAAACATCCAACTTTCTTTTATAATATAGATCATCTTTTGAGGCCTATGGCCATCCAAGTGACAGCTGAACAGCTCTCTAGGGAAAGCCTTGCTTGCTCTTTTATGTGTTACATTTGTATTTTAAGATTTTTTTTTTTTTTTTTTTTTGTGAAAAAGAGTCAAGTCAGTCAGGTCTTTTCTAGATGATTGCAACAGTGATGATTGTTGAATATCACAACTGGTGCAATTTACAGGTGTATCCATTCTTCTTATTTATTTATGTGTGCAAACATGTTATGATATGTAATGGTTTAGATTGAATTTTTTTAGATTTATATATATATATATATATATATATATATATATATATATATATATATATATATATGTCATGTTTTTTTATTATATTTTAGCCAAATAAGAGAGCTCATAGAAGAGGACCCAGAAGAATATAAAGAAATGTTAGATGTAAGTTAGAATAATTGTTTCATAAGATGAAAATAGTAAATAAAGGAAAGAAAATAAAAGAAAATAGTACGTAAAGGAAAGACCAAAAGTCAGTCATATGGATGCTTAACAAGAAAACTGGGGCAGATATTGGTAAACTGACTGGGTAAAACATTGTATCACTGTTTTAAAAATTGTACTATTTCCCTCAAGTATTTTGTCTTGCTGAATAATCATATTAAATTTTAAGTTTTCGTTTGTTAGTTTGTTTTTGGTTCAGCAATTTTTCAAATATTTTATTTAATATTTATTTCAGACTCTAAAGAAGTTTCGTGATGAGGAGCAAGAGCATCATGATACTGGAATAGACTTTGAAGCGGAGAAAGTATGTTGAGAATCCCTAGACATACGGTTAAATGAGATATATTTGTTATAGAAGAAAATGTTTCATACCTGACCTCTAAAAATAACCTTTACCACCTTACATTTTAACTGCAAAAATGTGCAGAGAATTTTATATATTTTTTTAATTTTTGTAAATTCTTATTTTGACACATGAAAAATTGAAACATGCTATATAAAATTATGATTTTGATAATTCCTATTAATATTATGATAGAGTAAAAATGATATATGCAAAGCAAAAATTCTATATTTTGCCTAAGTTTGGTATCATTTGCAAAATAAGTTCCAAATTTTTTTCTCTGTTTTCAGGCTCCTCTATACAATGTTTTGTACCAGACAATTAAATGGGGATGCACTGGCGCTATATGGGTATCTGAAAGAATATGACGTTAATTAACGTTTGTTAACACGTTGGACTGTTGACAAATGCCACATACCTTCAGAGACTAGACAAAAACTTGTATTTTCTTTAAGAACTGAACGCAAGAAGTTATTTCATGTCTTTGTTATTTCATGGATTTTAAAGTGGATGAGTCGACGATCAACAACAGCTAAATGCAAACATGACTTATTTATTGCAGTCAGGTGTCGCAGTCTGTTATTGATCTTTTAACCTATGCAACTAAAAAATACAAATTGCTCTGTAGCATTTTGTAATAAAGTATATCAATTTATTTCAATATTGTTAGGAGATAGTCTAAAAATAAAAAAATACTGAACATGCCTTAATGTCAAGAAAGATAGATAAGAGCGATTGCTGAAGTTTTTTTCTTGTAATAGACGTTATTATTTAAAAAAAGCTTGGAAAGATTAGGTTAAATTAACTCATTTCTATGACGATATGCCAAACAGTATGAAATTTGCTGTCTTTATATCGCAGCAGTTTTATTTGACGGTGCATGTTTTTCATATTTCTATAAAAGAAAAGTCCTTCCGTTGAAATGTATTGTTACTGCATATATTTGCACTTATGCTACATCCGACTCCCAACCATGGCTAGGATTATCATATCGCTAGCATGCCAAGTGAAAAGAGAGCCCTCGGAAGCAAGCATGTAGGATTAGCACAGCAACGGAAATCCTGAGATTACAATTTTTTTTTTTGAAAGGGGGGGGGGGGTGCTCAGTAAAAAGGGCATTTTCAGGCTTTTTGTTTTCATTAATTTCCTTCTTACCCCCCCCCCCAAAAAAAAAAAAAAATGAACGAAACATTTCCCATTTTAATTCAGAACCCTGCATAATCTATTGTTAGCAAGGGAGTTTTCTTTTTAGGTAGACCTGTACTTCCATCTTCCAACTTGAGCATTTTGTCGTGGAAATATAACGTTAGAGACAAGTATTCCTGTGTTTTTGTTCACTGTCCAAATATTCTAAGCGAAATCCATTTAAATCATACAATTACTTTTTAATTTAAGGTGACCGATATGTATTTACTAAGGCTTCGAAAAATTTCTAGGGAGGTAAAAGTATTTTTGTTCGCCGAAAAAAATTGAGTTGTGCGTTTTTAACCTCTTAAAAGTATTTTTTTTTATGTCGTGTTGTGTACAAACTAATTAATACCATACGTTAATCTATCGATTCCGTCACTTTTAGGAAGCAAATTCTAACCAGAAATGAACAAGAAACGCAGTGATAAGCTTTTCCGAACAAAACAGACTTTATTATGCCATAATATAACCTGTAATGGTTTCCTACAGCTTTGAACTACGTGCGGATCTTATTATAAGTTACAACAGACGTATTCACTTTTGTGACATTTTCATAAAACGTACTGACTAAAGCATAATTGTTACCCGTTTGTGCCGTGTGTCAGCATACCTACATGTATTTAACAAGAGATCAACGCCTTGAGGCTGACTTTTACCCTTTAAATATACGCAACATTGTTCATGAATTCAGTAATATGTTGTATTATACTGGGCCATATTACGATTTAATGAAATAAACTATGCTACTTACTGTCCTGAGCCAGATTTGTAAGGTGCTGCGATTTACCCTGTATATTCAACACATATCAAAGTTCATAAACGTAGCAATATCAAATTACTTAAAAGCACAAAAAGCAGCAGCATTTTGTGAGACTTCTCTCAACTACATGAAGAATATATATAACTTAAAAATCAATGCAGTCACTCTAGATTACTTTTTAAAGAGATAAATAATTCGTTTTAATTTTTCGTTTGGGAACTAGTCATTATGTATATTTATTATATATATATTCAATTTTTGGAGACTGATATTCTCGCTCTCTCTCTTTCTTGATACCCTCTTCCGTTTAAAGTTTATTCTATTGCGATATGAAACTAATTATTTGCTATATCCAAACATAAATGTACGTCCTTTCAAATTACTCAGATCACTTTTGTGGAACGATTATTCGTAATTTCTAAAGGGCAAATTATCTTCAACCAACTGTTTAAGAATACATTTATATGAATGAACCGTAAATGGGACATGTGTAGAAATAATTCAAATAGTAAAGTTCTTGACGGCATTGATGTTCTAGTACTTCTAGTACTTCGACCATCCATCTGCAGAGCTCAAAATCCAAACATTCACTTCGGAGACTTTTTCCTTCGCGTGGCCTAAGCCGAGTAAACGGCTACATGCACTTATAACATATTCACTTCGCGTGAGAATATTCTTTTTTGAGTTGATTAAATAATTTGCCTTTGAGAAAAAAAAACAATAAAAACATAGGCTATCTGAATAATAGGAAGATTATGTCAAATTTCCAGTGCCTGGATGATTTTCGAAATAAATCTTTACAAAAAGACATACAACGTTTGATAAATTCATTTCTTACGTGAGCCTTAAGTAGAATACAATTCAAGCTACCAGTAGGTAGTCAACTTTCCTCTAAGAGGCAGAATATCATATGTCCCAATTTTTAATAGAAAATAAGGTTGAATTTAGCATTAACATTAAAAAAATAATCCGTTGGTACTGCCCTCATACTTATCTTTAAGTAAATATTATCCTATAACTGGCTCTTGCTCGTCTCTTTCTGACTTTTCAGCCTCACATTCCCTATCTTCTACCCCCATCCAACTGTCAATCAGATCACCAAAATCTGGTAATTTGCTGCCCGGTAGAAGGCCGTTTGACAACCCATTTCCAGTTTTATTATCATTTTTAGGCACTGAACCCGGTTCTTTCCAAAATGATTCTGGCAACTGGCGATCATTCATTGGTACCACGTGTTCAAATTTTTTGACGTCAAATTTAATGCGTTTTAGCTTTTCATGAGAATTTAGAACATTTTTATCCGTAAGGAAATTCCGTAATCCGTACTCAAAAAGCTCGTTCAGAGGTCCCATACCAATTTTTTTATCCATTTTACCAGTGAATTCCTGCTCGGAACTTTTGGACGACTGAAGTTCAACGAAGTCATTTGATGAAGAACGTTTTGATTTTTTGGAAGGCTTGGGGTTATCTTCGGAATCGTACCCATGTGCTATTTTGAGTAAATCTGCGTAGTAAAGCTCTCTGCCGGATTTCCCGGATGTCCATTTGTCTTGGTAAATATCGCAAGCATCCTCTACGTCTTTCTTTTGTCCAAAGAATTTTTGGATATCCTTATTCACCATCTCAGCAAAATTCAAAAGCTTTTGTGCAGCGTCATTGTTCTTTTGTTCAGTTGCATTCAATGCGCGTTCCAGATCTTCATCTGAAAATGTTTCTTCTTCTTCATCTGTAAACTCTTCGTCTACTTCTTCGTCAAAGCTTTCATCGAAATCGCTACCTCTAGCAGCTGACAGATTAGCAGACGACATAGTGGTGGAAGACACGACCGCATCTTTGAGGTTAGGATGAATTGAGATATCCTGAGGGCCCGGATGCCCAAAGATGGTTCCTACTCGATGAAGAGCTGTTTGTTCTGTCATTGTCAACATGTCATTACTGTGCATACTTTTCTCAGATAAGTTGTAATATCTCCCCCTGAACTAATCCGCAATTTATCAAAAGTTGTCTCTTGATCAACGAGGACAACCCATGTCTCTTGGCTTAAGCACAAACAAAAGTCTTAAGATGTCAACTGCAAAAAAGCCTTGACCTAGAATTTAAAAAGATTAAAAAAATCTCATTACTGACAAGAAGTGGCAACATACTTTTCCGCGTTGTTATGCTATTTGCAGAACTTTAAATGGTAGGCATGTTTTTATAAATTAGTGGTTTAACATGTCATGTATCCTATATGCTAACAGTAATAGTAATAAAAAGATAGTATTAAAGAAAGTTAGACTTTAAAATAGCATGAAAATTCAACTACGTTTTTATACTACAACGCATTTTTCGTTTTGTTCAAATTTTGTCGGTATAATACTCGAACCCCAAACCGCTCATTTAATTACACTTATCATCACCCAACCACGTGTTTAGTCCTTGTTACTAGGCATGTCTACGCCGCTTGGCATCTCATTTATAAGGAAGAAAAATTGGACTCAAACCCTCAAAGTTCAGGAAATGGGTTTGGGTGGTGAATGAACGTTGGACTTTGGCATTTCAAATGTGTGTTAATAAATGGTGCGCAGTCTTTGTATTCTCGATTGTTTGACCGAGCATATAGTTTGTCGTGCTTTGGATTCAGTTAATTAGAACCAGCTACTGATTTTCGCGTGTATAACTGTGCGTGTATTGCTAAGATAGCAGATCCCATACGCTCCCTTACATCCCCACCTCTTTCGTCCCACTTCTGGTGGGAAATAAATGTCATTTATATCACTGTTTACCAACAGCTGTCAGATATAAACTTGAACAAGATTCTTCAAAACTCTGGTATTTAATTAATTGCCCAAAAAAGTTTATCAGCATCAAAAGCAAATTAATGCCGAAAAAATTAATGCCGATAGTTCTGTTAAAAAATTCCAGTGAAGACTTGGTATTGTGAGCTATTGTTTGGACATTTCATCTTTGAGATGATGAAAATCTTCAATTTCAAACCTGTAAGTTCCTAACGTCAGAATTAGTTTTTTCTATCCCTATACTCCAACTATCACAACTAGTGTTCCCATTGCAATATAAATGTTTAATAGAAAATATAATGGCAATATAATTTTATCTAATAGATACGAACGTTAAAGTTTTTCTCCTGACAAAATATTATTATGCGTTAAAATTTGGCTATTCTCTAAAAGAAATACGCTCCACCAAATACGATATTGCATATATTTGATAAATCATAATTTCTCCGCTATATAAATTCAAGGTTCCCTATTATTGCTCTCTAGAGATAATGTTTAGTGCTTGGAAACCTTGCATAATGATTTCGTATTTTTTAATCAAAATTCGAATTCAAAATATCAAATATTTCGAATATGCAAAAGACTACACTTACATGTTGACAATAGCAACCACTTCAAATTACAGGCTTAAAGAAGTTAATAAGTAAGGTGCAAGTAACTACAGGTTACAGGTTTTACAGGTTAAAGATTAATTCACAGGTTAGAGGCCAGTTTGTGTTGGTGTCGTATGTAATGGTATACTTTGGTATATACAAAACGACATTCATTTGCTAGTAGTTAAAATAGACTATTCCATTCCATCTGCTTTCTTTGATCAAGTTTAATCGCAGTCAGGCCTTACTAACAAATGAACTTTTAACAATAAATGCATTATGCCAAATTGGGATTGGTGGATTTAGAATATGCTTGGATTGGGACTGTGCCTGTGACATCAATGCAAACCCCTTTTGTTATTATCATAAATACCATATCCGCCTTTTGGTTTCATTATATCAATAAAACACACACAGTAATTTCCGATGTTATATATTTCATGCAAGTACCATCAAAATCCAAATAATGTTTTTCAATCTAATTATCTTTCTTTTACTACATAAGATTCTGTTTCTATGTAATTTCCCCTGACATTTGCTGAAGAAAGCAGCTTTGTTTAATTTGTACTACTCGACCAGGGCCAAGATTTTCGTATCCTGCCCACAGACTTAAACCTGGAGAGAATGTGGAGATCAACGTAAACAATAATCATTGTTCAAACGAAAATATACGTGTAAAAAGGCTATAAAACTAAATTACTTTAA